CACTCAAAAAATATTTATTTTTTCTCCAACAATTGATGATTTTTACCCAAATCTTCCAAATTATGCGTGTTAGAGTATTGATTGATGTTCCTCTTGCTTCCAGATGAATTTCTGCTTTGTTTTGAGAAAAGTCAATTTTTGGCCGATTTTGACTAAAAATGTAAGGCTAACCCCTTACATTTTTTTCAATTTTGGCCAAAAAATGAAATTTCTTGAAAGGAGCTAGAAAGATGCCTTAAGGGCCCTAGAACGCATTCCAAATCGATTGCTGGACAGATGTATTATTCAAGGGGAAATACTGTCGAAAAATTAAAAAATTCAAAAAATTCAAAAACTCAATTTTTTTTTATTTTTTCTCCAAAAATTGATGATTTTTGCCCAAATCTTCCAAATTATGCTTGTTAGAGTATTGATTGATGTTCCTCTTGCACCCAGATGAATTTCTGCTTTGTTTTGAGAAAAGTCAATTTTTGGCCGATTTTGACTAAAAATGTAAGGCTAACCCCTTACATTTTTTTCAATTTTGGCCAAAAAATGAAATTTCTTGAAAGGAGCTAGAAAGATGCCTTAAGGGCCCTAGAACGCATTCCAAATCGATTGCTGGACAGATGTACTATTCAAGGGGAAATACCGTCGAAAATTAAAATTCAAATCGCTCAAAAAATATTTATTTTTTCTCCAAAAATTGATGATTGTTACCCGAATCTTCCAAATTATGCGTGTTAGAGTATTGATTGATGTTCCTCTTGCTTCCAGATGAATTTCTACCTTGTTTTGAGAAAAGTCAATTTTTGGCCGATTTTGACTAAAAATGTAAGGCTAACCCCTTACATTTTTTTCAATTTTGGCCAAAAAATGAAATTTCTTGAAAGTTGCTAGAAAGATGCCTTAAGGGCCCTAGAACGCATTCCAAACCGATTGCTGGACAGATGTACTATTCAAGGGGAAATACCGTCGAAAAATTAAGGACTAATCGCTCAAAAAATATTTATTTTTTCTCTAAAAATTGATGATTTTTGCAAAAATCTTCCAAATTATGCTTGTCAGAGTATTGATTGATGTTCCTCTTGCACCCAGATGAATTTCTGCCTTGTTTTGAGAAAGTCAATAATTGGCCAATTTTTACTAAAAAAGTAAGGCTAACCCCTTACATTTTTTTCAATTGTGGCCATATAATGAAATGTCTTGAAAGGTGCTAGAAAGATGCCTTAAGGGCCCTAGAACGCATTCCAAATCGATTGCTGGACAGATGTGCTATTCAAGGGGAAATTCCGTCTAACATTTGAGGTCAAATCACTCAAAAAATATTTATTTTTTCTCCAAAAATTGATGATTTTTACCCAAATCTTCCAAATTATGCGTGTTAGAGTATTGATTGATGTTCCTCTTGCTTCCAGATGAATTTCTGCTTTGTTTTGAGAAAAGTCAATTTTTGGCCGATTTTGACTAAAAATGTAAGGCTAACCCCTTACATTTTTTTCACTTTTGGCCAAAAAATGAAATTTCTTGAAAGGTACTAGAAAGATGCCTTAAGGGCCCTAGAACGCATTCCAAATCGATTGCTGGACAGATGTATTATTCAAGGGGAAATATTGTCGAAAAATTAAAAAATTCAAAAAATTCAAAAACTCAATTTTTTTTATTTTTTCTCCAAAAATTGATGATTTTTGCCCAAATCTTCCAAATTATGCTTGTTAGAGTATTGATTGATGTTCCTCTTGCACCCAGATGAATTTCTGCTTTGTTTTGAGAAAAGTCAATTTTTGGCCGATTTTGACTAAAAATGTAAGGCTAACCCCTTACATTTTTTTCAATTTTGGCCAAAAAATGAAATTTCTGAAAATTGCTAGAAAGATGCCTTAAGGGCCCTAGAACCCATTTTGAATCGATTGCTGGACAGATGTGCTATTAAAGGGGAAATTCCGTCGAAAAATTAAGGTCTAATCGCTCAAAAAATATTTATTTATTCTCCAAAAATTGATGATTTTTGCCCAAATCTTCCAAATTATGCGTGTTGGAGTATTCATTGATGTTCCTCTTGCATCCAGTTGAATTTCTGCCTTGTTTTGATAAAAGTCAATTTTTGGCCGATTTGACTAAAAATGTAAGGTTAACCCCTTACATTTTTTTCAATTTTGGCCAAAAAATGAATTGTCTTGAAAGTTACTAGAAAAATGCCTTAAGGGCCCTAGAACCCATTCCAAATCGATTTCTGGACAGATGTGCTATTAAACGGGAAATTGCGTGGAACATTTGAGGTAAAATCACTTTAATAATTCATTTCTTTTTCTCGAAAAAATTACGATTTTTGCCTAAATCTTCAAAAATGTGCGTGTTAGAGTATGGATTGATGTTCCTCTTGCATCCAGATTATTATCTGCATTGTTTTGAGAAAAGTCAATTTTTGGCCAATTTTGACTAAAAAAGTAAGGTTAACCCCTTGCATTTTTTTTCAATTTTGGCCAAAAAATGAAATAACTTGAAAGTTTTTAGAAAGACGCCTTCAAGGCCCTAGAACGCATTCCAAATCGATTTCTGGACAGATGTGCTATTAAAGGGGAAATTCTGTCGAACATTTGAGGTAAAATCTATTTAAAAAATCCTTTCTTTTTTTCAAAAAAATGACGATTTTTGCCCCAATCTTCAAAAATGTGCGTGTTAGAGTATGGATTGATGGTTCTCTTGCATCCAGATGATGCAAGCTCCATACCAGAAACCGGAGACTTTTTTTTTTTGGCCTGAGGATTATACTTGTCGCAAATAAAACCCTTATTTGACGGTTTTTTTATGAAATTAAATCTTTTGATGTCAAACATCATGACAAATGAGTGTGCGAAAATTCAATTTAATGTAAGGTGTATTTCTTGAATTGTTGGCCCCAAATCGAGTTTGGTGGTGGAGATCGAGACCACTATAAAAGAGGGCGCGCCACATAAATAGTGGTCTCAACAACGCATCAACACGGATGCTGCACAACTGAACAAAAAGAACAACCTCGTTTCCGATGAACTACTCAAAAAATACAAAATGGATTAAATTGAAATTTGGTGCAATTAGTTTTCACGATGTGTAGCATAAGTAGTTTGAATGGTGTGAGAAACCGTGGAGCTATAAATATGATATGATCGTAACAATCTAGTGTTTTAAACAAGTTAAAAATCCATGTTGACTTCCATTAGGATTGTACTTGTCGCAAATAAAACCCTGTATTGTTACGGTCATAATATCTTGATTATTTGACTTTTTTTAATGTAATTAAATCTTTTGATGTCAAACATCATGACAAATGAGTGTGCGAAAATTCAGTTTAATGTAACGTGTATTTCTTGAATTGTTGGCCCCAAATCGAGTTTGGTGGTGGAGATCGAGACCACTATAATAGAGGGCGCGCCACATAAATAGTGGTCTCAACAACGCATCAACACACATGCTGCACAACTGAACAAAAATAACAACCTCGTTTCTGATGAACTACTCAAGAAATACAAAATGGATTAAATTGAAATTTGGTGCAATTAGTTTTCACGATGTGTAGCATAAGTAGTTTGAATGGCGTGAGAAACCGTGGAGCTATAAATATAATATGATCGTAACAATCTAGTGTTTTAAACGTTAAAAATCCATGTTGACTTCCATTAGGATTGTACTTGTCGCAAATAAAATCCTGTATTGTAACGGTCATAATAGCTTGATTATTTGACGTTTTTTTTATGAAATTAAATCTGTTGATGTCAAACATCATGACAAATGAGTGTGCGAAAATTCAGTTTAATGTAACGTGTATTTCTTGGGTTGTTGGCCCCAAATCGAGTTTGGTGGTGGAGATCGAGACCACTATAATAGAGGGCGCGCCACATAAATAGTGGTCTCAACAACGCATCGACACACATGCTGCACAACTGAACAAAAAGAACAACCTCGTTTCCGATGAACTACTCAAGGAATACAAAATGGATTAAATTGAAATTTGGTGCAATTAGTTTCCACGATGTGTAGCATAAGTACCGTAGTTTGAATGGCGTGAGAAACCGTGGAGCTATAAATATAATATGATCGTTACAATCTAGTGTTTTAAACAAGTTAAAAATCCATGTTGACTTCCATTAGGCCCAAAAAAAGTCTCCGGTTTCTGGTATGCGCGCGCGTCGCCGTAGCCATGCGCGTCGGCAAAATGAAAAAGTTTTGTTTTTCAATGAAAGATGATGTCTCAAAACCGCCAAACTTACTGGTTTGACTGGAATCCTGCTGCTGCACAATTTTAACGTGTTTTTAGATTGGGTTATGGTCGAGAATGAGCCTTATGTGGCCTCTCTGGACTCCCATATATTTGCACTAGTCGGGCACCATTTGCAGTCATCAGCCGACATTTAAAGCAAAAAAGTTAGGTAAAAAAAAAAAAGCCACTTTTTGGGCAAGCTCCATACCAGAAACCGGAGACTTTTTTTTTGGCCTAACCCCTTGCATTTTTTTTTTCAATTGTGGCCAAAAAATGAACATACTTGAAAGTTGCTAGAAAGATGCCTTAAAGGCCCTAGAACACATTCCAAATCGATTTCTGGACAGATGTGCTATTCAAGGGGAAATTCCGTCAAACATTTGAGGTCAAATCACTTTAAAAATTAATTTCTTTTTCTCCAAAAATTGACGATTTTTGCCCAAATCTTCAAAAATATGCGTGTTAGAGTATGGATTGATGTTTCTCTTGCATCCAGATGAATTTCTGCATTGTTTTGAGATAAGTCCATTTTTGGCCAATTTTGACGAGATATGTAAGGTTAACCCCTTGCATTTTTTTCAATTTTGGCCAAGAAATGAAAATTGGCCTGAAGCAGCCGATGGCATTGGCTCGCCCAGGACGCATGCGCAGTGTGGTGGCGGAAAGTTACTGTATGCAAAATCAGCAGCATTCATTGTAGTCGATAGTCCAGTTAGTAGAGAGGTCAGTGTGCACCGTAAGCGAAAACTCTGTGTTGTACAATCAGACTTGACACATACAATCCTGGGCATTCTGTGAGAATCAATAATGCAATACTTGCACAGACTTTTTATTTCAACTTTTAACAATGGAAAGATGTGTATGCTTAATATTGATATAATATTGATGAACCAAAATGTGCAAACCTTGTTATCGCAATAATAATAAAAAAAGAATAAACTGCTTATATCCCTCTTACAAGTTACTTGGATGTTGTGCTTGTTTTGTTGACTTCCAATAAATAACTGACTTTCCCTTTACCGATAGGATTAGCGTGGGGCCATTTTTTTTTTTTGGGGGGGGGGGACAGTTGTGCACCAATGATTTGTTGTTAGGAGGAATGGACATTATTTTGACGCCAGGGGGCGCTCGTCTTTTACCTTTATTCCTATTTTTTTATGAATTAATATTCTACGAATCTTTGAAGAGAATGGGGATGTGTTGATAACAGCATTTAATCCGATGGATACATTTTCTTTTTAAACGAAGCTGAATTTTGAGAGGCATTCCTCCCCCCCCCCCCTCCCCACACACACACACTTTGCCCGGAATCCGCTAGCGCCCTACAGTAATGATACAACGGTAAACTGATTTGTTGAACATTTAGGTCTTTTAGAAAAGATCACCGAAAACAACACCAAAACGTAGAACCGTAACCTTTACATTATTCCAGCATGCCTACGTACATGACAATAATAATCTAGAACTGCCAACTTACAAAGTTTCAAACCGAGACGTGGGTCAAACGAAAACAAGCATATTAAAGTTTACAAAATTATGCTGCTACTGTTTTTATTTTGTGATCTCTTTGACATATGGGACTGGGAACATGCCCTCCTTCCCAGTGCCTACGAGTATGCCTCTCCACCAGTTCGGGTCAATCTTGTCAGTAACCTTAATCCTGTCTCCCTTTTGAATGAGATTTCGCCATCTTCCTTGGCAGCGAAGTCGTATGCAGCTTCCACATGGAGTCCTGCAGATGACTGAAATGAGAACACAAGGAATGAATTAAGTAAGTTTCATTCGTAACTTCAAGTGCCTTGTTAATTTCCTTGCTACAATTCTGGCCAAATCTTGCTGCCCCCCGCCCCACCCGGCCCCCGAACAAAGTTGTCTCTCATTGCGCGGACGGTGTGTGCTCCATCCCCTGAAGAGAACAACATTGACTGGGGAGCTGGGGAGTGGGTGACCGACGAGGAAGGCTAAGGTTATTGCTAAGAGTCCCAACCATTTTGGCCGGGATTGTAGCTCTATCTTAAAACCGAACAATTTTAATCAGCCGTATTATTCTCCGTCGAATGCGGGCGCTGTTATTACGCCATGCATGTTGGGCAAAGGCAAAGATTCACTCGAAGTTAATGACGGACGTTTACATATTGCTACAATTGGAAAACAATGTTTCTCACCATATTATTAATTTTAAAAAATGTTTCATTAGATGGGTTCACCGGGTTTTTTTTTCTTCGAGTTTAACCTCGAAAAATTGATTGGGTTTTCAGTTATTCCTTTTATTAATGAGACTTCGAATGAAAAAAATCCATAGTTTAGTTATTGACAAATTTCTTCATCAAACTCAAATTATTGGCTGGCAGACAAAAATTTGACGCCCAAAATGCCGATGCGCGTGACTATCTGTAGGAAGTGACGTTATTTTGAGAGACCTTCTACAGAAAAACGTGACTTGGGTACCACACTAAAAAGGTTCACACATGACAACGCGACGGTAAATGCGATTAACTTCATTTTTTTTCAGACAAGGTTATACTAACAAATATATGTCATTCTTTCAAAACTTCAAAAGTTCAAAACTTAACTTGGTTTTGAAAAAAAGAGATGGCTCCTTTGCATAATTGCAATTGTATTTTTACTCACCATATAAAGTGTTACTTACCTTTGATCGGTCTTTCAGATATATCGTTTGCGTGCGGCTTACGGATGAGGTTCTGTGGTAGTCCACCAATTGATTCAGTGAGTTAAACTTGACGACCCAAAGAAAGTACTTGCCTGCTCCGTCTCTCAAGACCTTCATATGCTGAACACTCTCCCCATACCTGCGGGACGGAAAGTAACTAAATGATCCGAAATTGCTAAATCTGTAAATTAACTTGTTTTTTTTCGTTTGAGAAGTGATCAAAACTCCTAGTCTTTTGTGTGAATGAAACATTTCCTCCCACATCTCTATGTGTTTAAAGTATTCGTGTCGCTTAACAGAAATTCAAAGGGCCCATGCAATGGCATTTTTAACTTCAATTCTTGAAAATGCACCTTTGTGTCTATGCTAAGTCGAATTTACATATTCATGAGCAAAAGTGCGTTTTTGGATATGTTGCTGTCCTAAATGTTATTTTCTTTGGTGGTTCGTTATTGTGTCAGTATAGAAGCAATTAGCCAATGAGCAAACTTGTCTCACAAATGTTTTCAATGAGCCAAGTTTTGGGTTCGTAATTTGAATAGAAAACCAACAAACCGAACAGTGTCATCCTGGTATGACATCACATTAACAGCGCCCTCCGTAGTCTGGCCCAAGACGCTAGTGATCGATAGTGGTTGGTACATAGTGCGCCCTCTAACAGCACAACATAGACCAGCGGGCCTACTCGCACTAACGTCTTGGCCATGTCGTATCAGAGTTTTATTTTTGTCTTTATTTTCTCCGTAGGCTTTCCTACGGAACAAATCAGCGATCGAGAAATAGTTGAAAGGCTCTCTTTTCTAGGGAACCAATCCGGCGATCGAGAAATAGTTCAAAGGCTCGCCCAAAGGAATCATTGTACGGGCTATATACACGGTGACGGTGACCCAGCATTATAGCTCTCCTAGGGAACCAATCAGCGATCGAGAAATGGTTCGGGCTAGCCCGACGGTTTTGTAAACACTCGCGGCGCAGTGATAAGGAACTGCCGTTTTGTTCAAATTTATACAGACGGTCCAATTTACATAAAATGGCCACGCCCCCATTGCTACGAAATGACCAAGTCGTTAGTGAGAGAACGTAAAAAATCAATTATGCAAGGGCGCTACAGAACACTGCTACTATCGCGCTTGATCACTGACGTCTTGGGCCAATACTACGCCCTCCGTTGTCCAGAAAAGCACCGACAATGTTAAATGTTTAAAGAAGTGCACTTTTTAATAAACTTTACCAAAAAGGGATGTCAAAAAGTTTTCATACGTTGAAGAGGAAAGGAAAATTGCACCAAAAATAAATATGTTCATACAAGTAAGAACATTGTTGCAAACCCTTTAAATAATTTCAATTTCTGTCAGTTACTATTTTTTTTACATTGCTTGTTTGTCCGTTTGTTCGTCCGTTCTTTATTTGTCTGTTTATTTGTCTCTTTGTCCTTGATTGGCTTGTTTGAATGATCTTTCGTCAGTTTGTGCATTTACTGTTTGCTTGTTTGTTCATCTGGTCTGTTGATGGTTGTTTGTCTGTTTGTTGGCCTTCAATGCAATCGTCATTATTTTGTGCAATTTTACCATATTTATGATTTGTATCTGAGCAAGCTAGGGGTCTGGACAAACACATCGTTAGATGGCAGTTTTATGCGTTTGCTTATCTTTGACAGTCCCTATTCATTTGTATCATTTTATACATTTTTTACTTCTTGTTTAATGTCAAAAGATGTAAAAGAAATAAATACTTAAATATTTATTTTTTTCATAATGATAACAACTCACTTGACAGACAGTGAGTAGTCGCCCGGTGTGCTTTCGCTTTCCCGGATGAGAAAGGCACCGTCGTAATCATTATTCTTGAGTAGTTCTTCCTCGGCGCCCTGTCGCGTAACCCCAGGTGCCATGAATCTATCACCAAAACAAAAAGGTGGAAAAATTATATAATTTTTTTTTGGCACACTTTTATAATAACAAACCTGAAAGCAGCGGAGGTCGTGGGTTCGAGTCCCACCAGAGTGATTTTTTTCCAACTTTCACTCGGGGAGGTAGCACACTGAGTATACAGTGTTTATACGTCGGTGAAGGGCAAAACTTAATTTGATTTAAAGGGAAGATACAACATTTGCAAAGATCAAATAACAAAATGATCAAATTATCACGAAATATCTTACTGATTGTTAGGGAATGACAGTCTAAAGTATCCTGCAAAATCGTGGCTCCTGGTGTGCTGACATTTTCAAAAAAAAAACTTGTATTTTTTTTCCAACGCTGGTCGACCGACCAGCATTGGAGAAAACTGGCTTTTTTGAAAAACTGCTCCTAATTTTTCACATTTTAGTTATTCGTTTACAATTGATTCGTTTGCAATTGATTAGACACCTGTGAAGGGGTACAAGCCTGTTGGACTGATTCTCTGACCTTACAATTCCCCAAAGACTATAAATTGCTCCGTGGCATCTTAAGTGGGGTCAGGGAACAACACTACAAGAACATCATTGGTTTTCTTGGATTTCCCAGCATCTCCGAACCCAAAACGTAAAGCAAGTCAGTTTAACAATATTTGCCATAACATACTAATCCTCCAAATTCCATTTATTTCTGAAAATTGCAGCAATAGCATGTGTTGTACATTCCCTTTAAACCTGAGTTTATTTTTGCAGAGCACAGTAGCTTAATACGCTCAATTCCCCCCTCCCCCAAATAAAAGAAACCCATTGTAATTTTTTGTTTAAGTGACGTCCCAAAAAAGGCAGCCAAGTACTGCGTACACCACCGTCGTTTCCTTAAAAAAAAAAGGTTAAAGTGGTCAGAAATTGCCTCGGATTTCACCACAGAGCATCTAGAATCAAGGCATTTTCGGGGCCCATAAGCGAGAACCCGAAACCCACCCCGTTAATTTGTGGACCCACCTGTTTGAGGACCATTTTTTTTGCCCCCCCCCCCAAATTGTGTAGTGGATCTGCCCTTGGGAGTCGCATATTATTGTTTTTCAATGAAGGTGCTTTTTTTTGGGGGGGGGGGTACAATTCTCAAGTTCAAACAATTAAAAGCTAATTTTGTCTCCTCGATCTTTTTTCCTTCTTTATTCTCCTTATATTTGTCGCATTAACTCACTCGTTTTCCTTTAATTGGACGTAATTCGATGGTATCGTGCCGTCCTTGCCGTCCATTTCAGCTCTAAGCCAGCCCTTGGATTGGGCAGGCCCGAACACCTAAAGACACAATAACAAATTGTGTGTGTGATATTTGACAACAAAGTTACGATCAGAGTAAACAAAAATGGTGCAAGTACTCATTGTCCACAACGAAGAAATGGGATCCACTCTGTGAAACAAAGAAACAAACATGTTGCATTACAGACACACTCTCGCAAAATGTGGTCCGGCAGCTTTCTATACAAAAACCTCGTTGGCTTGGGGTTTTGTACGTAAACCTTATCACTGAGTCAGCCGATCACGCTAAATTGACTTCGGCCAAACCGCAGTCCCATCATAAGAAATAAGTTAACAATGTTAACCGGACCATTTTTTCCAAGAGTGTGTCTCTAATGGTTGATGGGCTTTTAAAAAGAACTTTTGCAAATGGGAAAGACACTTTGGAAACATCCAATCAGTTTGAATATGCTTCATGAATTTCTGAATAAACGAGCACATTTTTAACAGTATTTAATTACTATTATGTTTCGGTGTGGTGGTGTTGGGGGGGGGGGCGGTTGTGGGGGGGGGGGGTGAGCTAGACAGAAGATATATCAGAATGGCGCAATAAGACCAACAGCGGGCGCAATAATTTTGATTAGGGTTTCAAAATTTCTACGCGTCCGAGTCGTTAATTTGCATGAAAAGTGCCCCCACAATTTTTTGTAAAAAATGAGACCGTCTAGTTTAAAAATCGGTGGAATCGTGCGAATATAGCCGAGGATCATCTCTCTAGCTTTTGGGCTATTATCTAAGAGCAGATTTGATAAAATTAGGGTTCAAATATGGGTCCTATTTGCACGAGAAAATGTAGGGATGCCACTGGTAACTTTGGCAGTATGCAGGCTCAGCATTAACGGCAGGCGGTTATGAGACTCGTGGGGAGTCAGGGTTGGCGTCGTCAGGTTGGTGTGATAAACAGGGTGAGTCAAAAAAACGAAACCCAAATGTCGGGACTATTGTTTTCTTGAAGATCTGCATGTAGCACTTTCAAAATCTAGGACATGAAAGCCCAATTCACAAGCTTTTTTTTAGTCCAAACATTATTCAAATCAGTCATGTACTTTTTAAGTTATGGAATTTTAAACACAACCACCGTTTTAAAGTTCTGTCCACGGATCACAGAAAAAGGTGTGCGTTCTATCAGGAAAACGAAAACAATTCACACACATCCGTTTGTGATTTGTTTTCGTTTTGCTGAAAGAACACTGTACTTTTTAGTGATCCGTGGACAGAACCTTAAAACGGTGGTTGTGTTTAAAATTCGGTAACTTAAAAAGTACGTAAGTGATTTGAATGATTCTTGTACTAACAGAAAGCTTAGGAGTTGGGCTTTTATATCCTGGATTTTGAGAAGTGCTTGATGCAGAACTTTACCAAAACAATGGTCCCAACATTTGGGTTTCGTTTTTTTTTACTCACCCTGTATTTTGTGTTTCTCCGATATTGTGCTACATCATAGTGCATGGACTCCGTGAATATTCAACATTACAGTTGGGGTCAAGTGTATGTTCATTGCTTGATTATTTTCTTGTATATATCAAATTATTTTCTTGATTTCCTAATATATTCTATTAAATCTTGTGTCTGTGATCAATTAGTTTGCTTTCTTTACTTGGGTAGGTCATTTTCAAGCCCATTTTCTGGTCCAGCCGTGATAAGGTATACATTCCTCGCCTTCCATCGCTGAGACCCAGGTTCGAATCCCGCCTGGGCCAATATGTGGATTGGGTTTTCAGTTCCTGACTGAATCCGTGGGTCTTACCCAGAATATACTTCTGGGGTTTCCTCTTATCTCTAAAACTATAATGTCCTTTCATTATCTTCTCTCTACAGGTTTGTCACGTCACTTGTTTCTTCGTGAAGGTTAGTCATAAAAATAAAAGTTGGAAAGAATTCCATACACGGCCTCCACTCAGACCTCCTGCACAAAGTCTATAGGCCATGGCGGAAATTTTTTTTGAGTATTATCAAAGAATGTTTGTACTCTTAAAATAGTGTTCCTTCATCAGATTTACAACTTTTGATACTTTTCAGGTCTTATGAGTGGATGCCGTGTATGGAATTCTTTCCAAAATGTTGAATAGAAACGAATTTGGGAGTGACTGAGAAACATTTCCAATTTTGTTAGGAAGTGCTTTGAAAATTTTCTTGACTCTCCATATGGGCCCTGCAGCCTGGGGGTTTGGTCGGTATCAAATCAGGTGAATAATGCTCAGAAGTGTGTTTTTTGGCAAGGTATATATGCACCCCTGTACTTCGGAAAATATGTGATACTTGCAGCGGTGGCAGTTTTTTGGTGCTATCACTTTATAAACACAAGAGAGACAATAAGAGGTCCCCGATTGCAGGCAAATGAGAGGTATCCTAAACCATGCATGGGGGAATATAGGGATGCTGCTAGCTACCACGCGCCTGCAACCGTATAGAGTTTGCTTGCAAGTATGCTACAGATACAGAAATACATACTTCTGAGTGTGTATGTCACTTACTTTCAAGATGGTTCCTTTCTTGAAAGGCAAGTCACCGGCATCGGTCCCATCAAAGTCATGAAGTGCGACTGCCTCGCACATCGTGGGTCACAAACCCAATGACAAGACACAGAATTGAAATCGACCAAACAGCCGGCAGCCACAGGCACATTGAGTTCTCACTGTACTGACGTACGCTCTATGCCAAAATGGCGAACACTTCTGTTTTGAGAATACGTATCACAATGGCGTCATCCCCGTGGTGAATCACAATTGTCGTTTCCAGACCCAGTAAGCATATTGTCATCGTGGCTAATCCATTATCAAGCTTACAAAACGGTTATCCTTGAATCCTTTTCATGTAACTACTCAGCCGCACTAGTCAATGGTCAGTTTTTTTTGCGGGTATGCACGCACCTTGTTCAGACCATATACCACACCGTAACATACAGGGTTTCCCCAAAAATTGTCCCTCTGGAGGGTGTACACAATTCTCGTTATTTATGAAGAAAACAAATTCAATTATGGAATTTGATGAGCCCGAACATTTGTCTTGCTTGTGTGAAGCTTTTGTTGGATTTGGTTAAGTGGTTTTGCAAAAAAGGTCATCAATGTAACGCCCGTCCATTTTGCTCCATTCCAATTTGACACGGTCCCCGGAAAAAAAAATATCCCTCTTAGGGTTGTAGCGGAATTTGGGGGAAAAATATGAAATTTTATTTCTACTTATACTTTCTATAAAATTTCCATTAGATTTGGTTCACCAGTTTTCCAAATAAAGACTATTATGTAACACAGTACTATTTTGCACCATTCAAAGTTTAACATTAGGCTTAAATTGGCTTTGATTAAATTACTAAACTAAACTGGAGGAATACTATTGTTGACATTTCTCGCTGGTGACTGTGGCTATTCGTTATGTATATTATCTTCTTTTAGTTATAACAAATGATTGTCAATTCCAAGTGATTCAGGACATTCAGGTAAAACAGAAACACATCGTGTAGGCTCTTCGATTTGTCAAAATTGGCTACTATATAATTTCTGTGGTGATGAGTTTCGATAGTTCGCTGAATTCGAAAGCGTACGTCTCAGGCAACCACATGAAGAGAATCTTTCTATAAAAGACGGGCCACTGTACTACATATACACAGGAAGCTCAAAGTGACTGACTCATTATTGCAATTAAAAAAAACCGTCATTTTAGTTCAGTTCATATTTCATAGTTCAGATACATTTATTTCATGTCCATTAACATCACTGAAAAAATGTAATAACAATTCTCATCATATACACTGCAACTTGTTCATGTCTACAGCAATATATAATAAATAAATAATGAAGTGAGGTTAACATGTAGGGAAAAAGGAGAAGCACACTTTGAGCTATAGTGTGTCACTACATGGACAAAACGACTCGGACTCATTTTTGACTACGGTCCGTGAGTCAAATGACTCACTTTGGTTTCTGTGTGATGCAGTTATGCTTGAATTCTTTTAACTGTGAGTTCCAATGTCATCCATGCGAAAACCTGAGAATGTCGATCGTTTCAAAAATAAACAATACATGCTGCGCGCACACGTAGTAGAAGTGATCTAAGGCCAAAAAAAAAAGTCTCCGGTTTCTGGTATGGAGCTTTCCAAAAAAGTGGTGCGGCGACGCGGCTTTTTTTTTTTTTTTTACCTGTTTTTTTTTGCTTCAAATGTCGGCTGATGACTGCAAATGGTGCCCGACTAAACTTAGTGCAAATATATGGGAGTCCAGAGAGGCCACATAAAGCTTATTCTCGATCAAAACCCCATCTAAAAACACGTTAAAACTGTGCAGCAGCAGGATTCCAGTCAAACCAGTGAGTTTGGCGGTTTTGATACATCATCTTTTATTGAATTTTTTCATTTTGCCGACGCGCATGGCTACGGCGACGCGCGCGCATACCAGAAACCGGAGACTTTTTTTTGGTGGCCTAATCAAGTTGAATGGAAGCAAGCTACCGATGCCCATATTTTATGGGGCCGGGAGGGGCCATTCTAGGATCTCACTTCATTAGAGTCTGTCGATTGATGGCGCTCACTTTGTACACATGTACTTGCAACCGTGCAACGTGTTATCGTCCTCTTGCTGCAAACATATGCTGATTAGGGTGCTTCGATTATCGCTCACAACACGTGTACCACAGACCCACTTCCTTGTTGCCAGCACAGTGAACGGTCCAAGCATTGAGGGTGCATGTGCGGACTTTCAGGCAACGCGCGCTGGGTGCAGTCTGAAGTCACAGGACCAAAATCAGCCACGGACCTCGTTGTACTATTGAGAGGAATTGACTGATTTGCCTCCTCCAAGATCGACTGCAAGAAGGATCACATGATGGAACTCCGTCACCGAAAACTGGGGCCCAAGGAGAGTTTGCAGGAACTGGGCCAAGGGCAGCGTAACAATGTGTAAGTGAAGATGTTTTTCCCTTAATACTGTAATACGTATTGTAGCCGCATGAATTTGTTTAAAGACGAAATTCTTCCAAAGCAGATCACGTTGGAAACGGTAGATTGACAATTTATAAAATATCATTCTTTCTTAAAGCTTTATATTCATTAGAAACATCCTCGTTGAAATTGTCAATTGGTTCAATTGAAAGACACCACTGTTCATGCCGAGTTTTTAAGTACGTGTTCATCTTTTCAAACCGTGGACGAAATATACCAGAGAACAAAAGAGAACAATATCGTCCACGATTCCCAGCATACGTCTGCGATTGGGGTCGTGTACAAAACCTATGGGAGTCTTCCTAAAAAGTTAGAGTACAAACAAAAGAGGGACAATAGGACGTCCACGGTCGACGGTGAACACACGTTTGCGTGTTTGCACGTTTAAATTGTAAGCTTTAATATATATTTTTGATTTCTTCCGAAGTGCAATAGGCTAGTGGGTTATAAAGTTGTCTGTTCCTTTTTACCTAAATATATAATTAAACTATACTAATAGGGACGGGCGAGATCGAAAAAAAATATAAATTGTTTTTTTGGAAAGTAGAAAATAATTTGAATTTATGTCAATGAGGATTTACTTATTTTATTTATTTATTAAATTCATTTTTCGGGATACAAATAAGTGTTAAAACAAATAATAACATTAAATACACAGAAATACACATGAACGTTTCAGACAAAACATACACAGTACAAAGATCAGCCATACGGACATGACAAAGAGTGCAGTACGTGGCAAACACAACATTTTCTTTTCTATTGTGGAATAATAAAATATGAATACTTCTCTATATACGTAATTGAATTCCCCCGTGTAGCCAGGGGACATATTGTACGTGCGTTATCTGAGAAAAAAATATAATTTATAGGCCTATATAATTATAATGACTGCTTAATATACATATTGATGTTGGAATGTGACCCTTGATAGGGAAACGTTATCTTCCCGCAGCAGCTGTTCAGTCACAGTTGCAAACGTGGACAAGGATATCCGGTGTGGGTTTTTTTTTGGGGGGGGGGTATTTGTTTTTTGTTGTAGCTTTAAACAAAGACTTTTTATTAAAAGAAATTGCGTAGGTTTTAGGTTATTTTTTTTCTTCAAGTTCTCCTTTTCCACCCTTATGCACAATAAATAATTACTTAAATATGTAAATTATTTTATTAGTTTGCAAATAATTATTTGATACGTAGACAATGTGGTCTTTAGGCTACTCTCATTTTTGAAGTTCTACTCATCCACCCTTATGCACAAATGAATAATTACTTAAATATGTAAATTATGTTATTAGTATGCAAATTATTTGATACGTAGACAATGTGGTCTTTACTTTGACGAGGTACGGAGGGGCTGTGCCTTTAACGAACCCACCGACTCCCAGGTCGGTTCAAGTGCAGGCCGGTGTTAAAATGATGCGTAGTACAGGATGCGGTGAAGTCATTAAAGTGTGAAGCATAATGGTCGTAGCGTTGGAAGGAAGTACGTATGGCGGCCCAGTGTAGACGTGAAAAAAATGCATTTATTCTAGTTTGATGAGGGAAGATTGGGATAAAGGTATAGATATGGAATTCGAATCTGGATGTGAAAGCCTAAAGGCCGGCGCGCGATTCATACTTCACGCGAGTTTATGCCAAACGAATCTGACGACAAAAAACAATCGCAGGGGATTTTGCTAGAGTTATGATGTGTTCAACTTTTGGGAATTCGCAGCGCGACAAGTGCCCGTCATGACGTCACAGATTTGCGTTCCCGTTCGCTTTTGCGCCCAATATGAACCGGTCATAGTGGGCTGTAATTAGTTTCAAATGGCCACAGCGACTGAACTGCAACTTCATATGTTTGTATCGAAAATTCCTGAACTGTACAATGAGTACGAGTCTGTATAGTAACAGTTCCTCAATATGTAGGCTTAAGTGTGCCAATATGTACTTTTATTGTTTCCACTTTGCTTAACTTGCTTTGTTCTTTTGTGTTTCTTTGCCTGCAGCAATTTTACCGGAAGAAGATCTTTGAACGAACAGAGGATGCTAGTTTCACGAAACAATACCACGGAGAAACTTTTCGTCTGTGATCTTTGCAGCAAAGCCTTCCCAAGGATGGCATCCGCCAGGCGCCATCGAGAGACACACTTCGATGTCGTCATGAGTGTGACTATTGCGACAAGTCTTACAGACGTATGGCCGACCTCGACCACCACAAGGATACGAAACACGAGAAGGAGGAAAAGCAATGTCAAGATGACATCTGCGACAGAGACGACCGTGACAGAGATGACCGCGAGAGAGACGACCCCGACAGAGACGTCTGCGACAGATATGACCGGGAGAGAGACGACCGTGACAGAGATGAACGTGAGAGAGACGACCGCGACAGAGATGACCGTGACAGAGATGACCGCGAGAGAGAAGACCCCGACAGAGACGTCTGCGACAGATATGACCGGCAGAGAGACGACCGTGACAGAGATGACCGGGAGAGAGATGACCGCGACAGAGATGACCGCGACAGAAACGATCGCGACAGAGACGACCTAGTGTCACACGAGCAGGTACACGATGGCGACAAGAAATTTGTTTGCGACATTTGCTCCAAGGCTTTCACAAGTTGTAGCCATCTCAAGCGTCACCTGGTCACCCATAGTAGCAGACCATACACCTGCGACACTTGTAAGCGGGTCTTCTCGACGCGCTTCGGTCTTGAACAGCACGAGAAATGTCATTCTAGTGACAGACAGTACGTGTGCGACATTTGTGACAAACGATTTCGTCGCGAGATTGATTTGACTTATCACGAGCGAACTCACACTGGCGACAAACCGTACGTTTGTGATCTGTGTCAGAAGTCGTTCTCGCATAAAAACACTTGTGCACGCCATCAGAAATTACATTTTGGCAAGACAAGGCACGTCTGTGTCATTTGTGATAAGGCTTTCACGAGATCTTCTAACTTGAAGAACCACCTGTTGATGCATGCTGAAGAAAAACCCTGTAAGTGTGATCTTTGTGACAAATCGTTCGTGGACAGCAGAAGCCTGGCCAACCATCAACGACAACACCAAGACAAGAGACCGTTTGAGTGTGACACCTGCGGCAAAGGTTTCACGAGAAAGCACGTATTTATCTCACACAAGTTCGCTCACGCAAGGCCATTCAAATGTGACGTTTGCCAGCAGAAATTCTACAGCGAATCCGACCTCTCCGAACACAGACAAGATATGCACGATTCTAACGGGAAGCCGTTTGTTTGTGACAAGTGCGAGCGAGGCTTTGCCCGACTTAGCCTGCTAACCACACACAAACATATACACGCTGACGAGAAACCGCTTGCTTGCGACCTCTGTCCAAATATTTACCAGAGAAGATCGTCACTTCGACGGCACAGGAAGAGTCATTTTGATGAGAGACGGCATGCTTGTGAGTTTTGCGATAAAGCCTTCACTCGCGCCGACGCTTTAAAAAGTCACCGAAGGTCCCACACAAAAGAAAGACCGTACAAGTGTCCCATGTGCCCCAAGACATTTGCCAGCTCTCCGAATCTAAATGCACATAAGCAGATGCACAGTGACGGACGACCATACGTGTGTGGTATTTGCTCCAAGGATTTTAAGTATAAGGCAACTCTCAAGCGTCACAAGAACTTCCACACCAACAAAAGACCGTACGTCTGCGATATCTGCAACAAAGCATTCCCGCGGACCTGCGAACTGAAACAACACAGAGCGACGCACTCGGCCGAAAAACCGTTCGCGTGCACCTTGTGCGACAGTCATTTTGCCGCCACACATCACCTTAAACGTCACATGCTGTGTCACACGAAAGTAAGACCTTTCAAATGTCCCATTTGTTCCAAAGATTTTACTACCAAGGCCAGCATGAAGCGCCACTCGTTCACGCATAACAAAGAAAAGCGATATGGCTGTCATAAATGCGACAAACCATTCGCCCGCCTTATTACCCTTAAGCTGCACCTGAAGGTCCACACTAGTGACAAGCCATTTGTGTGTAAATCTTGTGGTAGAGCGTTTGCCACGAGCACTGAGCTTGGACAGCATTGGGCTACGCACCCAGAAAAGAAAGCCTTCGTCTGTACCATCTGCGATAGACGTTACGCAGTGAAGAAGTCCCTGACGACTCATATGCGGACCCACTCAGACAAACCCAAACCACACGTCTGTGAGTTTTGTGGATATGCTTTTTGGCTCAAAAGCCATCTTACCAATCACCGCCGGATCCACACGAAAGAGCGACCGTTCAAGTGCGACATTTGCGAGCGATCGTTTGCCCTGGCTTGCACCCTTGCCGATCACAAGACGACGCACACGGACGAGAGGCCGTATCCTTGCGATATCTGTGGTCGAGCTTTCAGACGAATTGTGAACCGAAACGTTCACAGAAACCGTGTTCACAAAAAAGACGCTACGCCAATCATATGACAAGTTTCTTCTTCTTCTTCTTCTTCTTCTTCTTCATTCATGATTCACTTTAATGATGACTTGATGAGTTGGGCCCAACTGTCCCTGTCAAGCATAGTGTCGGAAAGAGATGGACGTCGTTGCTAGGTAAAAGGACGCCCTCTTTTTAGTGCACGGAGCCATAAACACTATCCACTCCACTCTAACCTTGTTTAGTAATTAATAAACAAAATTACCGAACACAGTTTTTGCAGTGTGCATTTATAATAAAAAAAAGGGTTTGTTCTCGTACTTTGATGTTACATGCCGCTTTTGGTATACGTCTGACACAGAATATCAGCCGAAAAAAAAACACAGTGTAAATTTGCCTGCATTGATACAAATCATTTATCTTTTCTTTGATTGCTTTTTTTCTGTGAGCTATACGAAATCTACCTGTAAATACAAACGTTTGCGTCGTTCACATTTTCTACGAAACTGCAATCTTCAGTTATAGACGACTGAATCTTTCGACATGCTGTTTAATTTCTTATTGTCAGCAGCTTTTTAAGCAAAAAAGGCGCAACTTTTTTTTACATTTACTTGGTTAAATTCTGGTGCTTTTTTTTAATTGCCTGTTGGTCAGTTTAAGAGAGCGAGGCACTGGCATGATGTAACTTTACCTTCCAACAAGGGCGGATCCAGAACACATTTTGTTGGGGGCAAAAAAAATGGTGGTCCCCAAGAAAGTAGGTCCAAAAAAGTTCGGCGTGTGGTTCGGGGCGCGGCCCACTTAAGGGCCCGAATTTTTTTTTGAATTCTAGATGCTCTGTGGTGCGATCTGGGGCAATTTCTGACCACTTTTACCACTTTTTTATTAGAAAAAGATGGTAGTGTACGCAGTGCCTGCCTTTATTGCGTCGTCACTTAAAAAAGAAAGGGTTTTTTTTCGGGGGGGGGCATGGGCCCCGTTGGCCCCCTGGATCCGCCCTTACCTTCCAAACGATTGTTGTTTCTCATTAACTTTTTAATAACATTTGAAATTTTGGTGCTATTACTCTTATGTCTTTATTGATTAGTTGCTTATTTTTCGGATGGGAAACTAAGCCTTTACGGATACGACTTGTGTGTGGAGTGGCTCAGTTCTGATAAAGCTGTACAAATTTGCTTACTTTACAATTTATCATAGTTTAGTTAGTGAATAGTGCATTTCCAAAGGCATATAGCTTGCAATAAAAAAAATAAACTTCCATGGAATAAATGTAGCCGCCTACATTATCTGTGCATGTTTGTAGTCCCTTTAGTCGTTTCATGCGCGTATAAAATAGCCAGGGTTTCGTTCGCCCGTTCCAAAATAGAATTTTCGTTCAGTTCCTGATTTTGCAAATTTTGTTTTTATAATCCATTTTTGCCGTTCTTGTACTGTGCTCATCGCAACTTTTGAGGCTGTAATTCCATCCTTACTATTTTTGAGATTAGTGAAACTGACTGAAAAGCAGTAAATCTCAAACTGCGAATCAAACTGGGGGGGGGGGGGGGTTCACTTATAAGGGGCACTTGCTCAGTGTAAAGGGCATCTTCCGTTGATGCAGCAGCGTATCCAGCATTTTCGGGGGGGGGGGGAGGGAGACATCCGTGTTGAAATGTGGACACCTTTTTTTCACCGGACACTTGGCCTCCGTTAAATCAAATGGGGTGGGGGGGGGGGGGGGGGGGGAGCAGGCTGGTACCATCTTCCAAATAGGGGGCGCTCTTCAAAACCAGCCATTATGCAAGCCACGCATTATGTGCCCCTTTTCAGGGCGCATTGTAAGGGTTTTGGGATTGAGTATTCCTCGTTCATATCAGAAATCTCTATACCATTTTGGGAAATGGTTACTGAAAAAAAATTAGCTGAAAATTTAGGGCCAGGTTGGTTTTCATCGCGAGGTGCACATTTATGCTCAAGGGGGCACATTTATGTCCGCACTTGGGTAAATCTGGGGGGGGGGGGGAAGTGCCCCCCCCCCCCCCCCCCGGGTTCTGCCGCCCCCAGCGTGCAGGATCGTGATGGGGTGCGGTTTAGCGTTCGATTATACCTAGGCTATCGTGGCTAACCCGTTTGCCTCTTTCGAGTCGATCCGGGTGAACTGCTGGAACGCACCGTGTGTACAAAGTCCATTGATCTCATTATGTATCATATATTGGAGATCAATGGTTTTTATCAAAGAATCGTCTAGTCCATGCAATGCATGCAAAAGTGTTTTGTTTGCGCATGTTCAGCACGCACTCGGCCAAGCTTTCCGTACCGCGAGAATACTGCCTAGTGCCCTTGTGCCTATACTGGGTCACGGAATATTCCAAGAGAAGTGTCGACTGCGCTGCCACTGCCAGCCAAGCAATAAGCTAGTGGACCTGCCTTGGAGTTGGAAAGAGAAGAAGGAATAATCTCAGGTGAATATTTCCGACTTGAATGTTGTGGACGAACAGTTCTTGGCACTGTTTATGGTCTGTCAGTCTGTCGTTTTGGTCGTTCGTTTGTTTTCTTTGCACGAATTAATCTGCTGTCAAGTATTTGCCAAGGAATTAAATTCATTGGCAAATACTTGACACTTCCGGATAATTTTCATCCAGGAGACAAGAAGACAAATTAACGAATATGCTTTTCTGCATGCAATGTCTGTTTCCAATAATTTTAGAATATTTTTATTTACTACTAGTACTAGAGTGCTATAGGTTACAACTAAAAAGGCATTATACAAAAAGTGCTGAATCATGTGACTCAGCACATTTTTCACTATACATGTAGTGCGGAGTCCAATCAATGGATTTGGGCGTGCATGGAACACGGCGCTGTGTTGTGCGGAGCGGATCGCAAGAGTAATGTTGCCCGTGCCTAACGGCGGGCCGTTTGACATTGCCTGGTCCCATCACGCGCAGTGTGAGCCCAAGCCCTGGTATGCGAATTAGGTGGGGGGAATCGTATTGTTTTTGTTCTGAACGATAAAAAGCTGATTCAAAAATCAAGTCATTGGTTATTTAATGGGAATTCATATTATATCAAACATTTTGATAGGTCTGGAAATTTATAAAAAAAAGTGCTGAGTCACATGATTCAGCAGTTTTTGTAGTAGGCCTATAACGTTACTTCTTGAATAAGAAGGCACACGATTGCCTTCAATATATTCTAGAGGTAGCCTTAAATTAAATTGTATATCTCGCTTATGGTATAGGCAACGTTTTTGTTCAAATTTTGTGTAAAACTTTTTTAAATATAATGTAGAAGCCGACTATTAGATGTTACCATTTTTAAGTTCCAATTTCCGTGCTGTGAAGCATAATTATAGGACCTAAATTATTCTGAAAGAGTCACAAATTTTCGGACTAGCTGCATGCAATGCACACTAAAGTCAAAACTACATTTCGAATTAGGTTTTACCCTTCACCGACGTTTGAACACTGTATACTCAGTGTGTTACCTCCCGAGTGAAAGTTGAAAAATCACTCGGGTGGGACTCGAACCCACGACGAAAACTGCATTACTCGTGACCCCAAGTTTTCATTATTAAAAACTCTTATATTTCGCTCCTTCAGATTTGTCTTTTTTATGAATCTCATGCAGGAGTTAAATTTGTAACGTTTTGCTAAAATTTCAGCCAAAAATAAAAACCTATAACGCAACAATGGGTTCTGGACAAAGTCATGACGCCGCGCTTCGAGAGAAACATGTGGTGGTGGTGGGCGGCGGGTACGGCGGCACGGTCGTGACGCTGAAGCTGCAGGGAAAGTGCAAGATCACTTTGATTGATCCGAAGGAAGCTTTCCATCATTGTCTGGGGGCACTGAGATCCTGCACCGAAGATGGTAAGAATGTATGATGTTGTGTCTACAGTTCCAACCTAAAATTATCCAGCTCAAAACATAGGAAAAAAATAATTTTATTTTGTAACTTTTTTGTCAATTAATCCCCCTAGACCTGTTTGTCGTTTTCAGATTTTAAGAGTGAATAAAAAAATAAACAGTTTCTCTTCTGGGCTTTTCGGAGAAACGAAGGAGGCGGCGTTTTTTCCCCCAAAGATGGCAGGTTTTCTTGTAATCGTGTAGTTAAGGACCCGTTTCATGATAGGAGCAGGAAAAGTCACTTTATGTGTTTGGAATCATCTGAATTAGATTGCTATTTAAAAGATACCATGCATGTTGACTACAGTCAGCTAGCTTAATTTTTTGGAAAGGGTAAATTTTGATCTTGAACGGAAGTTGTCAAACATTACAGGTGTCATAACTACCCTATTTCCAATTTTCCATTATTGCGGATGGAATCTTCCATTTCCTCCACTCTTTAGCTGAAATATAATTGTGTCCAAAAGAGCCGTTACTCTTTTCTTTGTAGGAAAATTTTGTTGGATACAAATTAAAAAACAATATATTGGCAATAAATGTGCACAAATATTGCAACTGTATGAATTAAAAAAAAAAGGAGGCGGCCAGTGTAATAAGACGCGGGCGGGAACAAGAAACTGTCTGATCGTTTTACTTGGCCCAATTGAATTTGGTTTTACACTGCAATATTAAGAACACTGTATGATCAGTGTTTTTGAAAAGCTTACAAAGTAATGCATGCACGAGTAAAAAGATTCCAAGTTTCTCCATATTGATGTACTGTATCATCTACTCTCCCAAGCTGAACTTGTGCAGTATTCGGAAAGGCAACTAATTGTCCACTTTTCCAGGTTATGCCCGGAAAACCCTCATCCCCTACGCCCCGGCTTTTGGGGAGAACTTCAAACGAGGCACGGTGGAGGCCGTCGACCCTACGGCCAAGAAGGTCAAGCTAGTCGGAGGGGAGGAGGTCAGCTACGACTACCTCGTCATGGCAACCGGAAGCAAGGGGCCCTTCCCTGGTAGAATCTCAGGGGGAGAGGACACAAGCGTCTATGTCCAGCAATACACAGACATGTTTCAAAAGGTAACTATATCAGTACTCTGTTTGATCCCTTTCGATTTTGTAGAAACCTCTTGTGAAGTTGACACCTTTGCCAAGTTGTATTCGAAAAGGCAGATCAAGTGAAAAAACTTTGGCGGATGTTTGCAAAGATACACTATGAAATATCAGTGTGGCTTCTACTTTCCTGAAATATTAAGCCATACTTTCCTTCCGTGAGCATCGGTTGTCATCGGCGATGCATTCGAATGTCTCTCCCAGTGGTCTCCTCCAACTCTCCCTTTCTTACCGTTGAGGGGGTACTTGTGCACGGAGCCCATAGGGCTATGTATGCGCTTTCTAATTCATATGGAAAATGAATACATGAAAGATAAGTCTCCTTGTTGTATTTCTGTCATCCCTGTGCAAACCACAGATAAAGGCAGGTAAAGATATCGTGGTTGTCGGCGGCGGGGCCGTTGGAGTTGAATTGGCCGGCGAGATTGCCACGGACTTCTCGGACAATCAGGTGACTATCGTCCACTCCAGAGACTATCTGGTGGAGGGGGACTTGGCCCCGAAATTCCGGAAAGGATTGGTGGACCAACTTAGGGCTAAAGGCGTCAAGCTTGTTCTGGGTAAGAAAACTTTTAGAAAGCAGGGATGAAGTCGAGTCCATCTTAAGTCACTGCAAGTCCATCACAATGTCCTCCAGTCCAAATTCAACTCACAAGCTATTCAAATGAGCTTTGACAAGGGCATCCCTTTGTTATTGTTCATCCACTGTTGCTTGTGAATGGACTTGTGATGGACTAGACGACATCCCTTCTTTGGAAACGTTGAAAAATAGTAACGTTGAAAAATAGTTACTAAGCAAGTTTGGTTACCAGGCAAACTGTGATGCAGTTTCTATTGCATTTAAGTGGTGCTACGCTGATTTTTGATTAGCAGATATATTGGCCAAGCAGAAGTTTCTGGTTTGTAGCGCCTTGACACCGGGCTATGTAACTTTGGTGAGAGTTCAGAAACAGTCAAGCCGGGCTAAACTTCCGTTTCCTACCGAAACTCATTTAATTTTTTTTTCAGGTGAGAAAGTGTCCAATCTGTCCGATTTGCCCCGGGATGGCTCGTCCAGATGCACCGTCAAGACCGACAAGGGAACAGAGATTGAAGCGGACGTGGTGCTGGTGTGTGTCGGACTGCCCTGCAATTCCTCAGCTTACGCTACCTCTCTGAGTAAGTTGCAATTGTAGTTCCAATGGGAACATCGCCTGTTCCAATTAGGAACATGTTCTTGGTTCTTGGTTGGTTCTTCTCCTAAATACTCCACGTGGGAGTATATACAGGAGGCCAGAAACACCGGGGCAAACCCCTTCTCTTAGCGATAAGTGTTTACTGCAGGTTCTTTTACGTGCATTTATACAACACACGGGACCTACGGCTTAACGTCCCATCTGAATGACGAAGCAATAATGGTTAAGTGCCTTGCTTAAGAGCACAAGTGTCCGCCGGCGGGCTCGAACCCACGTCACTGTTGCCTCTGAAACACCAGAACGTGAGTCGGTGTTCTTAACCGCTAGGCCATGACACTCCAGAAGTGTCCCATTGGACTGTCAGGCGCCGTTCGCGGAAACGTTTGTCTATAAGAGGCGCGTGCACATTTACTTGGCAATGGCATGTTCCTTCCAAATGGGAAAACCGGCGCTAGGAGCTCAGCACTTTCCCAATGTTAGCATAGTGTTCCTAAAGGGAAAATCCATATGGAATAGGAACGCACCAACTTTTGCGATGTTCCCTCAGACATTATGGGTCATTATGGAGGCTAAGGCGCCTTTACATGCCATCAGCTCGATCACATTGTAGCAGCGTCCTCAATTACAGCTTCTGCTGCGATTAAGGACAATATTAACCCTTACATATCTGTTTCAGAACCATGTTTTTCTCTTTCTATTTCTCTTAACCTTTTAAAGGTAACTGCATGGAGAAGACGGGTCATCTGAAGGTCAACCGGAGCCTTCAGGTGGAGGGTCTAGATGACGTGTTTGCCATCGGCGATTGCTGCAACGTCGACCCGGTCAAGCTGGCCTACTTGTCTGGAATGCAGGCGGAGATAGCCGTCAAAAACCTTCGACTTCTCGCTCAAGGAAAGACCAAGCTCAAAGCCTGGACCCCAAGTAAGTCTCAACGAACATTTATTGGCTTTTTTAAACCTAAGACTACATTGTTTTGGCTCTGAGGCGTGGGTAAATCAATGACCAATATTTTGTGTCGCGTCAACTTTTTTTTAAAATCTGTCTTGCGAAGCTGTGGTCATGCACTGTTCGCACTCTTATTATATTGCATTTCGTTTTTCTTTCCATCAGCCCCACAGTGCTGGGGGATTCCAATGTCCTCTTTCTCGAGGGCAATAAACGTATTGGTTATTTATAAATGGCTCCTTTTCTATTCGCTGTGTTTTGTTCACAGTTGGAACGATGATGGTGGTCCCGGTCGGACGGAATGGCGGCATGTTCCAGAAGGGAACGATGGTGTTCGGTTCTTTTGCGTCTCGGAAGATCAAGAGCGAAGGTTTGTTTACGTCCAGGTACTGGGGCGATATGAAACAGAAGATGCCACAGACTAGAAAGAAGTAGATGCCACGGTTTGAGGCATAAAATCTGTGTCCAATTGGCAGAGTCATGCCTATTAACTAAAATTACGTTTTGAACGACTAAATACAGGAAGAATAAAAAGAAGAAAAACAAAGTCGAGACTATTGTTTTATTAGTGACGTTCTGCATGTAGCACTTTTAAAATCTTCGATATATAAGCCCAATTCGTAAGCTTTCTTTTAGTACAAGAATCATTCAAATCAATTGTGTACTTTTCAAGTTACGGAATTTTAAAGACAACCATCGTTTTAGAGTTCTGTCCATAGATCACCAAAAAAGGTGTGCGTTCTTTCTGCAAACGAAATAATAGTGTAGCTTTGTGTGTTGCATTTTGTTTAATTTTGTGCAATTAAAGACCAGACTTGTCTTATATAATCATAATACTTAAAGGGCCCAAAGTAATGTAGTTGTTTTAAAGCCCTTGAAAATGAACCTTCGGGTCCCATTAAACCTCACTTTGAATTATCATTTTGCCATTTTAAAGGGTATTTTCGTGCCTTTTTGTTTATAATGTTATTTCAAATTTGTAATATTCATAAGTGTGACCATTTTAGTCAAGAACCTCCATGCTTTAGCTATTTCAGCACCAACTTACATTTGCCAGAATGTTGGATATTTTTGATACATTTTCTTTTCTTTGGAGTGATGGTTTGTTGTTTCAATACATGACAGTTGGCCATTGTGCAAAATTTTCTCATTTGTTTTAAAATAACACATGTTGAGTTCAAAATTTGAACAGAAAACCTATCCATAGAAAAGTGTCTTCCTGAAATGACATCACAGCAACACCGAGCGCCCTCATTTGTTAGGAAAAGCGTGGACAATTTTAAATGTTTAAATTCAGAATCTCACTTTTTCACGAAAAGTTCATAAAGGGGATATTAAATAGTTTTCATACATTTAAGAAGAGTAGCAAAGGTGCTCCATATGTTCCCAAAATTCACTGGACGCTTAAATAGGTGCTGTGAATGTTTTAAAAACATTCAGATGGTCATGATCATGTCTTAGTAGAACCATGGCATATTCATTAATTGTAACTTGTTTATTTGTAACATTTTCACGGCCAGCTGTGCGTCATTTTTATAACTGTACATGTATCAGAAACTGCTTTTTTGTGTGTAGGCATAATGTGTGTATAAAAATGTTTTACCTGTAATTTATATAATATAAGAGTTTGTCATGGTATATGCCAGTCATACATTTATTTTCATACAATATACCAACAATTAATGATGTACTAATAATTATTTTTAATGTCTCACTGAAAAGATTGCCTTTCCAAGCCAATTTTGTCCATTAGCATTGTAAATGTATATTTTGTTTTGTTAATTTGTTTTGCTAATTCAGTCAATGTTACGGGAGTAAAATGAGGATGCCCAACATTTTAAACAAAATTAAAGATAACATTTGGCTACTTAATTGATTTTAATCATTGTCATTTTTAAGTTAGTTTAAATTTAAAATTTGGCTACTTAATTAATTTTAATCATTGTCATGTTTAAGTAAGTTTAAAGTTAAAATTTGGTTACATAGTTGATTTTAATAATAATTACTATGTTTAAGTTCGTTTTATTCGTGACTATATTTCTACATAGGTAGTTTATGTTTAGCACGAGGCAAATTGTGAATAGGCCTACTTGAACAATTGCCAGAAAAAAAGTAGATGACAAATTTTGCTTTTGTGTCTCGCTATTTCTTTGCAAATACCTTCAAGATTAAATTCAGAACAAAGCGATCAAAGCACTTGTATACTAAGCAGCATTTACTTTTCACATTTTGTTCTGTGAAAGGAAGTGACTGTTTTGCTATGCCGGCAACTAAAGGTCAATGAAAAAAAAGTTTACCATTTTTTTGCCACCTTGCATTTGCAAATTACGCCTTTGCGAGTCACAATGTTCAATTTTTTTCATGCCATCGGCCAAAAGCGGAGTCGTGGCTGTGGAGCGTCAAAGGGATTGTGAAAAAGCCACCCCGGCCACTGTCTCCAGCAGAGATCACAAAAATTGGGGAATTTTTGGATCGGTCTGTATAAAAAAAATGTAATTGATTGAACAAAGATTAAGTTGACTGGAGTGCAGGTTTGATTCCTGCAACCTCAAAACACTCTACATGTAATTAGTGTCGCAAAGTTTTATATAATTGTATTTCTAGCACTGCGACGTAAGACATGATGCGATGCGTATGCGATGCGAGGGGGGGGTCTACAAAGTCGGCATTAATAATTACAGGATTCGAAAGAAAAAAACTTGCAGACGACACTTTTTAAACACATATCCGAAACACTGTCTGGCGCTGCCGAATGTTTTGTTTATTTTTTCGTACAATGCAAACGGACCCCAGACTAGTCAGGTACTTATTGGTTACTCTTTCCATGCTCTTGGTAAATATCCAGGTACAAGACCTACTACATTGTAATTGAATTGGGCAATAGGCCAACCGCCAGACGATTATTTCAGCCGGTACTACATGTACTACTCGTACTCACTACTACGAGTACGAACATTCAGGTACGGTATGTAGACCTAAGTAAAGTATTATTTTATGTTTCCAAAGAATTGAATGCTGCAGAATTGAATGCTACAGTTCTTGACAAGTTTATGATATAGCAATCTGTCATTTTGGGCGTTCTTTAGCACGAAACTGCAGTCACACGGTACTGCGCGGGCGGCCAACCTTGACTTTCAAAGTTTCAACCGGCCGCATTCTACAGTGAGTAGGCAATTGTGCACAAACATATGGAGCCATGAACCAGTTGTTCTTATTCCTCCATTACCACGGTTACAGAACTTTACAACTTTCATTTCTCCCATAAGGATTCCCATATCTAACCATCACTAAATCCCCAGATTGAAGTTTATGATTTATAGCTATAAGACCTGGATTTTTGAGGAATTGCAGGAATTTTAATCATTTCGCTTAATTTTCAGCCACAACTTCAGACCTGATCATAACATAAGATGGGTGTTTCGCAAAGCTGTGATGATGCACTTCGGGAGAAGCATGTGGTGGTCGTGGGCGGCGGGTACGGCGGCACGGTCGTGGCCCTCAAGCTGCAGGGAAAGTGCAAGATCACTTTGATTGATCCCAAGGAAGCGTTCCATCATTGTCTGGGTGCACTGAGATCCTGCACCGAAGATGGTAAGAATGTAAACCAATATGTGTTTAAATAGGAACGCCCTGCTCACTTTTTAATTATTAGGTCATTGTAGCTTTAAAGGTAACGCACAAACATTTGCAAACATCAAAAGACAAAACCACCAAAGTATTTTGAAATACCTCACTTGAAAGTGAATATTCATCCTGTGAAATCATGGCACCTGGTGTGCTGTCATTTTTAAGAAAAGTGGAATTGTTGTATGAATTTCCAACGATGGTCGGCTGACCATCGTTGGGGAAAAACCACATTGTTTCTAATACGGACCCCAGTTCACCAAATTTAGTTAGTCCACAATTCTCTGATATCTAATTGCTCCGTTTTTGTCAGAAGTAGGTCAGGGAACCAGAGCCTGAGAACAATATTTTTTTCTTGGTTTTTCCAGCATCTATGAAGTATAAATGCAAAACTTGAAACACGTCAATGTAACAATATTTGCTGTAAAATACTGACTCCAAAATCCATCCGCTTTTGCAGGTTTTGCCCGGAAAGTCTTCATCCCCTATGCCCCAGCTTTTGAGGAGAACTTCAAACGAGGCATGGTGGAGGAGGTCGACCCTACAGCTAAGAAGGTCAAGCTAGTCGGAGGGGAGGAGGTCAGCTATGACTACCTTGTCATGGCAACCGGAAGCATGGGGGCCTTCCCTTGTAGAGTCTCGGGGGCAGATGACACAAGCGTCTACGTCGAGAAATACACGGACATGTTGCAAAAGGTAACCATTTAGTACTCTGTTTTTAAACCTATCGATCTTGTATTGTATTAAGCTCGAGGACAGACGACAAAAGGAGCAAAAAGGGGCCTTTCATCCTCGGACGACGGTGCCTATTGTCCTCGAATGCCGGTTTGCATGCTTAGTCTATGGGAAAGGTTTAGATAAGGGAACAAAGGAAAACACAATGCCGATCCTCGGAAGCATAGCAAAAAACGACTGTGTGTTCTGATGTGTTTTTTGATGTGAGTTGTTTTCGTTTTTGCTGAAATATCACTTACCAATACCTTTATCGTGATCCGTGGACAAAATGTTAAAACTGTGTTTGTGTTTTAAAGTCCGTAACTCGAAAAGTATATGAGTGATTTGAATGATTCTTTAAAAGCTCATTAATTGGGCTTTCACATCCTAGATCTAGAAAGCACTACATGCAGAACATCTACAAAATATGGGGCGCTATTTGGGTTTCCTGTTTTTTTTACTCACCCTGTATTTCTGCCATCCCTGTCCATACCTAAGATAAAGGCAAGTACAGATATCGTGGTTGTCGGCGGCGGGGCCGTTGGAGTCGAAATGGCTGGCGAGATTGCCACAGACTTCTCAGACAAGCAGGTGACTATCGTCCACTCCAGAGACTATCTGGTGGAGGGGGACTTGGCCCCGAAATTCCGGAAAGGACTGGAGGACCAACTTAGGGCCAAGGGCGTCAAGCTAGTTCTAGGTAAGAACACATTTTGGTACTCCGAAAGGTGGGTCCAAAAAACTTTTGGATTTTAGATGCTCTGTGATGCGATCTGAGGCAATTTCTGACCACTTTAACCAAATCTGTTGAGGAAAAGATGTGGTGTACGCAGTGCTTGCCTTTATTGTGACATCCCTCCTAAAACAAAAAAATTGGGTTTGTTGTTTTTTTGGAAGGGGGGGGGGGGGCATGGCCCCCGTTGGCTCCCCCTGGATCCGCCCTTGCATTTGTCCCGGAAATGTTCTGGGGAAAGTTTCATGAGCAACTGCTTGACTCACCAAGACTGATTACTTCATTGCGGGACGATTGCAGGGAAGTTGTTCAGAATCCTGCAGCTTATACCCGAATCCAACGTCCGAAACTTGTCCGGAACTCGTCCTGCATATGAATTGAGACAGGCCCCAAGACCAAATGTTCATTTTTTTTCCAGGTGAGAAAGTGTCCAATCTGTCGGAGTTGCCCCAGGATTTCTCGTCCAGATGCACCGTCAAGACCGACAAGGGAACGGAGATTGAAGCGGACGTGGTGCTGGTGTGCGTCGGACTGCCTTGCAATTCCTCAGCTTATGCTACCTCTCTGAGTAAGATGCGATTTTTTTTTTGGGGGGGGGGGGAGGGGTTAGGGGCGCTAATCGTTCTTACTCGCAGAAGCTGCTGAATTGTGAAAGACTCAGCTGCAAGGTGGTCAAGCTGAAGGCAAGGGAAAGCCCCTTAGGCACTGAGCCCCCATATGACTCATAATTATCACAGCCAAATCAAAAGCATTCTTTTTTTTGCGGAGGGAGGAAAACTGGAGAACCCTGAGTAAAAAGTGTCATGGCACAGGAGAGAATTAAAGAACAACGCTTCTCACGTATGACCCGAGCCGGGATTGGAACCAAGGCCATATCAGTGAGAGGCGAGCGCTTTGCGCACCGCGCCACCCATGCCAACAATGCTTTTTCTAGATACACTCATGAGCAATCCTATTGACTTTTTAAACGTGCAATAAAATATAAGATATGCCAGTGTTTCTTTTGGGTGCGCTGACAGTATAGCTGGGCCAATTGTTCAGCCTCGGGAGGTGGTTTGCGCTCTCTGAGTGCGGCCATTGTTTTGCAGAATCATTTACAGATATTTTGTTTTCTCTTTTTATTTCTCTGAACGTTTTAAAGGTAACTGCATGGAGAAGACAGGTCATCTCAAGGTCAACCAGTTCCTTCAGGTGGAGGGTCTGGATGACGTTCTTGCCATCGGCGATTGCTGCAACGTCGACCCGCTCAAGCTGGCCTATATGGCTGCAATGCAGGCGGAGTTAGCGGTCAAAAACCTTGAGCTGCTCGCTCAGGGAAAGACCAAACTGAAAGCCTGGGCCGCACGTAAGTAACAACATCCTGTTATTTTTTTATTTTTGTTTAAACCCAGTCTACGGTTCAGGCGTGGGCAAATTAGTGACCAATATTTTTGGTCAAGTCAATTTTTGGTTGTAAATCTGTCTTGCTCATTTCTAATGTAAGCCTTGAACCTCTGTGCTGAGACGCTAAGCAATCGGGTACTGACTGACCAGAATTATTCAAATCGTAAAAATAAGGGGGCCGACATTCCAATGTCCTAGCAGAATCTTTTGTCAAACTTATAAATTCATGGGTGATTTCTAATTGGCTTTTTTGTTTTAATCCTTGCGTTTTGTCAGCTGGGACGCTCATGGTCGTACCCGTCGGACGGAATGGCGGAATGTTTCAGAAGGATTCGCTTGTGTTTGGTTCCTTCCTGTCTCGGAAAATCAAGAGCGAGGCATTGTTTACCTCCAGATACTGGCGCGATATGAAACAGAAGGTGCCAGAAGCAGAAGATTCTGAGGTTTGAGGACTTAAATCGGTTTCAGACTAGTGGTAGGATTGAAATTCGGATTTTTTCAAATTCAGTTTGAAGTCCACTATTCGGTTTGGATTTTAGAAACTTGATATACAAACCAACTCGGCCTTTGATATTTTGCGGCACAAGCTCAAGAAAACAACTGGAAAATCCCCCAATAAATTTGCTCCATGGTCTCTGATTATGACTGCATTCACTCACTAGCGGTCTTCTCATTTCATGAATAGCCTGCCCATTTGACTGATCAGGGAGTTAACCCACCCATGTTTTTTTACCATTACAGCTCTCGAGTGTTTTTTTTTAAAGGCCTGGTGGTCATGGATCCCGCAAACTATATGTATACCATATCTTTGTGTACTTTTTGTTGGCAAGACTCCAAGTTGAATTGGAACTTAAGGTGAAATCAGATAACCGTTATTCGGTTTGGAAACAATTAGGATAACCGACGTATGCGACGTTTTGTGTTGTACATCAAGTTTTTATTGAATAGATTCTAGAGTCATTCTGAACGACTGCTGTAGTCGACCCTTAGAGGTGAATATTGCACTCTTGTGGCTCTTCGCGTCACTAGAAAGCCAGTTTTAAATTGGTGATAAATACTAATGAAACAAAGTACATCATGAATGTATTGGAAACATATTTTGTAGGGAGATTTAAGTTACAGCTGAAATATATATGCCTCATTCTTATCATGAAAGTAATATTTTAATTGTAAATTCATGGGGATGTTTTTAATTATGAAAGTAATAAACCTGTTGTTAAAGTTTCTGCCAAGAATCTCAATAATTATAATAACAATAACAATTTACTAATATTGAATAATGAGATAGTCTTTGAAATGTAATAGTACAGTATTTATTAGAAGTAAATATACTATAGTTTTGTGTGGTGAATTTTCTTTATAAATATGGCGCAATACATCAGGTGTAAGTGCTTCTAGCAGCTTTCGAAGTTAGGGCCTGTAAACTCAGAAAGAATACAGTACTTCTAACGGTACACTCTAATCTTGTTAATCCCTTTGTCAACAAACTGGCCCGTTATCAGATACTGCTGCTAATCCCCTGCACTTGTCAATATCAGCTGTGTGACAGCACATGTGGCTTCAGTGTTTGGGATTATATAAAGCCACTGTTTGGACGAAGGATTAAGATAGATTAGAGGGCTGGCCAGTTTACAGTTAGATTGACTGTTTTCTCTCTGAAGTTTTTGGCGGAGGTTACTCCCAATGATGAGACTAGGTGCTTTCTTAATGCTTAGTGGGTGCTGTGAAATTTGTTTGGTTCGGGCCATTATCCGCGACCAGGATGCATTGTTTTCCTCAAACGACATCTGTGTCCCATCTTCTGGTTGGTCCATTTCATGCATATATCTAATGCCTTGTTCTCCACAACACAAACCCAAGATAGGCTTTACGTCTTGTGAGAAATGTTACTTCCTCACTTAAGTTATTTAAAAGGTCAAATGGTATACCCGTCCTATCGGGTAACATGCCAATGAACACATTAATTTTTTTAAATGTAAAAACAAAATAATCATGCATTGATATATTGTTGCTTTAAAAAATAATCTAAATTAAAAGATTTGTCTTTCCACTAGCATTGCAATAGAATATTTTGTAGTTATTTATATTGCCCATTCATTGCTTATGGAAAAAGAAGAAAGGAATTCAAGGAATTAAAAGTTAATGTTTTGTCAGTTAGGAGATCTCAATAATTGCTATTTTTAGTTTTGTTTTTAAACTCAAACTTTATTTTTACAGATCATTAGAAAGTGTTTAAAGGTGTATGTATTTAGCATATTGTTATTAATAATATTGTGTGCCAACATTTCACACCGAAAAAAATATTGCCAGAAAAAAGTAGATGAAAATTTTACTTTTGTGTTTTGCTATGTCTTGTCCATTAATTTGTAATTAAAACCTTCAGAATTAAATTCTCTACAGAGTAGATCAAATTGATAATAAAAAGCATTTTGTAATTATTGTCATTTGTAATTCATATTTTGTTCTGTGAACATGAATTATTGTTGTTTTTCTTCCTTGATGTTCCAATATATGCACGGGCAATGAAAAAGATAACAGCTATGCTAGCCTTCATTTTGAAAATTGTGACATTTTGCAATTAGTGCATGCCTGCGATAATTTCTAATGTTTCGCTAGCCTAGGTTGGACCCCTCCATCACGTGTACACAATTGCACCACGGAAACCCAACTTTAAGACGCGAGTCAACACAAAAATTGGGGAACTTTTGGATCATCAGCAATTAACAAAGAAATATGGTTGGACAAAGAAATTGACTGCTATGGGGTTTGAACCTGCAACCTTTAGAACACTTTACTGACTGACACTCGGCTGTTTCCCTTTTTTTTGTTTAATTGTATTTTTAAAAAAAATTGTGTCCTGAGTGCATGTACTCAGATGTATACAACATTCGAAAAAAATTGCAGACGACACAGTAACATCAAACGCATGAACACAGGCTGCCAAATGTTATGTTGTGTTCATTCCCGTGAAATACAAATGGACGCCAGACTAGTCAGGTATACCTTGGTAACTTTATGGTAAATATCTAGGTACAAGACCTACTAATTGCCAGTCCAGTGCAGACGAACCAGCTTTTCACTCAGACGCAGAGGAACTTTCACTTTTTCAGGTACGGTAGGCCTAGTAAAACTTCCGAAGAATGGAATGTTGTGAATAAACAGTCCGTGACTAGTTTATGATAGGACAATATGTCATTTACGGGCTTTCTTTACTTATTAATAGCACGAACCGGCAGTCACTGTCGGCCAGTGATGTTTGTGTAAACAAACATGACATTCCACTTCCAGGCGATTTGTGCACAAATCTGTGGACCCATTTCGCTCGTACCGGTAGCCCCGCCCTGCAAACAGGACGCTGGGAATACTCTGATGAGCTTCACAGACATGACAGAATCTTGTGAAGGAAGTGGCCTAGTAGTAGTATGACTACATGTACTGTAGGCCCCTATATATATGTATAAAGCATCTGGCTGCAGCTGTTCAATGTGCGCAAATGCTATCTGAAAACTGCCCATATAGAAATGCACACGTTCCATACTGGAGGTGATTTCTGTTTCATTGTGGACCATGAATGATTGTGTTTCCCGTTCGTGATTCGAAACGGAGCCTGAGCATGCTGAGCAAGTGACGGGAATTGTAAATTTACAACACAGATAAGTTTTATATAATTTCCTACATTATTATGCTTTTCAACGAAAACAAAAATCTCTAAACTAGAATAAAAGAGTATTAAATGAATCAGTCTTAATGGCCGTTTCAAACCTTGCAGAGTCATGACCTTGATGACACGAAGGTCACAGGTCTCGCAAAATCCAACCAATCAGAGCGTGAATTCATCAGAATATCCCAGCGCCCAGGGCGGGGCGTACGAGCGAATGGACCCATGGGAAAGAATGTTGCAACAAAGTGACAGCTTTCATTTGATTTCTTCTCATGATGTTCTTTTCGCATTTTTGCATAGGAAGTTTAAATAAAATCATTTTAAAAATAGAACAAACTCACAAAGACAGTTTTGGGGAATATTTTTATACACCAGTTTCATACTAGTCATTAGTAGTACTTTTACTATTAAATACAAGCCTATGATTGAATAATATATGACATATCCCTGCCATTATTGACCAATCAATAAATTTAACTGTTAATAATAGAAGTGCACTTTTCCATAAAGGGATGTCAAATATTTTTCACACATTTAAAGGGAAGATACAACATTTGCAAACATTGAAAAATAAAACTGCCAAGTTTTTACAAATTCCCTTCCTAGGATGTTGGTAAATGACAGTCTAAAGCATCCTGTAAAATTATGGCACCTGGTGTGAAGTCATTTTCAAGAAAATGGCATTTTAGTATCTGTTTCCAGCAGTGGTCGGCCGACCACCGTTGGAAAACCCCAACTATTGTGCAACTACTGCTCAAAATTTACCATTTTTTATTCAGTTAAAATTTTGTTTACTACGGGTGCAGGCCAGCTAGACTTGTTCCCTTACCTTACAATTTTCCAGCATCTGGAAATTGATCCATTTTATCTTTAGTGGAGTCAGGGAACCAGACTACTTGAACGTTTTTTTGTTTTTCTTGGTTTTTCCAGCTTTTTCGAAGAAAAAAATTCAAACATGTCAGTGTAACAAAATTTGATCTATTATTCTAACCCCTTAAATAGTTCATTTCTGAAAATTACAGCAAAAGCCAATGATGTACATTCCCTTTAAGAGGAGTAGAAAGGTGAACAAAATGTGTTCCTCAGAAAAATTCATTTCACGGACCCTTTACGCTTGACTAGTTGTGCATAAACTTCACGGCTTGTTTGTCATCCATACCCATGATGCAGAGGGAAGGTCAAAAAGTAACCATACAGAGGCCATATTACAAAGAGTGCCGACTCGCATGACTCTGCACAATCTATTTTTTATTACATTGTAATTGTCGCCCATTGTTGGCAATATTTCCAGGCCATGATGCACGTAGGCACAAGGAATACGCCTACACATTGTAGCTATGGTGGATGTGAATATATCAAAACTGAATTGTTGCCCAACTTTTTCATAAATTTTCAATCATTATTAAGAATTTTTTCATCCTTTTGCTCAATTTTCAGCCGAAACTAAAAACCTAACCCAACAATGGGTGGATCGCAAAGCTGTGACGCGGCGCTTCGGGAGAAGCATGTGGTGATCGTGGGCGGCGGGTACGGCGGCACCGTCGTGGCCCTCAAGCTGCAGGGAAAGTGCAAGATCACTTTGATTGATCCCAAGGAAGCTTTCCATCATTGTCTGGGTGCACTGAGATCCTGCACCGAAGATGGTAAGTATGACAAAAATTGAAATTATGGGAACGCCCTGCTCACTTTTTCATTATTAGGTCATTTGTAGCTTTAAAGGCAATGCACAACATTTGCAAACATCAAAAGACAAAACCACCAAATTATTATGAAATACCTCACTTGACTGTAAGTGAATAATAGTCTCAAGCATCCTGTGAAATCATGGCACCTGGTGTGCTGTTATTTTCATAAAAAAGTGGAATTTTTGTATGAATTTCCAACGATGGTCGGCCGACCATTGTTGTGAAAAGGAGCGAAAAGGATCCAAAGTTTCTTCATATAGATATTTTGTGAATACCGTGCCCAGCCAAACATCTGAAGTTTTCGCAATAGCAAAGAATTTTCCACTTTTGCAGGTTTTGCCCGGAAAATCTTCATCCCCTACGCCCCGGCTTTTGGAGAGAACTTCAAACGAGGCACGGTGGAGGCTGTTGACCCTACGGCAAAGAAGGTCAAGCTAGCCGGAGGGGAGGAGGTCAGCTACGACTACCTCGTCATAGCGTCGGGAAGCAAGGGCCCCTTCCCAGCCAAAATCGCTGGTGGAGAAGACTCCAGTGTCTATATCAAGGAGTACACGGACATGTTGCAGAAGGTAGCTCATAATCTAGTACTCTTTTTGAACCCTAGAATGTGTGAAAAACCTGCTTAAAATGCGTGTAGTCTGGTGAAGTTGACAGCTTTGCCAAGTTGTATTTGGAAACTACCAAAGGGATACGGGAACTGAACTTCTGGATGACTTGGGATGGGACACACTACAGAACAGAAGAAATCAACAGAAATTATGTATGCTCTACAAGATGAAAAATGGGTTGGTCGACATTCCACTTCACAACTATGTTCAGCCTAATACCAGAGATACAAGGGGAAACAACCAAAAATTCATTCAAGTCAGTCCCAAAGCTAGGGCCTTCCAAGATTCCTTCTTCGTGTCAACTGTTAAACTCTGGAACTCACTCTCCTCGGCCGCTGTGAACAGCGCAACTCTAGCTGAATTCAAGGGACACATCAGTAATCTATAATAATATCTACCAGTAGTCTATTTCCATATTTTCTATTTTTTTCCCCTTTTTTTCTTTCCAATCCCTGTCAATATCTTTCAAGGTAAAGGCAAGTAAAGATATCGTGGTTGTCGGCGGTGGGGCCGTTGGAGTCGAAATGGCCGGCGAGATTGCCACAGACTTCTCGGACAAGCAGGTGACTATCGTCCACTCCAGAGACTATCTGGTGGAGGGGGACTTGGCCCCGAAATTCCGGAAAGGCCTGGATGATCAACTTAGGGCCAAGGGCGTCAAGCTTGTTCTAGGTAAGAACAATTTAAAAGAACTTAATTAAGGTCTGTTTTAAGCCAATAAAGTCAGATGTGTGACGTCTAAGTACCACGTGACCATCTGGTTTGCCCCAAATTGGCCACTATTGTTTATAGGCAAGCGTTTGGTTGGCAACAACGTCGTGCATTGAAAAGTAGACAGTTGGGCTTATTTTCACGTAAAACAACCACAAATTCTTTATCATATAGCATAATGGTCAGTAAACTGCGAAGCTCTGGAAGTGTCGTCCAACTTGTTGAGGTCCTGACATTTTTTTAGCTCAGGATGATGACATCTTAAAAATAAGATGACGACATTTACCTTCAAGATGCATTCTGAGATAAAGTATCTCAGGTTGTCGACAGCTTATCTCTAAGATCAGAACTTCCTTTTATTATTTTTTTTTCAGGCGAGAAAGTGTCCAATCTGTCCGAGTTGCCCAGAGATGGCTCGTCGAGATGCACCGTCAAGACCGACAAGGGAACAGAGATTGAAGCAGACCTGGTACTGGTGTGCGTCGGAGTGCCTTGCAATTCCTCAGCTTACGCTACCTCTCTGAGTAAATTGCAAATTTTTTTCTCCACTTGATATTCAAAATGGAAAAATATAGTAAGATGTGACGAGTATCCGTCTTTCTTTTGTCTTGCGTCTTGATAAATTACTAAAACGAACAATTCTCCGAAATCTTTATTTCTCACAAATTCATCTCCGTATTCTCTGGTTTTCCTACGTCCGCAACAAAACTCAGCACTTCTTTGGCTGTGCTCTGTTGTAAGACATGGGTCGTAAGGGGGATGCAAAAAGGCACCTTTACATGCCTTGGGCTTGACCATATTGTAGCTGTGTCCTTCGCAATTCAGCTTCGGCTGCAAGGACACTTGGCCCTCCCCTCCCCCCCCCCCACACATGTTTTGTTTCAAAACTCAATTTCTGGAAACCCTTAAAGGTAACTGCATGGAGGAGACTGGTCATCTCAAGGTCAACCAGTTCCTTCAGGTGGAGGGTCTGGATGACGTGTTCGCCATCGGCGATTGCTGCAACGCCGACCCGGTCAAGCTGGCCTACTTGGCGGGATGGCACGGGGAGCTGGTCGCCCGTAATCTCCGGCTGCTGGCGCAGGGAAAGACGGAGCTGAAAGCCTGGAAAACACGTAAGTTACGGTGACCAATGTTTTTGTTTGTTTCAATGGGTTATTCCTCTCACAGGTGTAATTTATTAGTATATACAGGGTTCAACTTGAGTGGTACCCTACTAGCCAAATGCTAGTCAAACAGCGGTGGGATCGTCAAAGTATTCCTTAAGTAGCCCGGCTGGCGAGTCAAAAATTATTGGGCTACGGCAAAGATGAAAGGACAGGAAGAAATAAATCATTAAATTCAGGAAGCAATCTTTATCAATATTTATGCAAGGTTTAAGCCTCTGCGGTTGTGGCTTAACTCAAATCTCACCAAAGTTGTAAAAACAGACAATTGGCTTTGACGTAAAATACGCTTTCTTAGTCTATCCCCTTTTTTGCTTTCAGCTGGGACGCTGATGGTGGTGCCTGTCGGACGAGATGGCGGAATGTTCCAGAAGGATTCGATTGTCCTCGGTTCCTTCATTTCTCGGAAAATGAAGGGCAGTCATCTGTTTGTCTCTAAGTACTGGGGCGAGATGAAACAGAAGGTGCCGGTAGCAGGGGATGCCGAGGTTTAAGAAATGAAATTCTTCTCAGACTTGCGTTTCAGAGTCGGGCCGAACTAAAAAAAAAAAATGTGGAACGATTCAAGTCGACCTGAGTCAAACGATTCAGGTCGACCTAAAGAAATATGGTAGCAACATGTGACAAATCTCTTTTTGTGAGTTTGGGAGGCTCTGAAAAGAATGGGGGGGGGGGGAACGTTTCGGACAGTGCACTCTGCCCGTCATCACACACAGAGTCACTGCAAAAAAAATGTCACTGTGAAGAGCAGTGAAGCATGACCGAATCTGGCTTGATATAACCGCACAAAAGAATTGCGCAAGGATCTGAAGTCCATACTCCACAGAAGATTACCTCAAGGGAATTTGAAATGTAGGTGCTAACTCTGTGGGCAAATTGTTAAGCAAAAAAACTTGGAAGTTTGGTGAAGTGCAGAAGACTAGGAGGGTTTATTTTTCAAACACCGAGCTTAATCTAAATGTAAGGCATAATTTTGCTCAGTGCAACAGTGGAATGCAAGTCTGAACGAGTGTCAAATACTAATGAAAGCAGTACGTACATACGTACTGGAAATATGTTTTGTAGGTTGATTTAGTTATAGCTTAAATATATGCCTCATTCTTATCATTGTAAATTGATGTTTTAGTGTAGATCCACGGAGATGGAATTTTTTATCATGAGAGTAAGAAAATATGTAAATTTGTGCCCTGAAAAGTCAATAATAATAAATAAATAATAATAGATGTTGAAATTACAGTCTTTATTAGAAGTGAATGTACTAGAGCATTGATGCATTTTATTTTTGTATTGCGCAATTTGAGCTTAGTTGCTGTCTTAATAGGTGCTGTGTAATTTAGGAAATATATATGTGCTTAGCCGGTTTGAAACAAGTATGTTTAAAACTGACATTCGTCTTGGGCCTTTATCCATGACCACGCTCCTAGCCGGTCTTAAATGTACTTGTTTAATACTGGCCAAGCACAAATTTATTCCCATTCATTATACCTTTCGGTGAAAAGTCCAAACAACTCAAGAATTAACAATTTCCCAACAATTTTGTGCAACGATTTTACCTCGTTTTGTTTTGTGTGAAACACCCTTCTGGTCATGTTTATGGTATGTGCCTCGCACGCGTAGTACTAAAAATCTCCTTATATGGAGATTGGCGCAGAATGCAGCGGTGCAGAAATAAAGTTTTTAAAACCTGCCAGTAGTTTAAAACCACCCATGTGACAGGCTCTCGACCAATAGGAATGGGTAAACTGTTTCAGGAATTTATGATGGTCATTATCACGTGCATTGAACTTGTTGAATGCATGTGTAACATAAGCACATACATGGTAAAATATTTTTATTTTTTTGTACTTTAAGGTCAGTACTTAATATCAGAAACTGCCAATGCTGTGCATTCATAACATGTTTACTTCTGAAATATACCCGTCTTTTCGGGTAACATGCCAATACATTTATTTTCTTCTATAAAAATAATCATGCATTTAAACATTGCTTTTAAAAAATCTTAAGGGATCTTCTTTCCATTAGCATTGCAGTAGTATATTTTGTAGTTGTTTACATTTGCTCATTCACTGTTTATGGGGAAAAAAGAAAGGAATTCAAGGATTCTTAAATTAAATTTTTGTTAGAATTTAATAATTGGTATTTTTAGTCTTGCTTTAATCTCAAACTTTATTTTTACAGGTAGCAATGTGTTTAAAAGGGTATGTACATGTATTTAGCATATTGTTACCAATTGTGCCAACGTTTTACGCAGACAAAAAATATTGCCAGAAAAAAATATTGCCAGAAAAAAAAGTAGATAAAAACTTTTGCTTTTGTCTTTCACTATGTCCTGTTCATTAATTTGTAATTAAAACCTTGAGGATTAAATTTGCCACAAAGTGGATCCAACTGATTGAAGTATTTTGTAATTATCGTCATTTGTAATTCATATTTTGGTCTGTGAATGTGAATGATTTTTCTGTGCACAGTCTATCAAACAGTAAAGCATTTACACTAGCCTTTAACACTGTGCAGTTTATGTATTCTACTTCTTCACACGCAAAAACTCATGGTTAAAAAAAAAAAATTAAAGGAATTTCCCCATTCCGTACACATTTTCATTCAGATCTCACTGGAGAAACACGCGGAACAATTAATCTTGAGCAGAAATCGAAATCATTCTCTAAATGCAGTAAAGTAGCCAATCAAATTTCTCAATGCTTTTGTAGGTGGGATAATAATGATTTAGCATTAAACACCAAAGAAACAATGACAATAGAATACAAAATCATCTGATAGAAAAATAAATTTATTCACACTTGCCATGTTTCAGCAGACAAACGAAGCAAAACAAAAATTCAGGGCATACGGCAAATCAAAGTTTACGGGAATGAAACAAACAAACTTTCCACTAAATTTTAAAGAGAAAAACCATGAATACGTGGAAATAAACATATCCACAAATTATGAAGTGCATATATATGTAGTATTTTCAGAAATCTTCAGCATATACTAGGCGTGCGCATTAGCATGAATCAAAAATCCGGTCGTGGACAGACAACGCAAAGTGGTTCAGTCATCAACCTTTCATTAAATTGCATAAATTAAAGTGGTCCCAACGATTTCCGCTTCTTTTAGGTACTAGACATTCTTATGGTTTGATCCGCAATAATCACGACCAACCATATCATCCACGAACCGTTAGTAGCAGCGTCTAGGTCAATTCATAAACTCTCCCCCCCCCAAAAAAAATGGGGGAGACTAATATGCATGCGCGACTTCTGCAGGCAATTATGCACAACAAAAGAGCTGACCAGCGAAGTTGCACAAACGTCTTGCTGCATTTTTCATGTTACTGGAAGAAATGTAAGAGTTTGCTTCGGAACTACTATGAGCTGTTTTGCATATATTAGGCCGAACAGGTGCGCGCATGACACAACTAATATAGGAATTGGCCTAGACGTAGTTAATGACGGTTCGTGGATGATATGGTTGGTCGTGATAACGTCCTCTCGCGGGTTATCGCGTATCGAACCATAACAACGTCTAGCACTTAGACTATCTGGAACCATGCTTCTGTCTGAATGGCGCTCACACCGCCTTCATCTCATCAATGACCAGTAGCGATACGTCGCTCTCAGACTCGACGCTGGATTGTTGCGGCGATGCCGTACTGATCTGTTGACTATCTGCGGCTTCTTCTGTCTGTTTCCACACTGTGTGCCAACAAATAACGTACAATTAAACACAGACCGTTAAGTAGTGTAGCACCTTTGTAAGGGTTTACAAGGTGCTGCAGTGTATATTGCAGCCAATGCCAGAAACACCGGGGCAAACCCCTTCTCTTAGCGACAAGTGTTACTGGGTTCCTTAACGTGCATTACACAACACACGGGACTGCGGCTTTACGTCCCATCCGAAGGACGAAGCAATAATGGTAAAGTGCCTTGCTCAAGAGCACAAGCACCATGTTCCCCATCAGGATTCGAACCGATGTACCGCAGCACACGAGTCGAACACCGTAACTATTGGCCCACAGCTACACACTTAAATTTATGCTTCTATGCTTGAATTTACGCTTCTATGCTCGAGCACCAATGTTTTTTTGTGAAGATCTTAACATGTCAATGAATAGGTGAAATCTCGGTGTCACTTACCAAAGATTTGGGAGCCGTCCTTCTGTAGATCTTTGAGGGCGACTTCGATGGACTGCTCGCCGTTGACGCACTGCAGGGCAGCGGCTACTCTGTTGCCATCTTCGTCCACCAGATGAACCTGGTAATCCCAGATACAGAATGAGTTTTCGGTTGGAATTGTTTGTGTAATTGAGATGTTTCAATATAAGGTTTTGCCTCTTGACTAATATTAAACCTAACCCATCCAAATCCTCTTTGCAAAATGGAGAATTTTGCAGGATTGGGGCTACATATATGGCAAAAATGTGCGGCTGATTTGGAGAATGCACTGTGTCAAGGTCTTGGGCCGGACCTTGTGTTGTTTATGCTCAGCCGTGCATACATTGAGGCCTAGATTATACTTGAAATCCTCCGCACTGCTCCAGGATGTCACTGGCTCTGCCTCAACATATTGACAGTGACTGCTGGAGGATTTTGCAGGATTGAGGCAGTGGTCACCCCTCCAGGGACCACATTCAAGAAATAATGGATGTTTTGGAGGATTAGGGCTGTATTCTACATGAAGGCAGTAGGATTTTGCAGGATTGAGGTTGCATCCTGGCAAAAATGCCAGGGGAGTAAAGGTTAAAATGTCTGCACTAGTAAGCAGACGGTTGTGGGTTCGAGTCTCACTCTGGGGTTGGTTGCGAGGGTCGGGAGGGGGGGGGGGGGTGTTTGTACAATGTCTGATTCTACTGGTGCTATTCAAACACGTATTTTATGCATATAAACATACATCATACACATTTTAAATTCCCCACAGTCATTCACATGAAACGTGTTTAAATACGAAATATGCAGTGAACAGGAAAATATAATACAGATTTAGGAAAATTTCCTTGAAATTTATATGCACTTAGGGAAATTATTTGGGGTGGGGACATCGCCATTGGCACCCCCCCCCCCCCCCCCCCCCCACTGAATCCCTGCCCATGGCTGGGTTAGATCAGGTTTATTTCTATTGAGCGTATCGCGTCCAATAAAAAGGCGCACTCCCCTACCTGTTCCACAGATCTCTGGGACTTGCTCTTCTCGTCTGCCTCTTGACTTGAAGACCCTTCCCCCTGGCCACCAGAAGATGTGTTTCCATTTCCCTGAACACAAGACAATTAAAAACAGAAATAATTCTCATCACCTAAGAAGAAAATCAGTTATGTGTGCCACTGTGATGCATATGTAAGCATTAATTTTTCGACTTGCATTCTGAATTCCAAAAAAAGCAATTGTTGCACTCTCAACACCTATAAAAGAAGTTAAAAATCCCACCCCCTCCCCCAACAGATTGATCCTTGCACAGAATCACGGTGCTATCCCGGAGGCCCCCAGCAATGGAGCACTAGCTCCATACAATAGCTAGCACAATGCTTTCGCCATTGAAGGGGGCCTTCGTGATAGAATTGATGGTGTGCCCAGAGTGGTCTGTACCTGATGTTGATCCTGGTTGGATGCTACTTCCACCTGTAGGCTGTAGGAGTGGAATGCCTCGATAGCATTCGAGATCTCGTTCAGGGCGTTGTTCCTCTCTGCGATCATGGTCGCCTCATCTCCTTGATCCTGGGACGACCCCGGCAGGGTGTACAGAATCTAACGACAGAAAAATCACAAATCTTAAGAAAAATGTATGTTCCAACATCCTTCTACAAATAAGTCGGATGCTTTGGGGACATAAAAGCTGCTATTTTGGATTGAAAACACCTCTTGCCTCAAGTTTTAATCTATTTCTGCAGGAACTGCCTGACCTGATAGGTACATGTACATGTATGATGTCAAGACTCAAGTCTGTTCCTGTGACTACTGCCTGTTCACATATACTTATAAGAAGTCAGGGATCCAGTCTACTCCTTCATGTGACCTCTGTCTGACCTCATTTACATAACACAGGCAAACTTGATCAAGAAACATCGTTCAACAATGGCTAAATTTGTGACGATATTGCATCTCCAACACAACTGTATACAATGCATCCAACTGATTTAATAGATGGCTACCAATCTTTACACATGTAGAAATTAAACTTCCCAGGATGTGATTAGGTACAAACATGCTTCTAATGCTTCGTAAATTAAAAAAATGTTTACACGAATCCTCGATTCTTTGTCAACTAAAACTGTACGGCAGATTAAGTGAACGGATCTTGATTTTTTTTAACCCATTAACACCTATATTAACCCCAACTCCCTAACGTCTTTTACTAGGAACTGGACCAAGTCCATCAAAATCCATCAATCACTGTGCGTCCAATACAAAAATGTACAAGACATAACGGAATCCACCACTGACGCAACTGGTTGACATTCATGGACTTGCTACACATGGCTTTTGTCACAATAGCAGTACAGAAAGCTAGGCAAAATCAATCGGATACCCCTAGCACTGCTTCAGGCCATTAGGCCCAAGTCCATCATACTCCATCAATATTTAGTCACACCAGGCCTTCTGGACCAAGCCACCCAAAATCGACCGAAATTGGGGGCTGGATTTTGATGGACTTGGGGTGCTTAGGGTTAAACTGTTTTTATTTTCTGACAAATTTATAAAATCGTTCAGTGCTCGGGCGGTTTCAGAGGCCACAGGGAGTAACAACCAGGGCAGGTTGGAGCGGTACAGGGACCGACAGGTTAAATGTCTCATCCGTAGATCTGCTCCCTAACCTTGCTCGTTTGGATGCCGGTGCTGGTCGTGACTTTCTTCTGGAACAGCTGGCCCATCTCGTGGGCCTTGAGGTGGGCCCTGAGCCGCTGCTTCCAGGCCGTGGAGAAGCTGCACTTGGGGCAGTTGAGGCGGACCGTGGAGTGCTTGGCCATGTGGCCCACCAGGTGCTGCTTGTTGGCCGTGGCGTAGTCGCAGACGTCGCACTTGAACGGTTTGATGCCTACGCAAAGATGAAAACAATCCACTTGGAATGATGCTGTGAACTAGGTTTATGAGTCAAAGACGTATCCATCACATTTCACTTAACAGTTTTGGAGGATTATGAAGGATTCAGGATGATAGACAAGCCGTTAAAACTTTGCAACTCTTATTTATTTTTATTTAAAGAATATGCCACCAGGTTCTTGCACACTAGACGATTTGGGAGAGATCCCGGAGAAAATGCCCAGCGCATTTTAATCGGGTGTCATGAATAGCCATTTCTTAATCAATGCAACTTTGACAGCAGACCCTATTTTCAGTGCTGCAGGAATACAAAACTAAAGATATGACGTAATAGTGCTTTGCCAAGTATAACTTAGTTGTGATGGTCTGACTACTGAAAATATTACATGAACCACTTAGGAGCTGACTACATTTACTTTTAAGGAGAGTTAAATTTAAATTTAGAAATCAACTTGAGTTAGTTATCAAAGAGAACTTCCAGAATACACCAGTGCTCTACTGACTGAGCTTTCCAGGCCTACACTGCTGGCTCAAAAATTCTGTTCTTTGTTCACACGCCATCGACCTGCATGTGCCGTAGCAGCAAGTGATCCCCAAAATATCCGAAAAATTGTAAGCTACCTGTGTGTTTGGCGATGTGTACGTGCATCTGGGTCATGTTGATGGCCGAATAGTTGCAGTGTCCGCACTTGAAGGGCTTGACGTCAGAATGTTTGGCCATGTGTCGCTTCAGGCTGTTCTTGTAGCCCGTCGAGTAACCACACTCCTCGCATACGTAGTCCTTCTCCGGCATTTTACGATCGGCCTTCAGGTAAAGATGGAATCCAAGTTTAATAACATTTTAGTAAAACATTTAGTCATGTTTGTTTGTTTAAATTTAAACGTGTAAAAGTGCGTCCTTACCTAGGGGGAGTGTGGCCTAGTGGTTAGGGTTTGTGACTCATGATCAGAGGGTCAGGGGTTCGAATCCAGCTGCTGGCCATAAGTTGTGTCCCTGGGCAAGCCACTTCACCCCCACCTGCCTCTCTCCACCCAGGAGTATAAATGGGTACTGACATAATTAGCTGGGGAGTAACCTGTGGTGGACTAGGGGGAATATAAATATTCTCAGTCGTTTCATGCTTCTGAAACCGGAGATAAATGCTGGCCTGATGGGCCACATTGGCTCGTGACAGACTTTACTTACTTTGTGGCGGTTCATGTGTCGCTGTAGGCTGTACCGGTGTGCTGTTGTGTAGTCGCAGGACAGGCAGCTGTAGGTACTGGAAGGCCGGTCCGTCACGCCGTGCTTCTGTTCATGGTTGACCATCTAGCAGATGAGAATACCCAGGAATGAAAGTCTTGCTTTTGGGTTTTTATACTTTTTGTTTTTTAAAGATTGCTCTTTGGCAGAAAATTGCAAAGGATTACTGATTTGGATTTTGTTACACTGAGCAGGTTTTTCATTTAGACAAGCAGCGATTTTAGCAAAATACCCAAGAGGGTTTGGGTCATTACCTGCTGTTTATGAGCTGCTGTGTAGTCACAAAAGGTACACTGCAGAGGCTTCACCGTGGAGTGTCTCAGCTCATGAGACTTCAAGTTCTGCTTGGTGGTGGTGGCAAAGTCGCACCCTTCCTGGTCGCACTTGAAGAGCTTGTTACCCATGTGCCGGTCCATGTGGGCCTTGAAGCTGACTCGGTAAGGGGTGGCGTAAGTGCAGCGGTCGCACTTGAAGCGTTTCTCCTCCGCGTGGCGCCCCATGTGCGTCTGAAGGTCCTGCTTGCGGGCCGAGGAATAGTCGCACTGGTCGCACTTGAACGGCCGCAGCCGCTCGTGCTTGGAGCGCACGTGGTGGATCAGGCTGTGCTTGTAGATACTCTGGAAGTCACACTGGCTGCACCGGAAGGGTTTCTCCGCCTCGTGCTTCTTGGTGTGCGTCATCAGGTCGTGCTTGTAGGGCGACACGTAGTCGCACTTCGGGCAGCGAAAGAGCTCGTCCTCGCACAGCTCACCGATCTTGGCGTGCCGTTTGAGGTGGGTCTTGAGGTTGTACTTGTGGCGGGTGCTGTAGTCGCAGTCCATGCACTTGAACATCTCCTTTTCGCCGATCTTGGCGTGGGTGAGAAGGTGCTCCCGGTAGGTGTGGAAGCGCTCCGACTTGAAGGAGCAGTCGGTGCAGGCGTACTGGATCCTCATTGCCTCGCCAGAGTCCTTGCTGGAACTTTCACCTTCCTTTCCCGTCTCATTCTCGTGCCGCTCAGTCTGCGCATGCAGCTTCAATTCGCTCAGTTTGCTGGTGCAGAAACTGCACTTGTTGCAGGAGTACAGGACGGCGTAAACGTTTGCCTTGTCGCCCTCCGGAGCCTTGTCATCGCTTGAGCAACTGACCTCCAGGTTTAAGACTCTGGTATCCGGCACGTCCACCTCAGGTGTGGGATGCATCTCTGTGCCGTGTGAATCGGTAGAGTCCTCTTTGAGGCGGATCTCAATGCGAGTCGAGTGGGGTACACTGGATCCCGCATCTGCCACCAATGAATCAGCTGAATCCTGTAGACCCAAGCTTTCCTTGGTCACAGTCAGTGAGAGAGGAACAGCAGTAGACCTGTCACTTAAACTAGCGTCCTCGATTTTCTTCAAGCTATCGTCTGTGTCTACTGGGGGTGAGTGCTGCTCCACAGTTTCTTGAGCCTCGTTCATTCCGCCTGTCCTGCGTTTCCGTGTAACTTCTTGGCCAGTGTCTGCCACCGCATTGTTGAGGTGTTCCGCTTCTGCACTCGTTTCCATGTCCTCTCCGTCTGGCATGTTGGTATCTCCCAGTGACACTGTGTCATGTCCTTTGACCGACATGATGCTGGTCTCTACCGTTGCGTCTACACAGTGAAAAAAAGAGAGAAAACATTTTTGGAAATAATAAAATGCATACAATAGCCCTATTAGCCAAGTAACTTGGGCCCAATTTATCGCCGTTTTAACAACATTTGGTATTTTGGACACGGTCTGGTGATAGTGGGGCCCAAGTTGAATGTCAGACATGACGTTTCAAATAATTAACGACCCAACCATTTGTCAACAAAAACATCAGACTATTCACCCTCAAATATGTAAAAACAGCCACAGTATTAAGTAGAGATTGATGATTAAAATGGAGGTACTAAGGTTTACCTACGATCTGGATGAAAAGTTTCATGCACCGTTTACCGGTGAGGGCTCTGTCGTGAATACTGCGCGGGTGTGCAGACGCCATTTTCAAAATATGATGAAGAAAATGCAAACAAATGAAACATGCAATTTGATGCAGGAAAAACAATTCAGACCAATTTCAAATAATCACGAGTGACTCAACATGCACATGTTGATCATGTGTATAGACTTTGACCGAAACAAATTAGTTATAAAAGTAAAACTAACTAAAGTAGTAATATTATTTGACGATGTTGTCTGTGCTGAATTTTTTTTTACTCATGTTGACTCCTAGTTGGAGTAACTTGGACCCAAATTATCGCCTGTTTAACATTCAGATATGGTCTGGTGATACTCGCCAGACCATGTCCGAATCGCCTTTTTAACATTCGGACATGGTCTGGCGATACTCGCCAGACCATGTCCGAATGTTAAAAAGGCGATAAGTTGGGTCCAAATACTCGGCTACATGTAAATGATGTAGTTGACCCCTACAGAGTAAATTAAATTTTGCAGAAAATGTGTACACAATGCTGCCAAATATAGGCCAATGCAATGGGAAAATGTCTTTAATAATGAGTGATTAGTAGGGCCATAGAGGGCATTTTCGCCACCCCGAATTAGGGCGCCCTCTATCTTTATTCTGCCACCATCGGTGCACCGCGGCGCCAGGCCAGGGCAGGCCAGGGTTTGCGCTTTGACATGTTTGAAACAACTAGGCCCGTACTTGCCTTTCTCGAAAGGATTGCAGTAAACTGAGTATAGAGTTTACAGTCGCACTCGCAGTCAATCATACAACTTACAATACAAGCAAAACCATCATTCATTATATAGTGTAACGTTAACTCTGTCTCTGTTATGTTTGTGTTCTGTTTACGAGTCGTGGGAGTCGCCATTTTGATTCGTAACGGACATGAATAACGAACAAACAAACTTTCACCAGTAATGAGCGATTCTTCTCACAAAACCATCAATTTTTGCTGTATTGATGGGCTACGTTAAATCACGCATGGCTCTGTATAATTAAAAAGTATGAAATGTTTTACCTTAACGGCAAAAATGGTGAAGATATTGTGCAATTTCTTCTGCAGCAGGCGGGATTTGGAAGCGCCCAGTTACAGAAAGACCCGGATGTTGGCCACCAACAAACACATACATTAATTATATGGTCGGCAAATGTGGGAACATTAAAAGGCGCACTTTCGTCCGAAGATGGTTTCGTGAAAATTATTTGTTGTATTTCATCTAGTACAAATTTTTCCTACAATGCACTGCATGATGCAACATACAGACAAAAAAAAATAAATGTGACTGCCTGCGTGATATATGAACTAAAGAGATTAATACAAATTATTATTGTGTTATGTTAGGTGGCCGTCCATAGAACTCATACGCACGTGTTTTGCGCGCGGAGTAGAAATAAAAACTTATGAGGGCGCACTACTACGTTTACGGACCCGTACCCCATCATCAGCTGATCGGTGCACTGCAGGAACAAAAGTTTTGTTGTATTATGTTGATGAGCTTTCAGTTTCAATCGAATGGTTTGGTTGTCCTGGAATTACAAACTGGCTATCAATCAGTCACTCAGGTTTAGGTTTGGCAACAGCTGACGAGAGATTCCGTTGATAGCGTGAGCAAAAAGTTTAAAACTTCTCATCAGACTTTTTTATGAATGCTGAGTGGAAAGTGTCGTATTTGTATGGGAGCCCAATGGCTGCGGGGGGGGGGGGGGGGGGGGGGGGGGGGGGAATAGGCAGTGCAGTCCCTGTGCTATAAAGCCGGGCCATACACAAAAAGTTGGTCATATCATAATGCATATGACAATTTGTTCATGGAAATTCGGCCTGCTACTTGCCAGCCCATGGGGCTTCTTTTACCAAAGGCTTATAATAATATCACACTTTTTCACCAAAATTGCACTTGACAAGTGCAAATTAAGAGTGGCCATGGTGGCTAATTCACAAAGTTAGCAAAGGAACCATTGGCAGGTCCTAATTTTGATGAAAAAGAGTGAAGAACCCCCCCTGCACGCCATGCCGAGTATCAGGCTGAAATATAATTTCCACGAAAAATGCCGTAATTTTTCCATCTTTTTGTGCTCACATTTGTCATGTTTGTATGGCCCTTAGCACAGAGTTGATTCCAGTGCGTGGCCATAGAATAGGGACAGGTTACTTATCTGTGGTCTTCGGCTTGGGCCATTAATATCAGCGTCCAGGCCCCAAGCTGGTTTTAAACGGACTTGTTTAAATCCGTCAAGCACATATTTATTCCCTGGCGTTAATATTATAATAATAATTAAGTGGGCCCCTGATTCTTATCTTTCCCTGTGTAACCCCATAGATTCCAAGATGTCACTTCTCGCCTACTACCAGTACCATCACCCCCGTCGCTGGGCTCTGGCCACCGTTCTGATCTGCCTGTATGGCTTCCTGAAAGCCATGCGCCCTTCGGAGCCCTTCCTGACCCCCTACCTGATCCAGGTCAAGAACATCACGGAGGGGGACCTGGACAACGTCGTCTACCCGTACTGGACGTACTCATACATGCTGGCGCTGGTACCCGTCTTTCTGTTCACCGACCTCTTCCGGTACAAGCCGGTGGTGGTCTTCGAGGGGTTGGCGTATATCGGGACCTGGGCGATCTTGTTGTGGGGCCAAGGGGTGCCCCAGATGGTACTCATGCAGGTACGACATGGTTCTAGTCGAGTCCATCACAAGTCTTCACAAGTCATCCAGTCCAAAGTCAAGGCGCAAGACATTTCTTTGCAACTGTTCATCCTCTGTTACTTGTGACATGACTTATGATTACTTGTGATTACTTGTGACTGGACTTAATTGTGATTACTTGTGACTTGACTTATGATTACTCGTGACTTGACTTATGTTTTACTTGTGACTTGACTTATGATTACTAGTGACTTGGCTTATGATTACTTGTGACTTGGCTGATTATTACTTTTGACTGGACTTGTGACAACTTGTGACTTGGCTTATGATTACTTGTGACTGGACTTGTGATTACTTGGGACTTGACTTATGATTACCTGTGACTTGACTTATGTTTTACTTGTGACTTGACTTATGATTATTAGTGACTTGGCTTATGATTACTTGTGACTTGGCTAATGATTACTTGTGACTTGACTTATGTTTTACTTGTGACTTGACTTATGATTACTAGTGAATTGGCTTATGATTACTTGTGACTGGACTTGTGATAACTTGTGACTTGGCTTATGATTACTTGTGACTGGACTTGTGATTACTTGTGACTGGACTTGTGATTACTTGTGACTTGACTTATGATTACTTGTGACCTGACTTATGATTACTTGTGACCTGACTTATGATTACTTGTGACTTGACTCATGATTACATGTGACGTGACTTATGTTTTACTTGTGACTTGACAATTACTTGTGACTTTTTGTGACTTAACGTATGATTACCTGTGATTTGACTTGTGTTTTTCTTGTGACTCGACTTATAATTTACTTGTGATGGACCCATTAACCACGCAAAGATGCATTATGCAGGCAATCAAAGCAAAAACCACTTCAGGACCTGAAATGAAGCTAACCACCACAATTTTCTATAGAAGTCTGAACAAAGAAATCAACTGGAGTGGGGTTTGGACCTGCAACCTCTAAAAAAAAACATTCCAGCTCTCTCCCTACTGAGCTTTCCAGCCACAGAGTACCTTGGCAGTCTCCCAAATTTGTCAGTGTCTTCGTTTCTAGTCAGAATTGAAGCCACATACCTGTATACACGTACATGGGCCATGTGCCAAGGATCTCATTCTAAGTCAGTTTGCTGATGGAGGGAATTGTTTTTTTTAACAGAAGTTTGAGATAATAGTTTTGGTAAAAAAAAAAAATTTGTTTCCCTTTCTCTTGATTCAGTGTATGTACGGACTCGCAACTGCCACTGAAATTGCCTACTATGCTTACATCTTCGCCGCTGTTCCAATGGAGCAGTTCCAGCGAGTGTCCAGCTACACGCGATCGGCCCTCCTGACGGGCAGATTTGTCGCCGGCGCCCTGGGACAGCTCCTGATCTCACTGAAAGCCACCACGTACTACGGTCTGAACGCCGTGTCCATGACCAGCGTCGTCTTGTCGCTGGTCGTGGCCGTCGCGCTTCCCAGCGTCCGCCAGACGCTGTACTTCCACCGCGGCGATGCTCGCGACCAACTTCCTGGGGAGCCTGACCCCTCTGCGGGTAGCCAGCAAGATGGCACAGGGGTGGAAGAGCTAAACCACACAGCTCTTACCCCGCCTGTGGAACACGATCCGCCAAACTCTTCCAATCAAAGCAAAGATGCTTCCGAATTCCCAACCCCAGCATATAACGACCCAAATCCTCCGAATCCACCAGGCACGTGGTTCCAGCGTTCCGTCAGGGGCTGCAAGAGCAATTTCACCCAGATGTGGAGCGACTTCAAGAGCTGCTACGGGAACTTCGACCTCCTGAAGTGGTCCCTCTGGTGGGCCTTCGCCACCTGCGGCAACTTCCAGGTCGGAAACTACGTCCAGAACTTGTGGGAGATCATTTACGAGAAACCAGGGAACAGCGGTATGAACACGGACGTGTACAACGGTGCAGTTGAAGCTGTGGCGACCCTCATGGGTAAGAAAATGGATAACGTTAACCATAATTTTGGAAGATTTTTGCCAACAACCGGTGCTTGACTGTGCAGAAAACCACTAGCATTCCTATATTTATAAGATAGTAATAAAGAGAGCACCAAAGTTCTACAGGTCAGATTTCATAGCGCTGCTGAGCACACAATTTTCTGCTGACAGAAACTTTATTTCAGAGGGACTGTAAGCAGAAATCACGAAAGGCATGCTAACCTCAAAAGAACGAAACTTGCTTAAATTTATTGTTACAATATACATCTCACTGAGCACACAACAACTTTTCATTAAGGCACCATAGGCCCCCTTGTCATCCTCTAGCATAATAATTAAGGCCCATGCTTTTTGAAAAAGGAAGGCCCTTTTTCCCAAAATGACGGATGGATTCTTCCATATTCTCGACTCTTTTGTTGATACTTTTGTGTCTAATGGAAACAAACTAAAGGACAAAAGAGGAGGCTATGGAAAATCGGAAGTGGGCTTGGACAACAAACAGGTTAATTTGTACTTGGCCTAATCCTTTCCAGGAGCTGTTTCGGCCTTCCTGATTATGTTTGTGCGGATGGACTGGCACCACTTTGGCGAGCTGTTGCTAGGCGTGGTCTCCCTCCTAGAAGCCGCTCTTCTGGTCGTCATGGGAGTCACCAGCAACATCTGGCTGTGCTATGCCTTCTACATTATCTTTCGCTCCTCCTACCAGTTGGTAATCACCATAGCAACGTAAGTGGAAAAGCTCCACGACGACTCGTTCCTGGAAACGTTTTTTGATGGCAATAAGTCCCGCCCACCTTTGGCCACAAGAACCCCTGCCCACCTTTGGCCTCAAGTCCCGCCCACCTTTGGCAATATGCCCTTTCCACATTTGACCACAAACCCCGCCCACAATTAGCCACAAGTCCTGCCCACCTTTGGCCATAAGCCCGGCCCACCTTTGGCCACAAGCCCGGCCCACTTTTGGACACAAGCCCCGCCCACTTTGGCCACAAGCCCCGACCAACTTTGGCCACAAGTCCCGCCCACCTTTAACGTTTTTGCATGCATGAGAAATGAAGAGGTTTTTCCTCGCTTTTTTCATATTACAAGGAACGCTAAAATCACTCGTTTGGCATTGCATACTACGGCAAGCCAGCCCATGTGTTGCCAAGGCATATTTTGGTAATGTTCGCCCACGAATCCATGATGCAATGCTGGTCTTAAGCATATACACGTTCTGGCAAATATTTGCAACCTAACTAATGTACACTTAGCACACAATGTGAATGAAATTGCATTATGAAAGTTTCATCCTTGTTGATTTTATGTGTATTGGATTTGTTTGCAGATACCAGATAGCTAAGCAGCTTGCCCTAGAGCGCTACGCTCTCGTGTTCGGCCTGAACATGTTCATCGCGTTAGCACTTGGGTCTGCTTTGACGTTTATCGTAGTGGACTCCCGGACATTGAACACGCCTGCAAATACACAGGTAACAAGATATTTGGCTCTCAATTTTCCGTTAAGCAAACTAGAAGATAACTATGAAACTGTGAATCCCTGTGTATATTTAGATGCAGCAAGAAAATCACAAGCCCATCACAAGCCGATCACAAGGCATCACAAGCCCATCACAAGTTATCACAACCCCATCACAAGTCATCACAACCCCATCACAAATCATCTGAAGTCATCATATCAGAACAGTCCAGTCACGAGTAAATCACAAGTCATCACAAGTCTATCACAAGTCACAAGCCCATCACAAGTCGTCACACTCATCACAAGTCATCACAAGCCCATCACAAGACATCACAAGCCCATCACAAGACATCACAAGCCCATCACAAGTCATCACAAGCCCATTACCAGTCATCACAAGTCCATCACAAGTCATCACAAGCCCATCACAAGTCATTCAAAAACCATCACAAGTTTTCTGTGTTCAACTTTAACATTAAGAACAATTTACATTGAATTTAACCTTATTATTCAGGCAAAATTCATTCAAAATCTATTTAATTGAGTTGACTTTTCTGTCCTCGTTCCTTCCTCAGTTCATTGTCTACGGCGGCTACTTTTTCGTCCTAGCTTGCGCATTCTGCGCCAAGGCAGTCTACTCCATATCGGTGTATGGCTGGCGGGCTGCCTGGCGCGCCCGTCTGGAGTCCCGACCCACGCATCACAATCAGCAGCAGCAGCCAGCTGTGCTGGTGGAGGAAGGAGACCAGACTGGCTACCGCCAGTTTCGCAATGAGGACAGCGACGCTGGCGACGAAAGTGATGTTTGAAAGCAGTTGTTTAAATGAGCTAGAGGAGCCATCTTAGTTGTTTTATACCGTTGAGTAAGCTTGGGCGATCCACACTGATTGAAAAGAACTGGTTTTAAGATTGGGCTGTATCTGAAGGAAATGGCTACAACTAGTAGTAACACACGTGCCTATGGGAAGTGGCTGTACTCACTTCCCATAGGCTCATGTATAATTGCGAGCCGTAGCCACGTTATTTGGACATAGCCTAGATTCCTAGAATCAGAAATGTGACTCCCCTGTTTTGAGGAATAAAAGAAGTACCCACTTTCAAGTCCCCAGATATCTTATTGAAGACACCTCAAAAAGTTAATGTTGTAAATGTTCACGTCCTTAGAATGATTACATTAGCTATTTACTACTGTTATGCCATTTTATTTCCTTCTGGTAATTAATTAATGAAACCAGGGATTCCTCAAAAGTGCCCTGAACACTGTAGCTCGAAAGCCTGAAGTAACCTGTGGAGAGAAGACAATGAGAACAAATTACAGTTTTAGAGGTGGGAGGAAAACCCTGGAAGTATTTTCTGGGGAAACCCACGGAATCAGGTAGGAGCTGAAAGCCCGATCCACAGGTGGACCAGGGCAGGAATCGAACCCGGGCCATAGCGGTGGAAGATGAAGAAAGTAACCACTGCGCCATTATGTCATTAGTTTTTGATTTTTGTCAATGCCTCTTGACAAAGTAAATTTTGTGTTGATTCAGAACGATGGCTTCTAGACAGAATCGGAATCGATACGGAAAATTCTGCAGTTTTTTTTTTATAGTTTTCTGCAAAAAGAACTGCCTTACCTGAAATTTTAAAGTGACTGAACTTCCTATTCAATTTATTTCTTTAAGTTATTGTTTTTTACTGCAATTGTATTTTATCTAACTGGAAATAAGTTAACTAATTTTTGTAACGGTGCAGACTGTAGATTGAACAAAGTTTCGTACTACCATTTAAAGGGAAGATACAACATTTGCAAACATCAAAAAAAGAAATGATCAAATTATCATGAAATACCTTACTTGATTGTTAGGGAATGACAGTCTAAAGCATCCTGTAAAATCGTGGCTCCTGGTGTGCTGATATTTTCAAGAAAAACTGTATTTTTCCAACGCTGGTCGGCCGACCAGCGTTGGAAAAACCTGGCTTTTTAAAAAAACTGCTCCTAGTTTTTCATATTTAGCTATTCCGCATTTTCTTTGCAATTGATTACACACCTGTGAAGGGGTACAAGCCTGCTAGACTGATTCTCTGACCTTGCAATTCCCCAAAGTCTACAAATTGCTCTGTTTCATCTTAAGTGGGGTCAGGGAACCAGACTACAAGAACATGATTGGTTTTCTATGTTTTCCAGCATCTACGAGCCCAAAACATGAAACAAGTCAGTTTATCAATATTTGCTATAACATACTTGTCCTCCAAATTCATTTATTTCTGAAAACTGTGCACAGCAAAAGCAAATGTTGTACATTCCCTTTAAGCGTTTAATTTGCTGATGTGCCATCTTCTTTTGTCTTTACCATGTCTGTTTTTATTTATCTGTTTTATATTGCCTTGTACATGTATATGCAACAGTGACTCAGCTCAATCGAAAAGCAATATTTTAAGTCAAGATAAATTTGATGGCTGGTTAAAAAAAAATTAAAATGTGGATATTGTATTTTTGTAAAAGCTATCAATGCAAACTGCCTTTGAGACAGTTATTGTTTTAACAGATGTACTTAGTATATGATTTCAGTTGTACACTACAAGTGTGTGATGTATACATATGAAATTAAATTGCCTAGAAACGATAACTTTTGAACACATTATCTTTTTGTTATGGTTTATTTATTTGTGTGGGTATGTGTTGGAGGGTTACAGCTAAGGACCAATGTTCTACATGTATTGTATGCCCTCAGTGCACTGCTGCAGTTGCTTCCACCACCCCACCCCACATCATTGCCCCACCCCACCCCATTGCCCCACCCCATTGCCCCACCCCACCCAATTGCCCCATCATCCCACCTAAACTGGATTGGACAAAGTTGTCTGGATTGGACAACTTTGGAAGAAAGAAGAAAACAGCATCGCATCTTTTGTTTCTTTAAAATCCTGAATGGGTTAATGGACATTGACTATACCAAATACATCACCCCAAAAACTGGAAGATCACGAAGAGGACACAACAGACAGTTTCAACTCAACCAGTCCAGGACCGACACATATGCATCCTCATTTTTTTAAGAACACTTAAAAATTGGAATGACCTCCCGGACTCAACGGTGGCGCTTAACAAACCAGACTCCTTCAAGAATGCGCTTAGTGACAAAATCTAATCCTGACCACCCTAGCTCACTACACCACAACTCCAGTTTAAATTCCCTAGATGGAATATTTCGGAGGACCACCAACCAAGTACCAAGTACCCCATCATTTCCCCACCCCTACCCATCACCTGGCCAAACCCCACCATCCCACCCAAACTTCTCGGCCCATCCCAACTCTAGCTTATGGAATATCCCCTTTTCTTACTATAAACTTCTATTTCATCTACCCCATAACCACTCCCCAAAGAAACAATAAAGTGGGCGGGGCACCTCGAGTGATTTTTCTGAGCCAAACTGTCACGAGAGGGCGCCAATGACAGGGAACAAAATCCCTTTCATTTTGCATTCAACATGGCGACTTCCATGGAACCCTCCTTCAGCGTTTGGAAAGCACTCGTTTTAAAACGATTACAGACTCGAAATGAGCTGGAATCCGGGAATTTCAAGGCACTACTGGAAACACGTAAGTTGTCGTCTAATTTTTCGATCAGTCTGCATGTTGGGGGCCCATTGGATTTTTTAACTGCCTTAACTTAAGAATGTTTTACATGTTTTAAGAAATGAATTTTTGTAAATTTGTTTCATTTCACTTTACATGTTCAATGTATGTCAATGTGCAATGCCACTGGAAAGCTTCAAGTTCAACGTTTGAAACTTTGGTAATCCTTACTTTTAGGACCCCGTTGCTATATACATGTAGGAAGGGAAAGACTCACCAAAACAGTTGACTAAATGATAATCATAATCATAGTAAATGACACTCAAAATTGACATTCTGATACTTCTTGGCACATCTGAACAATTGGCAATGACACCTTCTTGAATATACTTGACTCATTGCATTATTAGGCCGACTGACGCACGGTGCTTGATGCGACTGCACATCCTTTGACTAATGAATTCAGTTAATGAGTTATATTCCGTAGTGGAAGGTTTCTAGAGGAAAACAACCATGAGCCAAGAATGACAGCGCCGTAGCTGGAGTTACCCAGCCCTAAATTTTATCATTGGGTTGTCATTTAGGGCTGGAGGACATTTTTCACGTGAACCAGCAGAGTTGGCAGGTCCCAAAAAAAATTCTCACGCGGAAGCGGATTACCCGACGACTGTTTCATGCACGATAAACGGCTAACTTTGGTTGCCGTCCAGTATCGCAGCTATGATGCGAGTGGTAAATCTCAACAGTCGTCGGTTAATCCGCTTCCGCGTGACGTCATGCGCCATCAGCCAGCGCAGCCGGCAAGAACGAACTGGTAAACGCGCTGTGCACAAATCCAATTGCGGGCCACGCCATGACCGCACGGTTGTCGGTTTATGCCTCGTTTTTTTCACTGCAATTGTAGGCTGAATCTTCATCGTGGATCGTTTTTTACTTCAAGGACCTGTGTAATCGAATTGTTTTTGGGACCTGCCAACTCTGCTGGTTCACGTGAAAATGTCCTCCAGCCCTAAATGACAACCCAATGATACAATTTAGGGCTGGGTAACTCCAGCTAACAGCGCCGTGAAAATTGTGCAGCCTGTCTGCCTGTCCCGCCAAATTGGCACAAGGGTGTCAATTTGCGATCGCCTTTACGTAAATTGTAATGTGCGGAAATAATGGAAGTGAATAAAAAGACAATAACTATGTGCAAAATATATTGCAAATGTATGAATTCAGATAAAAAAAAAAGGGGGCGGGAAGAGAATTTTTTTTATTTCTTACTTGGCCTTACATATTAGTTTTCATGATGTGAACTTTCCATACATAATTTCCAGAAATTTCATGTGGAAAGTACACAGTGGTTAGGCTTCACATGTATGGCTTCATGTACATTGATTGTTTTGTGCATGTATTTTGCATCCAATACACAGCTATTGAAATTGAAAGTGAAATACAGTAAGCAAAAGTGAATACATGTACATATGGCCTAAATGTGTGTACATTTTTATGTCCACTTTCAGTTTCACTGTAAAATTTTCCATTTTCACTTCGTGAAAAAATTTTGGATTTGTCCTCCTTTTTTTGTGTGCAGATAATAAACTGTTCAATAATCTCGACTCGGTGCGGGCACAGAATCTACAGCTTCAGATCCAGGTGGAAAAACTCAGGCAGGAAAATTCCGAGCTGCAGATCAAAGCGCAGTCAGGGATAGGGTGAGTACGTACATGGATTAAGTTTTCTGTGAACCAGTTCGTGTCGGAGGACGTGATAACAGGCACTGGCTGTTTTTATGCACAGATATACGGCTGACGGGTTAAAGGGAATACATGTATACAACATTTGCGAACATCGAAAAATAAACTACCAAGTTTTTACGAAATACCTGACTAGGATGTTGGTAAATGACAGTCTAAAGCATCCTGTAAAATTATGGCACCTGGTGTGAAGTCATTTTCAAGGAAATGGCATTTTTGTATACATTTCCAACGGTGGTCGGCCGACCACCGTTGGAAAAACCTAACTATTTTTCAACTACTGCTCCAAATTTACAAAAAAAAATCAGTCAAAATGTTGTTTGATATTGGTTACATGTTCATGAACAGGTGCAGGCCAGCTAGACTGGTTTCCTTACCTTACAATTTTCTGGCATCTATAAATTGATCCATTTTATATTTACTGGAGTCAGGGAATCAGACTACTTGAGCATTTTTGTTTTTCTTGGTTTTTCCAGCATTTTCGAAGACAAAACTTCAAACATGTCAGTGTGACAATATTTGATCTATTATACTAACCCCTCAACCCCTCAAATAGTTCATTTCTGAAAATTACAGCAAAAGCCAATGATGTACATTCCCTTTAAGATGTCAAGATTGCCTTGACTCGCCTCCGGGTGACGTCTAAACCTGCTAATCCCTCGTGCCGTTTGTACACACACACAAAGTCTGTGGAGGCGGACCACGTGTTGATCTTCAATTGGCCGCTGTGCACGGCCAATTGCTGTTAAATTTACGCTCCAGTGCACACCCAAGAGTATTGAAACATATGAGGTTTCGGCCAGCAATATCATAGAAATACTGTTCAAATGACTCTTGCGAATCAGTATTTGTGGCGCTTGGCTGTATATCAAAAGTTGGCTGGGAAATTTAGCCTTTTGCGAAAATCGAAATTTTGTGCAGAAATAATCCCAGCACGAATTGATTAAAAGTAACATACAACATTGGCTTGTGCTGTACGTTTTAGGATTTGGGGGTTAGTATTTTATAGCAGACATAGACTGACCTATTTAAAGTTTTGTGTTGCTGGAAAAACTAAGATAAACAAATGTTGTTCTTGTACTCTGGTTCCCTGACCCTACTTCGGAGCAATTTACTAACGTCAGGGATTCTTGGGTGTTGGAACCAGACTAGCTGGCTTGTACCTGTTCGTGGATGTGTAACTGATTGTAAACAAAACACGGTCCAACGAAATTGGGTAAATTGGGGGCAGTATTTGAAACAAGTCAGTTTTTTTTCCAATGATTGTTGGCCAACCATCGTTGGAAATTGATTTTAAAAATCCACTTTTCTTGAAAATGACAGCACACCAGGTGCCATGATTTTACAGGATGCTTGAGACTATTATTCACTTACAGTCCAGTAAGGTATTTCATAATAATTTGATAGTTTTGTTTTGATGTTTGAAAATGTTGTATATTACTTTTCAGCTTTACTTTTATTAAACAAGAAATAGACTTGAAATAAAAAAAATGTATGTAGTTTTTCATTGATAAAATTAGATTTTTTTTTTTTTTTAAATGTGTGTTTAAATTGATAAGGAAATGTTGTGTTTAAAAGTTTATGACAGGAAAGAATTGGCAGGAAATGGGATATAGGGGAAACGGAAAACCACCGAGATATTAAAGATATAGTCCATCATTTGTAATTTGTGCATTTTGTTCGTTTGAATCAACAAAAGTGTTCAAAATCTAATGAAGGATACTGAACAACTAACCTGATGAAGTTTCAGCTCAGCTTCAGCTGTATATTCCAAGAAAAACAGCATTCTAGGATCTCAATTTCAAATCAAAAGTTACTGAATCATGTTTTGAATTGTTTTGAATTGCAACTTTACGCGATGTCGTGCACTGATCCGACAAATTATAGCAACCGTGTGCGCCTGTGCGTCGTTCCAATGCTTGCGCGCGCTGCGCCGAATAACAAAACGAACTACTAATTAAAATTTTCCTACGGTGCGTCTTAAGACGCACCGTTGGAAAGGCCTTCTTTCGTTGATTACTTCAAAATGATAGCTTGCCAGAAAGATTAATTTCACAGGGAGTTTAGTCCACTTACTATCGTTCAACCAAGTATGTTTTTCAACAATAATACGCCAGTTACTTTTTTGGATGGCTGCAAATGATGGACTATTTCGGGGCCCAACAAGTTTTCTGCTTGAGTCGAAAATGGGGTATTTTTTTGGAAAGAGAATTAACTTTTTGAAGCAAAAGTATTTTGTTTACTCGTGAGGTGCTAAACATTGAAAAGTAAACAGCTTCTCCAAAAAAACTTTCAATTCCAAAACACAAGTGCTCTTAAAAGTCAACCAGTTTCGAATGGTTTTGCGTTATTGCATTGCCACGTGGGTGGTTTTAAACGGTTGATAAAACAACGACTGGTTTTAAACGCTTTGGAGGAACTACTAGGGGTTTTTTAACGGAAAAAAAATGCTGTCTTTTTTGTTGAAATCCCCAATTAATCGTAATGAATTAATAAAACCTAACATTTTTATTTTTAGAAATTTATAAAAATTAAGATTTTTCAACTTCATTTACAATTAAATAATTATGAGGATGTTATATTATTTTCTGTTTTAGTAGTACTGGTGGAACCAAAGGAGAAAAAACTCAGGCCCTGGAACAAAAACTGTTCAGGCTTCAAGAAGAGTTAACGGATATGCATCGCAAGAAAGGAGAGGTACATTGCTGATTTATTTATTAACCCTAACCCCCTTCAAGGCCCCCCCCCTCCCCCAAAAAACTACGTGGGGGCAAATCTACTTATATGTAGTGGGATTATGACATCAGTACATTTTTTGACAAACTATCATTTGACCGGTGTTTGACTGATGTTAATCGTTTCTACAAGCATTTACAAAAATAAAAAGGAAAAATTTACTCACATGCTTGTGTTTACAGAGCGAGAGTTTATTTCTTAAGTTCCTATCGTTTATCGTTTTTGTCCATTTCTTTTATAGAATGCACAGCAACTCATAGACCTCAGCGCCCAGCTCCAGGAGAAAGATAAGGAGTTACAACTCAAAGACACGAGGTACCAGACCATCCATTCCACTTTTTTTTTTTTTTGAATAACACAAATTTTAGGTATTTACGTACCCGATTTCGTAATCCGGTCCGACAGATTTGTTTGAATTTGCAATAAAATTGTTATCCCCCTGGCTGTAAGCTGGAGGGGTAAATGCGATAGCGTATTCCTTCTGCGTGTACATGTATGTCTGTCTGTCTGTCTGTTATGTTTTGGTTTATACTAGGTTAAATCTTGTCAGCATGATAACTTGAGAAATACTTTACTAAGGAACTTGAAATTTGATTTGAGGGTTGTTCTTGATAGCCTTAAGAAGCCTTTTGCAATTAGCCATTCCAGTAATCACCAAAAAAAACAGGCAACTTAGATTGGTCTGTCATTTTTTGGTCATTTTTTGACTTGCAGACTGCTAGAGTCTGATGTAAAGATCAGTGCTTATGAGGACGAGTTGAAGAACTTAGAGAAAGCTCTGATGGAATTGCAGAAGACAAATGAAGTAAGTTGACTTAAAGAATGCTGTATTATTGCTGTGTCCGGGGAGATTTTTTGCCCAAAACGTTGGAAATTGATAACAAAAACTCCACTTTTCTTGAAAATAACAGCACAGCGGGTGCCATGATTTCACAAGATGCTTGAGATCTTATTTCAGCTACAGTCAAGTAAGTTATTTTATAATTTGGTAGTTTGGTTTGAGGTCTGCTCATGGTGTACAGGGTGAGTAAAAAAACAAAACCCAAATGTCAGGACCATTATTTTAGTGAAGTATTGTAAGTAGCACTTTCAAAATCTAGGATATGAAAGCCCAATTCATAAGCTTTCTTTTAGCACAAAAAATCATTCAAATCACTCATGTACTTTTCAAGTTACGCTATTTTAAACACAACCATCGTTTTAAAGTTCTGGCCAAGGATCACAAGAAGGTAAAGTATATTCTTTCAGCAGAACGAAAACAAATCACATAGGGATGTGTGTGAATTGTTTTCGTTTTGCTAAAAGAATGCATACCTTTGTTTGGTGATCCGTGGACAGAACTTTAAAACAGTGATTGTGTTTAAAATGAAGGATTACATGCACAAACCCTCGCTAAACCCTGAAATAGTCTTAAAATTAAGATATTTTCCTTCGCCAACAGACACTGAAGGACGAACAGGACGCACTACAGCTCCTCTACACCAAGACGGAGGACACGATACGTCGTGTCCAGGAGGAGAATGCCGACCTAGTCACGCGCTGGATGCAGGAGAAGGCCCAGGATGCCTTCCGGATGAACCGAGAGAACGAGACCTGGCTCAAGAAGAAGCAGGAGGAGGTGCAGAAGAAACTGGTGGAGGCGGCCAAGGATATCCACGTGGAGCCTACCCACGGGTAAGAGATATGCACAAAGAAGCTAGGTTACCAGACAAGAGTGAACTTTGGTGGGCAGAGCCTAGGTGATTACTTTTGGGGTGGGGGTGGGAGGTGGGGGTCAAAACTGGTGGAGAGCGGCCAAGTGGACCAGACCTAAACTCACTTTTCTTTCCTCTTCAATTTTGATCAATTTCCTCTCCTCAGCAACCCTAAGTACCTTGAGATGTCTTCGCCCGCCAACTCTGCAATCTGCATTTGTGCTGTGGTGCCGGACAGAGCCATATCCCAACTGGTAAGTTTGGCTCTATGACTTCAGAACTTAGACACGAAGGGCACACATGTTGTCTTATGTCATTTCAAAAATGTACAGAATATATGGACAACCTTTTTGTAACAAGCAGTTTTCCACTGAGCAAATATGAACTAAGTTGAGTTGCAGTGTAGTAGAATCATTGTGTTTTGTGTTCTTGGGCAAGACACTTTACTGTAATTGCCCTACTTTATGCGGGAGTACATGTATAAATGGGAACAAACTTCCCGTGAAAAAAAAAGGTTTTTACCGAAGAAAATACATAGAGTTGCAATCTAGTGGAGTCATGGTGTTTGTGTTCTCGGGCAAGACATTTGACCACATTTGCCTCTCTCCAGTTTTGTAAACAAGCTATGTTTATTAATTCTACCCAGGTATCAGAAATCTTTTCCAATCTGTTCTACAGCTGTTTTCTTCCGTGAAACTATAACTCTAGGCCAATACTCATCTTTAACGGCAATGATTTCCAGACGATATACAAATTGCATGTGAGATAAGACGACTCTCAGACCAATCTTTAATTAAGACAAGTTCAGCCGCGTTGCTAAGGAAGTTAAGACGTGTTGAACGCATCTTAAGTTTGGCGAAATCAATCCCAGGCCCGGACGAGTTGCGAGTTAAGACGAGTTACTCCTCCTAAGAAGCGTCTTAGCATTTCATGAAATCGGCCCCCAGCTCAATTTTCTCGTTGTTACCACCAAGGGATATTTCTTGTTATAATGCTGTTATAATGCCACATTGTTGTCATTATTAAGTGATACATTTTTCTCATTGTGTTTCTGCACACAGGATGCTCATGATGGGGAAGTCAATGCTGTCCGGTTCTGTCCCTCCGGTCGGATGTTTGCATCAGCCGGAGCCGACCGCAAGCTCAAACTCTGGGAGTTAACAAGCTGTAAGTCCTGACACCAAGTCCTCACAAGTCCTCACAAGTCCTCACAAGCCCTCACAAGTCCTCACAAGCCCTAACAAGTCCTTACGAGTCCTCACAAGTCCTCACAAGTCCTCACAAGTCCTCACAAGTCCTCACAAGCCCTCACAAGTCCTTACAAGTCCCCACAAGTCCCCACAAGTCCTCACAAGTCCTCACAAGTTCTCACAAGCCCTCACAAGTCCCCATAAGTCCTCACTAGTCCTCACAAGCCCTCACAGCTACTCAAAAGTCCTCACAAGTCATCACAAATTCTCACAAGTCCTCACAAGTCTTCACAAGTCCTCACAAGTTCTAACAAGTCCATCACAAGTCCTCACAAATCTTCACAAGCCCTAACAAGTCCTTACAAGTCCCACAAGTCCTCACAAGTCCTCACAAGTCCTCACAAGTCCTCACAAGTCCTCACAAGTCCTCACAATGCCTCACAATGCCTCACAATGCCTCACAAGTCCTCGTAGCCATCACAACCCCATCACAAGTCCTCACAAGTCTCACAAGTCCCTCATCAGCCCTCACATGTCCTCACGAGCCCTCACAAGCATTCTCCAGTCCAGAGAGTAGATCGAAGATGAAGTCCGGCTTTGTTTGTTTTTTGTTTTCCAGTAACATCCTCGTGTCAGTCCAGGGGCATTCTAATGGGCAGCAACGCGGCCGTCATGTGCATTGACTTTGACCAACAGGAGCAGTTTGTTCTCGGCGCGTCCAACGATTACGCCACGCGAGTCTGGGGGGCGCAGGACCACAGGTTACGTGTACGTAATTTCTTATTATTTAACGTGTATCTTGCTAGAATCCGATACTTTCGATTTTTTTGTGTTCATTAAAAGTACACTTTCAACTTCTATAAAATAATATTAAAACTATCAAATTTTTTTGGGGGGGGGTGTTCTTGTTTTTAATAATAATAAGTACAACAATGTTTCAAATGCGTCCCTTTCGTCGTTTCTATGGCGACTGTATTTATCATTTACACTCACTTATTGTTCCTTAAGATTCATGTTTTATTCCAATTTCAGTCTAAAGTGAATTTGTCAAGGTAACAGCAAACGTCGCAATGAAGCTTCAGTAAGCCATTTGGGTTTTTCAACTGCACATGCGCACAATGGTATGGGTCGCGGGTAACAAGTTAATCGAAGGCGCATGAGCGCGTAGGGAGATAGGCGCATGACGCTTGCGTGTTAATTCCAAGCAGAATATGCATCAGCATAACATCGTGTATCATCACGTCTGCGATTTTATTCTGAATGACCTTTGACATGGAGACTTCATCGAGATACCAAATTGGCTTATTGTTAATGTTGTGAATTTCGCTTTCAGATTCGATGTCATGTGAAGTAGGAACTAGTAAATTTTTTATGATTCTTTTCTGGAAATTTTGTTTGCAGCACACGTTAACAGGTCACGGGGGTAAGGTGCTAGCAGCCAGGTTCTTAGGCGATTCCAACAAGGTGGTCTCTGGCAGCCACGACAGAACGCTGAAAATCTGGGATCTTAGGAGTCGGGCTTGTAAGTAATACTCCTAGAAACTTTTTCTGAGGATGCATTCTAGCTGGTTGAGTGCCGTGGCCTCGTGGTCTAGGGCATTGCATTTGTGGTCTGCGGGTAATTCTGCAGGTTGTGGGTTCGAGTCCAGCCTAGGGCTATGGTGCGTGTGTCCTTGGGCAAGGCACTTTGTCTCGCCTTGCTTCTCTCCACCCAGGAGTAAATTGGTACCTGCGAGGGCAGAGATGGTTATTGTGGTTGATTTTAGCTGCTTTGCGCGGAAATGGCAGCATCGAGCTGTATACTCCCCAGGGAGCTGAGATTGTATTTGGAATGTTTCATTGGCCCAAAGATCAGGGGTAATACTAATGTCAAGCGCTTTAATCATAGTTAAAAGCTAATATTCTAACTTTTTTGGGATCTTTTAGGTACGAAAACCATTTTCGCTGGGTCAAGTTGCAATGATCTCGTCACCAGCGACGGAAGGGGGACGAATATCATCAGCGGCCACTTCGACAGAAAGATACGTTTCTGGGACACAAGGTCCGTAAAATCAGGGTTTTTCTTTCAACATTTGGAATCTTAATCATAAGCCTTCCAAGAAACATAACCACTCTTACCGATTGCCAAAATTATTGCACTCGCAAAAATTTTTCATCAAGTTCATATACTAGCACCACCTTGGGATTTTGATCCACTGTCCGACCTTTTACCTTCAATTTGACCTCCTGACCTGTAAATCTGACCCTTTGACCCGATTGTGACCCCTCTAGGTCGGGCGACGCCAGGGCTAACGAGTTTGAGCTCTCCGGTAAGATCACATCGTTGGAACTGAGCACCGACCGGCAATACTTGCTGTCCTGCTCCAAGGACGACGCGCTCAAGCTCATCGATGTCCGGATGAACAAAGTAGTCGGCACGTTCTGGTGAGTATCTGCTGGCGTATATCGTGACGTCACTCAGGTGTCAACTCGGTGCAACCATGATTACTGTTTACCCGCACTTTAACGGCCGAGTGAACACTGCGGTTTTGCAGTGGCTGTCGTGAACCCGTTTCATACTACAGTAAAAAAAAGAAAGAAAAAAGGACACCCTAATGGCAGGCCCAATTATGAAATGAATTTCTGCATGTAGCTCTTTCAAAATCTAGGATATGAAAGCCCAAATACAAGGCTTTGTTTTAGTACAAGAATCATTGAAATCACCTATGTACTTTTCAAGTAATAGAATTTGAAAGACTAACACCGTTTTAAAGTTCTGTCCACGGATCACCCAAAAAAGGTGTGGGTTTTTTTCAGCAAAACAAAAACAATTCTCATAGGGATGTAGGTGAAATGTTTTTGTTTTGCTGAAAGAGCACTTACCTTTTTTGTGATCCGTGGACAGAACATTAAAACGGTGTTTACATTCAGAATTCCGTAACTTGAAAAGTACATGAGTGATTTGAATGATTCTTGTACTGAAAGAAAGCCTATTAATTGGGCTTTCATATCCTAGATTTTGAAAGTGCTACATCTAGAACTTCAATACAGAAATGGTCCGGACATTTGGGTTTCGATTTATTTTTACTCGCCCTGTACTGGCTTGATTCTCATTGAAGCGAACATAAGCACAACTGCGGAAGTAACTGGTGTGGCGACAATCTGCTGACAGACATTGACATATTTTTGTTTTTTTCTCGCCAGTGCGGAGGGTTTCAAAGTATTCTTGGAGTACACGAGGGCAGCGCTCAGCCCGGACGGGGTGTACGCAGCGTGCGGGTCTCAGGACGGCTCCATCTACGTGTGGAATATGCAAACCATGAAACTAGAGAAGACTCTCAAGGAACATAGGTGAGTTGACTTCGCGTCTTAATCAACGGAGCCCAATTTAAGACATCTTAACGTTCAATTCTAAGTGTTCCAATTCAAAAACTGTACCTTTTTCCTATAGACCAGGCGTTGACAAGCAAAATGAAACATTTGGGACTGGACTGTCGAGCTATTGAGCTAGTTACTGCCGAATTATTAAATTATTGAGCTAGTTCTTTTTTTGTTTCAACGGGAAAAAATGCTACTTTGTTCCAGTTTTACACCCCGCTTAAAAGAGGGCTTTCATTCTTTTGTTCGATGTCTCATTCAAAAGTGATTAACTTTGTATTGCTAGTAAAATAGCAATGGAAAAAAACAAAATCTTTTTTTTTTTTGAGATGATACTCAAAAATAGCATGAGCAATTTGTCTTTAACATATTGTAATATTCATTGAATGTTCAATTGTCAATCTGTCTTTAAATAGTTTTATTTTCAAATATATATTCGTTGGAAGTTTGTCCATCATCATAACCAATGTTTTGTTTTTGTTTGGACAGTGCGCCTGTAATAGCGGTAACCTGGCACCCAAACGGCACGAAGATGCTGAGCTGTGACCGCAACAAGAAAGTCATCATGTGGGCTGACTTCTGAAGGGGAATGGCAGCCTGAACTGTCTGGTCACCAGGCTAGGCAAGATGATTTTTTTTAAACGGCACAGAACAGAAAATGAAGACTATAATTAAAAGGTAGCGTCCATTTGTAATTTGTGCATTTTGTTCATTTGAAGCAACAAAAGTGCTCAAAATCTAAAGAAGGGTGCTGAACAACTTACCTGATGAAGTTTCAGCTCAGCTTCAGCTGTATATTCCGAGAAATACAGCATTCATTTCAAATCAAAAGTTGCTGAATCATGTTTTGAATTGCGTCCGAGACACGTTCTCACTGAGCTGATTGCAGCTACGTCATGTCGCGCACTGATCCTACGAATCACAGCAACCGGGCGCGCATGTGCGTTGTGTCAATGCTTGCGCGCGCTTCGCCGAATAAAAAAAAACAACTACTAACGGAAATTCTTCAGCCATTGAATACAACTATCATCCACTTTGGTATGGATATTGATTATGCATTATGATCACTGTATTAATGTTGTATTAGTGAGAACTATTGGAGAATTACCAAGTTAAATAATTCTTTTTGTAAGTTATTGAATCAGTGGGTTTGGAGTAATAATTTGTACGTTGGCATGTGTATATTTAGTATTTTCAATATCAGCTAAATAAAGTAGTATTATATTATAGAAGAAAAATGAACTTTCTTAAGTTCATTTGCATAGGTATTCTAAATTTGGCTAAAGTAGTCAAGATAAATATTATATCAAAAGAAAATACTGAATGAAATTTGTGAGTCATTATAGGACTTAAAAGCACCTGTTCGATTCTCTCTTTAGAGGCAACGCAATTTTGGCCCTAGCGTTGCGGCAGTCATAGTTTCAAGGAGCTTCCGTACAAAAGTTTGAGGAGTTTAGTGAGAGATTTTAAAAGCATGTGCTTTGGATTTTGTATGCAAAGCCCTCATGTCATGGGTTTGAACCCTGACGGGGACCACGGTGCTTGTGTTCTTGGGCAAGACACTTTACTACAATGGCCACTCTCCACCCAGGAGTATAAATAGGTACCTGTGAAGGTATAGAGACCAGAATGCGCTGATCTTGAGCTGCTGCAGAAAACTGTGGTTTTCTGCAGGGAACACGATGCTTGTGTTCTTGGGCAAGACACTTTACTACAATTGCCAAACTCAACCAAGGAGTATAAATAGGTACCCTTGAAGGTAGAGACCAGAATGCGCTGATCTTGAGCTGCTGCAGAAAACTGTGGTTTCATGGCCTGATGATCAGGGGTAATAATTGTGAAGCGCTTTGAGACCTAGTTTTGACGGGAAGCGCTATATAAGCGACACACTTCAACCTCACCTAAGGCCCCCCCCAAAAAGTCTCCGGTTTCTGGTATGCGCGCGCGTCGCCGTAGCCATGCGCGTCGGCAAAATGAAAAAGTTTTTTTTTCAATGAAAGATGATGTCTCAAAACCGCCAAACTCACTGGTTTGACTGGAATCCTGCTGCTGCACAATTTTAACGTGTTTTTAGATGGGGTTGTGGTCGAGAATAAGCTTTATGTGGCCTCTCTGGACTCCCATATATTTGCACTAAGTTTAGTTGGGCACCATTTGCAGTCGTCAGCTGACCTTTGAAGCGAAAAAAATCAGGTAAAAAAAAAAAAAAGCCGCGTCGCCGCACCACTTTTTGGGCAGGCTCCATACCAGAAGCCGGAGACTTTTTTTTTTTTTTGGCCTTTGGGACGTTGCCTATAAAGAAATAATTACACAATTTTTTTTTATGGCGGGATTTGAACCCACTACCCCTTGTTTGCTGGTGCACATGTCTTAAATATTAAGCAGCCACCTTTCACATGTTGTTTTTATATCATCACTGATATTTTCACTCTCAAAAATTGTTGGTAGTTTAGTAAATATCGAAGAGTTATTGTCTCTTTCCTAATTGTGAAATTGTTGTGTATCAAGATTGTGGGTTCGAACCCCACCCCTGAAAAAAAGTCAGGCTTTCGTATTTTCTTCTTGCCAATATTTAGTTGAATGAAATTTTTCGCTGGCATTGTGACCTTAGGTCAAGTGACTGGTACCCGTCCATCATGTTTAATCATTGGAGAGATAATTGGTAACCTTCCATAGTAACAAGCCCCTTCCATCTTGCGTTTCATAAAATGTATGCATTGTTGTCAGTCATGATTCATTGCCATAAAACAAGACATAACATTTTGTTTCTGCAAATGTGGTCAAATCTGGTTAGTTTTGTGCTATATTATGTTAAGATTAAAAGTGCCTTAAAGTTATGTGCGCTGTAAAAAAATCCATAGGAAATGTCAAAACTGCAAAATTTACATTGATGATTATAAAAGCATTGCATTATACTAATAATGTCTGTGGAATAAATACGTCAGACTTTGGGTTTGGTTCTAGACACGTTGTCAATATTGAAATACAAACAAATCTATATTTCTAAGTTTTTGTTTTCTTTGTGACATCAGGCTGGACATCTTTCTGGCCTGTGTTCTGCAATTACTTGATGAACCTGTGCAAATTGTTTTCTTCATTTTTTTTTATATCGTGTATCAAGCTTCAGATGTAGATAATAAATGGTAATAATTATACAATTCAATCGTCATTTTCAAAAGATTTGCCTCATTTATTTCAGTTATAATATCAACCACTCCCAGTGATCTTAGAATTCCAGTTTTCGATATATTACCTTTTTAAGGTACAATAAAAAAAAAATTAAAAATGCAAATTTTCTTAAATATTCTCTTCCTTGCAAAACGTTCATTTCGGTCTAAAACGGTGTGTAAATGGTCCGTGATTGACCACACTAATTGAAGGAACATTATGATTTTGCGTACATGTCGAATTCAACCTCATTCCCAGGTCTTCTTTCAACCCCTCGAGAATTGTAGAGTGAAAGTAGCAAGTGGGCGCGTACTGCTCGACGCCATGTGGACGAGGTCGATGTCAGAATTATTTGCGCCTAAAAACAGGCAGAATATTTATTGCAGAATCTTTGACTTTTCAGAAAGTAATCAGAAAACAACATTAAAAACGCAAATATCAATCTTTGGTTGTGATAAACAAAACCACATGTAGGCCTACAGAATCATATTTTAATATTAAAGACAATATTGCTTGGAAACTGTTTCACCACAAAACGTTTTCCCCCATAAACAAAAGTTCTCAATCTCCTTGCAAGACAAGAATGAACATTGTCTCCAGGGTCAACTGTAATCGCAGCAGATGTAGACATACTCCATCTTCCCTTGTTTCGTGGTTGCCATGCCAACGCCGAGTTGTTGGGAGGTTTTCCACGCCAGCTCTGTCGTGCAGGTGTTAATGGTATTCCACGAGTTAGCGAAACGGCCTAAAATATGGTGTAAAATACCAAAAATAAACAACAATTGTCAATGTTGGTCAACAACATTTTTTTGTGGATAGTTCGACATTTGAAGTATCAACTTCATGCATGACTTGTATAGACCAATACGGGTATGACATCTGTGATCGTTGTTCACTCATGAGGCCCTCTTCAATGGAGAAACCATTGTGCGTGCTATTGTACAAAGCAACTGCCCCATGACGGAATATCTGAACAATAGCTACCACAATGCTTTCGCCATTGATGGGGGCCTCCGTGATAGAATTGATAGCGTGACCGGATTGCTCTACACGCAGTCGACATCCGTAAATTCGACTGTTGAAGTTGTTCGGAGCAATGAGTGGAGCGTCTAGATTCCAAACGTCTAAATGAATGCGAAAAGTTTACCTGTGTTTAAAAAAAGTCATTTGTATCTACAGTCGCTCCTGATACATTTCAGTCGCTCTTAATACATTTTTTATCGATACTATGTTGCAAAGCTGTCAAAGAATCCGGTATCCCGACTGCGTCTGGCCGTACAGTACTATCGCAAGCTCTGTAGTACGCGTCCAGACGCAGTCGGGCTAAGAATCCGGTAGCAGTCTTACCCATGTTAGCGTCTTGCTTAATTTCATCACAGAAAAATGCGGCTACTTCTGCGCCTGTAGTGAGAAAAGGGAGGGAAAATAAACCTATAGGAAATATGACTTGCCATTTATGGTAACTTCTAAGCGGCAACACGGAATTGACAATTAACAAAAAGTTAAGATTTTTTCAAGACTTTTACAAAGATACTCAAAAAACATGAGCAAACCTTTGACATTGGACATCTTGAAATTGGAGGACCCAGCCGTGAAAATGTTCTCTCCATATCCGGCCTTTTTACTCATAGGACTCGGCTCGAATTTCTTCGTGTTGGCCATCTTGGTCGCCCACTGCTGGGCCTGCTTAGCGAGCTTGCCGTTTAGCGTGAGGGGTGGCAAGTTGTGCCGGGCTCTGATCGCGTTGTGCCCCTGGAGCAGCTCCCGCCTGACACGCTCAAGAGGCGTCTCCTTGCCGTTTGGTAGCGGTGACTCGCCGACCGTCGGCTTTCCATCCGCCGGTCGATTGTTCGTTTCGCCCGGCGCGTCCCTGCTGCCGTCTTCGCTGCCGAACTTTGGCGTTTCTGGTACATCTGAAATCTGAAGCACACATCATCAAAATATTTAACCCAGATATTGTCACAGATCACTCAAAAGCCAAACTATCAAAGCATAAGCTTGAAACCTGTATTATTTTGTTGAAAACGTTTTTCCGAAAATTCGTCTATGAAAACAACAATTTACAAAGAACACAATGTATTTAATTTAAAAAAAATGACCCCCAAAAGGAATAAAATCGGCATTTATTTTACCGGTGGTAAGACATGTTGCTCGTAACGCCCGACCCAGTTGCCTGGCGGACTGTAATTGCAGCAGATGTAGACATAGCCCATGTTTCCCTTTTTGGCGGTTGCCATGCCAACGCCTAACTCTTTAGAATCCTTCCAGACGACTTGGGTGAAATGACCTTCCGGAAAGAAAATGAAGAGCTGGAGTTACTCCTACGTCAAAACTTGCAATAAAAGTTTGCACGATATTAGTTTGCCCAGTCAAGTATTTTTTTTGTTCAGACTTATGATATCGGGGCCATTTCATGCACCGGTTCATTCCAAGAGTCTCATCAAAATTATAATTTTGGTTCAATGATTTTACTGCAGATCGATCCGATTCGGCTTCGTTCTATTTGTATTTCTGTAAGTGAAAGAAAGGAAGTGTACGTGCCGAAGCATCATTGGTCCAATAAACGGATCTGTCAATTGTTCTCCAAAGAAGCACAATGCGATTAATCTTTCTCTTCACCACGCCCACCAATCAAGGTAGGCGTGGCCAACAGCTGGACGCCTAACGTTACTGGAAAAAGCCGTTCATGCTAGGAAAGCCGAGCGGATTGTGTTGATAAAAAAATATTGGTTTGTTTCTATGATTGTCAAAATGCCTATGCGATAGCTCACCTATTTGTCCGCCGTTCTTTTTCCGTTGCCCGGGGTTATCGTAATCGTAGTCTTTAATTTCATCATAGAATGCCGAGATAGAGGTTTCACCTGTAAAGCAAAATTGATTGAAAGACATTCAATTTCTTTTTACCCCAAAAGGAAGGAATAATCAACAAATATTTGGGTCGGTTCTACCCGTTTATATTTAAGGTATAGGAGAAAAATATTTAGTGGCTCCAAATTAATTGTGACATAAAAGTCTTTAAAAAAATGAATGTCAAACCATAATTTATTATCTAAAAAAGAAAAAGAAAGATGACCATGGCTTGTATTACCTTTGACATCGCTTACGTTGAAATGTGTTGAGCCTGAGTAGTAAATATTTTCTCCGTAGTTGGGCCTGTTCTTTTGAGGGCTGTGCTCTAGTTTCCGCATGGAGGCCATCTTTTCCGCCCACTTTTGCGAGTACTTGTTGAGGGTGTTGTTCAGGACGAGAGGCGGTACGCCGTGCCTCGCTCTGTAGATGTTGTGCATCTCTAGCGCCTCGCGCCTCACACGATCCAGTATCGACTCTTGCGCGGTGCCGGTGCCTCGCGAGGGAAGTTTGGCGCCATCTTCTGACGTCACTTTCTCCGTTTCCTTAGCAACCGTTTCGTGTTCGACGCTGAGGGTCTGCTCCGTTTTCGGCCATTTGTCATGTGACATGGGAGTCAGGTTGTCACCCAGATTTTCTTCTTCCGTCCGAGGTTCAGATTTTTTAGGAAAAGGTGCATTACCTTTTGCACTGTGAGGTTTGTGGTTCGAGGCGACTACCTCGTCTGACTTTTGACTGAGTTTGGAGAGGTTTTCAGGAATTTCTATTTCTGCAGCAGGTTTAGATTGTGTGTTGCTACTCTTTTGAGGTTCGGGCATTGTATTTCTGGAAGTGGTTCCTGTTTTGAATGTGTCCACATCATGATCTACTGCGAGGTTCACCGTTTTTACCATAGCTTCGTTGTTATTGTCTCCCCTCGTTCCGGTTTGGTTCGAGGTTTGGTCCTCATGGTCACAATCATTGTCTTCTTTTGATTTAGTTGATATGGGCCGGTCTGTAGCATTGGTTAATGTTACCTCACCAGGCTCAAGCCTTTGAGGTGCGCTCTCGCCGTCCTCTTCTGTTCGAGGCATGCCTGTGGTGATGAATAGTACACGTCTCCTTACCTCGGAGGGTTCGTTAATTTCCTCTGTTGCGTGAGGTTCCTCTGGCAACGAGCCTCTTTCGTTAATTTTCACTGCTGCGTGAGATTCGTCGAAGCTCGAGGGCTGCATCTCGCCACCAGCCTCCCCATTCTCGTGAGGTACTCCTGATTGCGAGACGCAAACCTCACCGTTTGCAATGAGGTTCACTTTCGTTGGCGGCACTTGTACGGGACCATGGGTACCGTCCTCGTCGATGTGGTCTCCGTGATCACCATCAAAGTTCCCGGTTTCATCTTTATGCTCTCCCCTTCTTGTGTCCTCGTCTCTGACGAGTAGAGGTGGTTTCTCCGACTCGCTTCCCGGCTCCACAGCCGTCTTCGAACTGCCGCATCCCATTCTTAGAATCAGTGACAGTCCAGTTTGGCAAACGATCGATACAATGGAAATTGTAGGCCTATTTAAAGCACTGTCATGGTTTGCAAGGACATTCGTCGTACTTCGACAAACATTTTTCTTTACATCCTACATACATTGTAAGAGGATCGACAACTCAACCAAACCAAACATTTGACTCATGCAAACGCAGCCAGTATTAATGTCATTGCACCGTGGAACGTTCATGCTATTCTCACGTCCAAGCAGAGTCTTCGTTTACCCTGACGAAACCTGGCGAACACAAGCATCCGTACGGTTTATCTTGTCTCGCAACTTCGGTTTTTTTGGGGTCACTGATGAAGAACGGCATGGCCTTCAAAATACCGTGTTACCCGTTTGGATTCAATCACTGCTTTGTGTTTAACGGCCGGTACGCACGTCTATCACCGCATATAGCTGGTCATAAATCGTTTGTGTTTTAGATACACATGCAGATAAACAATGTACATGTAACTGTGTTATGATAATAATAATCCAAACGGCAAACAACGACCGCTACAGCAACGGACGAGGCAAAGTCCAACCACAACATCGCGACAGGGTCAACAATGGCTCTCGTTTCAGGGAAGCCCTCCTCATATTCACTCCCTCCCGTAACTATTATTATGCTCGAACTCTATACAGTGAAAATCAATAGTCTATGTTCATTCATAATACAAGGTCTGTGTACAGTCGCCAAGGGTTACCCCCATTGTGAGCGCCAAGACACGGAAGTTTTGTTGTGGTGCTCATTGCAAACATGCTGCAAACAAATTACAGTTTCTCTGGTCGTGGAGAATATTGTCAGTTACACATCTCACCTCCCAAGGAGCACCACATCGATAAGACAGGACTCGTTGCTTGTCAAGCCTCCTGAGCATGCACGGATGGTGTAACTCTGCACCCGGCTGAATTAAATCCTGACGTGGTCAAGAAACTTGAAATCTTGCATGGGAATCAGATTGACAAGAAGTTTGCGCTTCCTGTAATTCACAACAACTGATAACTTTTTTTTTCTGAGAGGCTTCAAAGATCTACCAGGCAATCAAATCAAGATGGGTTGCGGTGGGTCTAAGAGTACAGCCGTCAACGAACGCTCGCCTCTGATGGACGGCAACAACACCAAGGAGCAACGCGATGCAGGGCGTCGAGATAGTGAGGACTCGGATGCCCCAGCTGGGAAGACGAAGTCTGGTTACAGCAGGCTGCTCCAGGAAGAGGACACGGCAGACGCTTCCATGGACCAAGGAGAGCAGCCAGGGGAAGCACCAGCGAACGGACCACCTGCCGTCGACGCCGATATCGAGAATTCTCCCCCTGAGAAGACGACGACCAAGTACACCAAGCTGCCTCCCTCGGCGGAGGACAAGGAACCGACAGAGATCATCCAGGATGAGAACAAGGAAAGTGACAAACCGGCGGCGATCGCTGAGGAACCGGAGGAGGTCGTGGAAAACAATGAGGAGAATCTCAGACGAAACTTAGAAGAGGAGGAGGGCTGATCGATTTCGCTTGAAAGCGGCTCATAAGACATTCGGAATGGGTTTCTGGGCCTGAGGCCGAAGTATAAAGACGCCATCCTGGAGGTACCAACAGACGTGAACCCCCACGTTACTGAAACAATTTATTACATGTGGCTATAAATCGAAGATGACATTCATTCTTTAATTTTTAAATTGGAATTAAGTTGCAAAATTGCTTCAATCAACGTGATGATATGACCGTTGGTACCCAGACTATGGCGCCTTCAACAGCGTCCTCACTCGCTTCAAAAATGGCCAAGGGAAGTCCGAGACAGGCACTGGAAAGGGACTTTTTTAAGGCACGAAAACCATCTTCTTTTCAAGGGTTCTTATCTTTCTTGGTCTCTCACTGAGGATCATTCACCTAATAATCGAACATTGCCAAATTTAAGAGTGTTAGATTGTTCCCTTATAGATCAAGCACCGATTTCGATAATGCATGGTTTTCACACACATACACGTTTTAATTCGACTCTGCTTCATTTTTTTTTATTCCAAAACAGAATTTGCAGTATTAACTTAGGATGAAAGTAGCATGGCAACGGTGACGTTTGGAAAATCATGATACAATTGTCATATCGAGACAACCGCAAGACACGTCGATCATCTCCTGCCAAATCACCGCAGATCAATGCACAAGTACAAGTCATATCAAAGAGCTTTGAATTTAATAGTTTATAGTAGCACCAAGCGTGGAATACTTGTAATATTAATTCACCTGAACTTGAGCCTGATCGGGACTTTCACTTTAATACCTGCCTGCATGCAAAGTGAACGAAAAAACCTGAGGGCCATGCTCCTGCGATTTTCTGAACAGTGTTTAGTTATCCTTATCAAATAATCTTATTTAAAAATAAATGTTGTGCTTCTTGTGTAAATAAAATACATACATTTTATGCTATCAAAGGATGTGTTTTATGTGTTTTCAAATGTTATGGTCTGAATTATGTTCATTTCAACTGTTTTCCAATTATGAGCGTGTCTCATCACCGCAAATTCTCCTTATGAAATAAGTTGACAGTGACGTTGGTTACTGATTGATGTCACTGATTAAATTAAGTGAACAGTGCATCCAGTTTGTGACTTTCTTATAATATTGAAAGTATGTTTGAATACTCTTATCCATCTCCGGGGCCCCCAACGGCGGGGGGGGGGGGGGGGGTGGGGGTGGTAAAGGGGGCCATCCCCCCATTTTTTTTTAAATTTACTATACGTGACGTCGGAAAAAAAGAGGCAACGGCGTACACCACCATCTTTTCCTTTAAAAAAAAGTGGTTAAAGTGGTCAGAAATTACCTCAGATCGCAACACAAAACATAGAGTCAAAAAAATGCCCGGCTTAGCGGGCCCCGAAACCAGACGCCGTTACTTGTTATACCCATTTTTTTTCGGGGACCAACTTTTTTTGGCCCCCCCCCCAAAAAAAATTGTGTTCTGGATCCGCCCTTGCTCCCACCCAAGAAACTCGGCAAGAAAAAAGCGGTCAAAATTGTTGATATTTGTAATGTAATTATAGTACAAATTTAAAATGTCGAGCCACCCAGCAGTAGAACTTCAAATACTCAAGTGATGCAGAACTTGGCTATAAAGTTACCGGCACAAAAAAAACATCACTTGATCTGACTCATGATGAAGATTGAGATGGATTTGCTTCTAAAAGCGGTGTTTTTTTTATCTCCTGATGAGCCTTTAGTCAATATAATTTGCAATGCGTCGTACTCCCGGTCCTGAGTGGGCCTACACTTGAAAAAATCATAGGTCCTGAAAATTGAAACTACATTTTTTAAACTTCGTCAAAAGTGGGAAATCAATCTCATTCATAAAACTAATTTATTTGTGCCCAGCTTACTAAAGGGCGCCACCATTATTTCATTTTAGGAGAGGTTTTGAGGGTAAACACACACACGGTACGCACACATCGCGGAAATGATTCAGTTCTACTTCGAACGGTTTTTAGATGCCTTGAGTCACGTAAAATGTGACAAATTCCACACATTATGGAGGATCTAGTGACAGTCAATGTAGGTGGGTGTCTTCACACGACGACCATTGCCACCCTGACCCGCTACCCGGACTCCATGCTGGGTTCCATGTTCAGCGGCCGCCTGCCTACCTCGCGGGACTCCCACGGCAGCTACATCATCGACGGAGACGGTCCGACCTTCCGCCACGTGCTGAACTTCCTCCGCCGTTCAGCGCTCTGCGTCCCGGCCGACTTCAGCGAGTGGGACCTGCTGGCGGCCGAGGCGGACTTCTACCAGATCCAGGAGCTGATCGAAGCGGTCAGGTCGCTCCGTGAGGAGCGGCAGGTTAAATCCGACCCCCCTCCCCTTTCCTCGGAGATGGAATTCATTGAGATCGTGACAGATACCAGTTCGAAGGATTTCACCTACTGTGGAAGCCAGGGCACCCTGAACCAGATCCCGCTGTTATTGGGGTTTTTCCAGGCCCACTCGATGCGAGAGAGGAACGTGCTGAGGCACTTGGAACGGGACGGGGAGGTCACAGCCAGACACGGCGTGGTGGCTCCCAACCGCATGAAGATCTTCCAGGAGATCTCCAAGCTGGGATTCCAGCTCCTAAACAAATCTAGTTTTGGAGAATTGAACCGATCCGAGAGATGGTTGTTTGGGCGGGCTTTTCCTGACTTATGATGACGGACAGTTTTTAGCTTTATTTCTCTAGAACTTTGCAGATAAGTACTTACAATCTCACCAAAATCTAGTCCTCAGGACCCCGAACGTGACCCGATGTATGGAGGGCAAGCCGAAAACTTACTGATTGTGACTGACACATGAGCAAATCATACAAAATTGCAATGTATTCAGAAGCTGAACTCGGGAGTCGGAGGAACATCTTGTCAAAAAGTTAGGATATTTAAGGTACCTAAAAAGATCCTTTTCACACTACATCCTCGAGATTGGACTCAACCCTGGGGCGAACCAAATGCTGCCCCTGTGTGACCTTTTGTTTTTTTCAACCCTGCGTTCCACCCTGCATCATTTCATACTTGTTATGTGCAAACCAAACTTAGTTGACTCGGTTACTAAGTACTGTTTTGAACCCTGACGAAAGTTTCAACCCGGGTTGAAATCTCAACCCTTGTCTGGAGTAGGGCTGAACTTGAGTTCAACCGGGGAAAATCAATCTAAGGGTTGATGCAGGGTTTAGTGCATAGAGGGTTGAATATTTCCAAGGGTGAACGCAACATGTTTTGTCGACCCTGTGTCAACCCCGCGTCAATCCAAAGATTTGTCTCATGTGAAAAGGTCTCAACTAATTTTTTCACATTTTTTGGTGTTTTTTTGGGGAGGGGGGGGGGGGCTCATTTTGTGGGTGGTACTTCAGGACTGTACTCCAGCCCATCACAAGTCCAGTCGCAAGTAACAGTGGATGAACAATAACAAAGAAATGCCTTTGTCAAAGCTTATTGAATAGCTTGTGATTTGAATTAAGACTTGTGATGGATTGATTATGTGTGCACGGTTCACCAATGCACTTAAAACATAATGATGTCACACCTATTTTACATATGCGCATTCCTATGTAAACAAAGTGGACTTTTGTAAGCAAGAATGGCCAACATTACACACATCTTTGGCGCTTTCAGAATGTCCATTTTATATATTAAAACTAATATAATTGCTCATATTCATAATAAACGAGCAAGAACTACAATTGTCATGTGTGCTGTCTACCATTTTTTTGGGGGGCGAGGGGGGGGGGGCTGTGTTTTGAACATGTACAATTAGTACAATTTTAGTCTAAAAGTTGCTTGAAAAAAATGAAAAGATTACAAATACAGGGGTGTGAAATCTCAGCTTTCAAGCTGATTTCAGCTTTTTTTGTTTTGGATTTCAGCTTTTTTTCCTCACTTGCTGTGTACAAAAGTATAGAAGATTTCCAAAATTCAGTTTTTTTAACACCTTTTTCAGCTGTTTTCAGCTATTTTTATCAGTGGTCACTCGCACCCCTGCAAATAGTCTGGATCTTGTGATTTTGTACATGGGAATTTTAACTTACAAAAGTGTTTCAAAGATAAAAATGACCTGACATCTACATCATTTCAAGAATTCACTAAAATTTGAACAACTACACCTGCGAATTTTAAAAACTTGGTTGGTTCTGTTTCTGCCGGCTTCGATTCTGACCAACATCAATTTTTTTGGGAGAATATTTAGAAGTAAACGGAGGACCCAAGCAAGTCTAACTTTGAACCTTGACCCCGTGGAACACGTGTAGCCTTCAAATTATCACACGTGCGCGCGTACATATATTCGAAACGTGTGCTCAATCTGCATTTTGTCGGTGCATCAGTGCATGGAGCTAGGAACACCATCTGAGGATTTCACCACTCCATCGAACTTCTACTATGTCTGTTGCAGTTTACAGCACTTATGCACAAGTAAATACTTTCCGTCAAAATTGTCAAAAGCTGTTTTTGTTTCTGTGCAGTTTTTGCATAGTGCTGTGATTGGGTGCTGCGTGCATGCATATTGATCGAGGTAATTCGTCAAAGATTGAAACATACAGTTCATGGTGATGCATTTAAAAAAATAAAAACTTCACATTTTCCCCCGATGTCTCACCATGGAGCTATAACTCCATTGTATAACTAGTAAACGTCTATTTTATGGAAAGAATGTTGCAACCTGACGCCACTTCAGCGGTTGTGTATACAAAGTTTTTCGGAGAGTCAAGAATTTTTTTAAAAATTTCCTCACAAAATTGGAAATGCATGTTTCTCAGTCCCAGATTCATTTCCTATCAATTTTTTTCTTATCATTTTTTTTCTTGCAGTGATGACCTTAATTGAGATGACATGGAGAAAAAAAGTGGCGTCAGGTTGCAATATTCTTTCCATAATGATGGAAAAAGTGGCGTCTGGATGCAACATCTATCGGAAAGATTTCCATATACGAAGTTCACTAATTTTCCTCTGTATTGACTAACATAACAAGCCCCCAGATAGCAATTTCATGTCATCAAAGTCAATTTGAGCAGTGAGAAAATACAAGCATTTTCTTAGAAAACGCTTAGAATTTTTCAGTCCAATCTCATAGGGTTTGTACACAGGGTGTTGAGTGAACTTCGTATATGGAAAGCATTCCCATCTATCCGAATATTTTTTTGGGGAAAATTAAGACAAACTGACACAAAACGTTTTCCTGCTAAAGTACATATACCATGCTCATGTTGACATTCTGAAAAAGCAGTATTTTTTAACATTATGTTAGAAAAAATTGACTGAGAATGGATTTTGTTTCTGCATTTTCAGCATTGTAAGCTAGCGGACATCATGGACGACATTGTGCATCTGAATGTCGGTGGTGTCCGATACACCACCATGAGATCAACCCTCACCCGCTACCCTAAGAGCATGCTGTTTTCCATGTTCAGTGGTCCCTGGAAGCCTGCGGCCCAAGACGCTGACGGCACCTACGTCATCGACAGGGATGGCCCCTTATTCCGCATCGTTCTGAACTTCCTCCGACAGGGCAAGCTGTGCCTTGGAGACGGCTTCAAGGAGTGGAGCCAGATGAAGTGCGAAGCTAACTTCTATCAAATCCAGGAGCTGATGGATGCTGTCGTTGCCTCAGAGACTCTTCAAACAGAAACTGCCAAGAAGGAAAGAGAAGAGGAGGACGAATTATATGATAAACGGTATGACAAGCCGGCCCCAGAAACCGAGTTTGTCGTCATTACAGCGAAGGTTAATAATTACACTAAAATCGGGAAGATGAAATACTCCGGATCACGCGAAGTCCTGGAAAAGATGCCACAGCTTATGTCATTCCTTGTTCCGTTCGTGTCGCCCGAAGACATGGACGAACACGAGGCAGAGATGTTTGGCGAGTTGGAGCGTTGTGGGGAAATTGAAGCCGAACGCAACTATGAACTGAACCGAGAGAGGCCCGTACATCCGATGGACATCTTCCAAGAAGTGACAGCTCAGGGATTCGAAGTGTGTGGTTATTGGCCGTGCCCTATAAATCCAGATTGTGAGAGATGGATTTTCAGCAGACCTGTCAAGCGTACATAGAGGCTCCTAATCGAAGATCTCTGTAGTGCGTTAGTTTGTTTCCAATTTGAGTTTGTTTGCAATTTAATTTAATTTGAAATCAGGTGATTTCCAAGGACCAGCTTAAAAATAAAAAAGGCCAAATAAAAAATTTTAAAAAAACATGTTTAGCGTCCCCGCCCGCTTCCTTTTTGGAGGCCGCCTCATTTTTTTTAAAGGAATAAATGATAAATTTTAACAGTGACACCATAATGGCCTCTTTGTCTGTTGCATCTAGCCCATATAAAGTATGTCATTTCCTGAGTCCAAGGGCGGCCATTTAAAAAAAAAAACTGGTGGCCATCTCGAAAAAATAGCCCAGTCGGGCCTACATTTTGGACCAAAAAAAGGAAAGAAGGTCCTCCTTCCTTTTTTTTAAAAGGCAGGACACTAAACATGTTTATTTTTATTTGGCCTTTTTTTTTTAATTTTTATAATTGATTGATTTTTCTTTGAAATAGAGTTTGCTAGTGAAGAAACCATGTTTGAGTTTTTCTCAATCAAAAAGTTGTGCATATTTTTCTTGAAAGTTGTAATTTATTTATTTTATTTATTTCCTTCAAAACCATATACTATATATTTATGTGTGTAAAATACTAAGTCAGAAGACACTAAAATAGATGTAAAAAAAAAGAAGAAAAAGGCAGCATTTAAGTTAAAATTAGATCATCCAGACAAATAGACTGGAGCAGAAACTTCAACAGGTTTGAAAAATCTTGTTTACTTTGTTGTTATTATTAGAAATTAAAGAATAAAGTATTTGCAAAGGAAAAGATCATTTATATAAGGATTTAAGGATTACGGTAGGTCCAAAATATATCTTCAATTGAGATTGATTTCAGAAGAAACTAAAGGAATTTTCTGCATTTAACCTTCTTCATGCTGAAACTTATATACATATTATGTTTAAACTTATTTACTCCATTAACATATACTGTAAAATAAATACGTTGTAATTTTGTAAACATGGTAACGTACTCTATTTATTATGACTGCATTAAAAAGTAAAAAGACAGTAACTGCATGGTGCATTGAGATTACGTATTCGTGTAGTGTGTTATTTACAAGTTGCATGCGCATAGCTTCAAGTTTCTGGCTATATAGTCTACAAATTTTGTCCGCTACGTCAAAAACAGACAGAAAAATGATGAGAAATTAATTTCAGGTTGGGGTAGCCTGGTTGAGGGGTTTGGTTTAGGGGCGGGTGGATTTCATAATGCAGATTGATTTGCTGCCCCCCCCCCCCCCCCCCCCCCCGTCCCGCCCCCAAGCAAAAATAAGTTGTTCACATAAGGGTCAAAGTTCAAAAGAAGATATTCATCCTGACGAGTGTGTCACCTTTTTTGGCATTATTTACTACCTTTGTTGTGCACCCTGGACAGTTTCATTTTCAGAGGTATTACTTGAGTCTGAAAATATTGAGTTTTATTCTTAAGGTAAAGTTTATTTTTCATGCATTTTTTTTTATGTACTTGAAGGACCAAAACAAGTCTAGTCAAGCTTTGAACTTTGAACCCTGTCATATCTAGTACCCAGTCGTCCCTCTCGCTATATCGGTTGAACTTAAGAAGACGAATCGACGGTGACCCGCACTTGTTTACCTTTTTTGACGGAACACGTGTTTGCTATCGCCACATCGAGTAAAAACCGGATCAGCGTTCACTTATTTCAGCAGTAGCCAAGTCATTATTAAGTTGTACATTTTGTGAAGTTTCATCGTCAGAGTGTTGGCTGTAAATTTGGAATAATAAGTAACATAACTGTCTAAGTTGTACGCGTTAATCACGGCGAAAAAAGCGGAAAAGTCCGACTCTGTCTTCGCTGCATCGCAACTGAAGGAATTCAACTTCAATTCAAGCATAGGCAAGGTTTGTCATCAAATTTCATTGTCATTATTATTAGTATTAAGAATATGATTATGATGTTTTCAAGTCGAAACGTTAAAAAGAAGAAAGAAATCCATTCACCAATCTCCCTAAATCTTAAACTTTAACATGTTGGCATAATTGGTTTAAAAGGCCAAGTCAAAAAAGTTTCACGACTTTGGACTTTTTGGGGAAAAATAAGGCGGCCATTCCCCCCCCCCCCCCGATTTTCTAAGATGGGCAAATGATGAGGGAGGATTCTTCCATTTTCTCGACACTTTTGCCGATACTTTTGTCTCCGAACGAGTTATCACCCTTTCTACCAGATTTTGAACTAATAGTAATAGTTGGGGGCGATCGGTTGATCTGCACGGTCGGTTGATCGCTTTGCGTGATGGGTCGCTTCTGTTGAATATCTTGGATTTACTTGCCTTTAAAAACAAAAATTATCCAGAGCCGTGAATTAGAAAGAAAAGGTGTTCGACTGGCGGCAGTGGGATCGAGTGATAGCGTCATGATCGACCGATAGCGCAACATGGTCGACCGTTTCCGCACATCAACCGATCGCGCCTGACATAATTGCTTAAATTTCGCAGTCCAGTAAAACTTAAAAGTTTCTTCTAGAATAAGAAGGCACACAGGGTTCCTTTTAATTCCAGAAGTAATTAAAGATTAAAATGTATTGCAGAAATATTAAATTTATAACTTAAGTATGACTTATCTTAATATTTTGCAGACAGGCCAAGACATGGAAGACATTGTGCGCCTAGACGTTGGAGGCGTCAATTACACCACCAGCAGATCAACACTGACGCGCTACCCCAACAACATGCTCTATTGTATGTTCAACGGACCGTGGCAGCCTGCAGCGCGGGATGCAGACGGAACCTACATCATCGATAGAGATGGCCCCACTTTTCGAGTCATTCTGAACTTTCTCAGGAACGGTAAACTCTGCCTTCCAAAAGACTTCAAGGACTGGAGCCTTTTGGAGGCCGAAAGCAACTTCTACCAGATCCAAGAGCTGGTCAACGCGGTGGCCACTTTCCAGCAAGAACTGGCCATTGAGGAGGCCATGAAGGATCGGGAAGACAAACTCGCCCAACTGAAGGAAAGGGAAGAGGCTAGGGCAGCCAGAGAATGTGAGTTCATCGAGATTGTTGCAAAGACCCGCGATGTTGCCAAGAAGGGCAGATTCAAGTACATTGGGAGCCAAAAGACACTGGAGAGTATCCCATATTTGCTGCAGTTCCTCATTCCGTATGGACCGCCTACTATGGCAGATGAGTATTTCCTGTTGGAAGACGTGGAACGAAATGGAGAAGCTGAGGAAGAACGGGAACATGCATTGATTCAGGAGGACCCCATGAAGAGAATGACCATATTCCAACAAGTGACAAAGCTCGGGTTTGAGCTCGTTAGCGCGTCTCCCTGCCCCGATGGGGAATCGGAGAGCTGGGTATTCTGCAGACCTGTTCAACGCCAGTAAGCTGTGTAACTGATCGCTAGGGGTGTTGCACAAATAAACATGGTCTCTTTGTACAAATAATCCTCAACGGTTTTATCAAGCGCCCGCCTTCTTCATTAAAAAAAAAAGAAGATGTTTATGGTTCATTATTTACCTATAAAAAAATCATAGCAAGAACGTTGTCACTTGTGTTTCTTTTGCAACAGGCAAATTTACGATCCACTTTTTTTTATGGAATTGTAGAAAATGTTGGTGACCTGAAATGCCTGCTTGTATTTTATGACTAAAACATGCCAGACAAACAAAAAGATGTTTTAAATTTTGCCAGTAGTATTTTAGCAAAACTGTGTTTGTTGTATGGAGATGCCATTGTAGATGTTGAGATATGAGGATATCTTGTCTTCTATCTTTGTATTATTATGTCAAACATATGTTATTTTTGTACTAGCATTGATCTTTCTCATACATCAATATTGTATATACTGTATATTAAAGATGTTGTTTATGCCAAACTTTTTACAGCCGCGGGGCACAACTTTGTTTTTGAATAAAACATTGTGAACTGTTTTAAGTTCACTAGTACATTATCCATCTCTATGTCTGTCAATCACTTTGTCTTTAATAATCATTGCCATTGCAACAAAAAATCTTTGAGTTGTGCACTGTGTTTATGATGGACTTTATTGTGAAGTTTATATAAAACATGCACAAACACTTTTCCAGTTAAAGGAATTGTGGGCGTCTATAAACTGAAAAGATTTGTTCTAGTATCTCTTTAATTCTTTTGCAGAAAAACAATCCAAAATGAATGACATTCGCTGGAAACTTAAGTGAAATCCCTCCTTCCCTCTAAAAAAATGCATAGTTTTATTCAGTACTTTTAGTTTACATACAACACCCGCATTGCAGTAACTATGGGCCCATTTTGTTGGATTTAGTCTTGTTTGGTTTTGGCAGTGGTGTCATGTCGACATAGTCAACGAGGTTAAAAGGACACCTCCCCTTAATATTGAGGTTTGCATATCAATCAAATTATAATCAAAATGAACCGGGGCGTGACCCTGTCCCACAAAATACCCCACCCCTCCTTATTAAACCCCCTACTAACCCCCCCCCCCGCGGTACGCAGAAAGTTTTGCGGCGCAAATCTCTCGGAGTTACAGTGCGCCCCCTGTTGCTGAGCAATGTCCAACACCAGGAAACGATACCGATTTGGCAGACAAAAAGGATGTTCGTCCTTGACCGACGTGTTCGATAAGGTAATGGACCTATTATGAGTTTTGAATACCACTCAATGGCTATACAAATAGTTGTGTATTGTGTGGTGACAAATTTGATTCTATTTACTTCGCGTCCTGACTTTGTTTTGAATTGTTTTCTCGTGATATTTGTTCGCAACTGGCTACGCGTACGCGTTAAGTTAAATACTGAACTGGCCGGGGGGGGGGGGATATGACGTCATTAACATCGGGAAGTAAAGGGGATTCCCCAAATAATAAATGAGCGCGGTTTCAATGTTTGTGACAGTGAAATACAAACAGAAAGATTTTGTGCTGTGCTGAAAACATGATACATTAAGTTAACAATTTAAGTTTGGAATTTTTGGTTTGTACTTAGGCCTAATTGCAATTTTGTTTTAAAATGAAAGATAATAAATTTAAACTCCTGGCTTTTTCACATGTTTAATATAATGTAGACCAAGTAAAAACACACCAGTTTTTTTGTCCCTGGCTGCTTTCAAATATATTGTCTTTTTAATTTGTTTCCAACAAAATTATACATGTTACTGCTCTTTTGGACACGTCAAAATAGTCAAGCAAATGGAAGAATCCTGGCCATCTGCCACCTTGGAAAATCCACCATTCTGGGGGAAAAAGCAAAGGGAAAAAAGGTTCGCGTTCCAAAGAATCAACTTGAACATCTCCCAATTTGCTCCATGGTCTCTGATTGTGACTGCATTCACTTGCTAGTGTCTTCTTGGTTCACGATAGCCTGCCAATATGACTGGCATGACTGGTCAGAAAGTTCCCACCCATTTTTCACCATCTCTCTGAAGTGCATTGCATGCGCTAAGCGGCATCTCTCTCTGTTTTTTCTTTGTTTTTTTTAGCATGACTGGAGCTGAATGGAAAGTTCCGGTGAAATCAGATTAATTGGTTTGAAAAAATTTAGGTTTAAGGGAAAATACAACAAAGATCAAAAAAATAAAACTACCAAATCATTTTGAAATACCTTGCTGGACTGTTAGTGAATGACAGTGTAAAGCATCCTGTAAAATCATGGCACCTGGTATACTGTCATTTTCAAGAAAAGTGGTATTTTTGTATCAATTTCCAACGCTAGTCGGCCGACCAGCGTTGGAAAAAGCTGACTTTTTTTCAAATACTGGCCCCAATTGGCCGCGCACTTGTTGCAATCGATCTCACACCTATGAACGGGTACAAGCCAGCTAGACTGGGTCACTGACCTTACAATTCCCCAATGTATGTAAACTGCTCTGTTTCTTTTTATATGGAGTCAGGGAATCAGACTACAGGAAAATGATTGTTTTTCTTGGTTTTTATAGCATTTTCGAACCCAAAACCTCAAATAAGTCAGTATAACTATATTTGCTATATATTTCCAACCCCCCAATTCCATCCATTTCTGAAAATTACAGCAAAAGCAAATGATGTATATTCCCTTTAACCGGAGTTTGAAATCTCTGATTTCTCTCACCACTACAATAGTACGTGTAGGGGCAAAGGTCAAAATGAAGACAAACAGATCAAAATTGACCAACTGCCATTCAGTGAATAAACACACAAGGGTCGTCATTAAGAATACACTGTGAATTTCCTTGAAAGCCTAAATGACCGGGGTTTTTTTTGTCATGGGTTAATTTCAACTTCAGATTCCGCAAAAATGGCAGAGCAGGATTCTGGAAAAAACCAAGGGAGTACGATGTCATCGTGTGAGCCACACAGACAGACGAATGATGACAAGAAAATGGAAGAACTTTGTGTAGAAAGGCAATCAGAGGGTCCGGACCAGACATCAGGTAAGCTCAAACGTGCCGTAAACAAAGAGACCATACAAACATAGCCCGTTTACCGTGATAACAGGTGACTTTAACGAGACCAGACACTAGCACACGTAGCCCTACTGCATCTGGCTGTACAGTACTATCGCAAGCTCTGTAGTACGGCCAGACACCCAATGCTCCCCTAAAGAGCTAAACTCAGATGTAGCGATTTTGCTACCGATTTTGATCGAGATTATGTTCTCATCCAGGACAGAAATTTCCAAAGTTGAGGTTCCTAGTCGTAGAGAAACTCATACCTTTTCGAAAAAACGTTCTTTTAACTAAAAATCTTCATCCATCTGGCCAAATGACGACTTTCAGTCATCATCTCCCACGAATATCGTTCCGAAAATGTTCCTCCATGCGATTTCAAAATGGTGGCCAATTTTTAGTTAAAAGAACGTTTTTTTCAAAAAGGTACACATTCCTAATTTAAAGAGAGTTTACAGGGGATCAGGCAAATTAAAAAAAAAAATATGCTTCCTTTTTTCCTGCCTACCCTGATCTGACAGCCCCTACCATAATTTTTTTTGGGGAGAATGAGAAAAAAACCCACCCAAAACCATAAATTTTTACCTTTTTTTAACTGTGACTACTCGCGGAAGTCTCCATATAATTGTAACAAAAGAAATTGGCCCAAAAAAAAAACCCTGTTCCTACCCTAGTTTTGAATGCCATGTTATCGGAAGTGGAAGTATTATTTTTGTTGCCTAATGTCAGTGCTTTTCAACAAATTCTTTTTTTTTTTTTTATAATTGGTACATTTTCAACTTGTATGCTTATATTTTGACCCCAAAATCTCAATTTCTTTTCTTTTTTTGGACGTCAAACTAGAATGTCTTGCTTATATTTTGACCCCAAAACCTGAATTTCTTTTCCTTTTTTGGACGTCCAATTAGAATGTCTTGCCTAATTGTCTGTTTCCTTTTGTTTTGACATTTGCAGAATTTCAGCCATCGGTCCCGTTTCGAGAAAAGACAACGATTAGAGGCTCTGGAAACATTGTTGTAAAGAATTCTACTGGTACCGTCATCAACGTATATCAGTGTCCTCACAATGCAACAGGTGAGTCATCCTTAAGTAATTAAACCCATAGTTCATTGCTGTGTTTATCTGGCAATCAAATTTTGAGAATGTATTATATTTTTCTGTGTCTTTCCGACTTTAAAGGTATCTATTCTCTTTTAATCACCTCACAACAAAACAAATTTTGGAGAATGTATGTATTTCTCTGTGTGTTTCAACTTCAAAGGTTTCTATGCTCTTTTCATCACCTCACAACTTGTCTGGGGTTGGATTAGGTTGTGTTTCTAAGGTTAATCGCAAAAGTTACCTACCGAATTAATTATCAAACAGCTTACTTTAAAGATAGTTCTGCATGGTACTATATAAATATCATGAAACTATTCTCTCTGGCTTACCGTCATCGAGAAGATATTACAAAAAAATGTACGTGATTTCCAACGATCAGTGAATTGACTGATTTTTTTAGGTGAAGCCTGCTATTAACGAAATACTTGTTTTGTGGTCAAAAGGTTCTGCATAGTTTTTCCACTGTTTTCTCAAGTAGTTTAATACCCACTGATCTGAAAGTTCAACAAGTTAGGTTTTGATAATTCTTTCCTTGGAGTTTGAGTGGTGTTAGTATTAGAAGCTGACAAAATGCATGAAAAACAAATGTTATGCCTGAAAGAGGCTCTGACATTCGTCCCCAAAAAGATTCTACCCGTTAATAAAGACAGGGTAAGTTCAGCTGACTAATCCTAAAACAGTCAAGCAATTGTATTTTAATTACGTGGAGTACTGTGGCCTCGTGGTTAAGGGCACTGATTCGTGGTCTGCGGGTAAAGCTGCAGGTTGTGGGTTCGAGTCCTGGCGGGGTCATGGTGCGTGTGCCCTTGGGCAAGGCACTTTGTCACTCATTGCTTCTCTTCACCCAGGAGTAAATGGGTACCTGTGAGGGCAGAGATGGTTATTGTGATTGAATTAGCTTCCTTGCGCCTAACAGGCAGCATCGAGCTGTATACTCCCCAGGGAGCTGAGATGGTATTTGGAATGTTTCATGTGCCCAATGAGCAGGGGTAATAATGATGTAGCGCCTTGAGCACCAGTCCTGGTGGATACGTGCGCTTTATAAATGTCCACTATTATTATTACTTGTAATTTAATCATGAACATGACTTTCATATCTTTATATTGATATTCCTTTATATCTAGAATGCAGTGATGTTCAAGCCCCAGATGCTGCTGATAGCTGCGAAGTGGCACTGAAGACGCACTACAGGAGCACGGGCAGCTATGTGCAGATGATTCCATGGATCGACGATGACAAGAAACACATAATGGACATCTACACAAAACTACAGCTAGAAACGGAAAGCTACAGCGGTAAAATACTTGAATCGTATGATGACATCTTCCTCTTAAAAACGAGGGAGGGTGACGCAGTAGACATAGCTGTTTTGAATGGGTTGGCCGGGAGAGGGAAATCCACGCTCTTTGACAAGATGGTGTATGACTGGGCAGTCGGCTCAAGTCGAGCACTGCAAAGATTTAAGCTTGTCTTCCTGTTGAAAATGCATGCGCTGGAGCAGAGCTCGGACCTCATTGATGCAGTTTTTGACCAGCTCTTGGCCAAAGACACGGGTGTGGTCAAGCACGCTCTGGAAGCATTTGTCAAGGAGAATCCTGGTAAGGTTCTCGTTCTCTTAGATGGCTTCGATGAGTTCATGACCGCCTCCCTTTGTCCGTCCGCATTTGGGTCCATCCTGGGAATCCTAAACCGTGAAGTGTTCAGGGGCTGTAGTGTTCTGGTCAGCACCCGCCCCTCGCACTTTCACAGATTGGTAACGAGACAACTTGTCGAAGATCCATTCACATATGTCAGGATCTTGGGGTTCAATGAAAACGACATCAGTGAGTATGTCAAGAAATTCTACTGTGACAAAGAGAACATGGCAAAGGGGCTTCTGGAAGCTATTCACTCATCCAGCCTCCTTGCCAATCTGGCGAAGAGTCCAATGTTGCTACTCCTGATGTGTTTGCTTTGGAGACAAGATTCCGCACTCCCTGACACAATGTCACGCCTGTACAATCAGGCATCCAAATACATCTTCAAAAGAAAAGGTGATATGTCACAAGAAGAGATAGCAAATGTTATGATTGAAATTGGCAAGGTGGGATTGCGTGGACTTCTCTCTCCCCACCAAGTGCTCTCTTTTAAAGAAAGCGACTTCGAGAAAACTGTCCTTGACTTGGCAATCAAAGCAGGCATTCTGACCAGGCAGAGAGTCCTGAAGGGACTGGAATCTCACAACAGTTTGCAGTTTATACATAAGACCTTCCAGGAATCCGCTGCTGGAAGCTACCTGCAAAGCCTGTTCACAACAGACGAGGGTGAATTTGAAAGGATTGTGAAAGAAATTGTGCCAAAGGGGCCTGAGGGTTTGGGGTATCTTTTGCGCTTCTGTTGCGGGGACAATGAGGCATGCACCTACAGGATTCTTGAGATATTTCAGGAGAGTTGTCAGAAGTACTTATCATTTGACTCAAGGCTTGGTCAGTTGGCGCTACACTGTTATTTTGAGAGTCAGTCAAGCAGTTTGCCTCCGAGCGACCTCATACATTCATTTATAACATCGGACATTATCATTCGGGATCTCGACAGTGATTGCTTTAACTCGATCACCTATTTCCTGAAACGTGTCGCTTCCCAGACAAAGGACAGCGGCAATGCCTTCCTTGACAAAGTCAAGAAGTTTCATGCCACGCAGTCTGCCTTGGTGCGGTGCGGTGAAGACTTAGCTGTTGCCATGAGCGCAATGACAAATCTTTACTATGTCTGCTTGAAGGATAAGTGGTCCAAGTGGGGTTTTTCACAAAGCGTTATCCTGGACGGGAAGGCAGAATCCTGGTGCATTCACTTGAGGAAGGTAAAAAGCCTTCAGAGACTTAACTTAAGTCGTTGCTCCTTGAAGGGGCAGGACATCAGGCATGTCACTGAATCACTTGGGGATCTACCAAACTTGGTTGAATTGAACATTTCCTTCAATGACCTTGGTGGTACAGCAGAAGTATGGTGCATGCCTTTAAGGCATGGGCAGTGCCTCAAGAGGCTTGACTTGAGTCGTTGCTGTTTGACAGGACATGACGTCCAGAAAGTTGCTGAATCACTTGGGGATCTACCCAACTTGCTTGAGTTGGATCTTTCCGAGAATGACCTGGGTGGCACAGCAGAATCATGGTGCGTGCATTTGACGCAGTTGCAGCGACTGCGGCTACTTAACTTGCGGCATTGCTCATTGATTGCGCAGGACGTCAACCACGTCGCAGAGTCACTCAGGGACCTACCCGACTTGGTTGAACTGATCCTGTCAGATAATAACCTTGGCGGTACGGCAGCACTATGGTGCGTGCCTTTGAAGCGTCTGCGACAACTACGGCAGCTGAACTTGCGTCACTGCTCACTGATCGCGCAGGGCATCAAGCATGTTGCTGAGTCGCAGCCTGACTTGGTTGCGTTGATTCTCTCTGATAATGACCTGGGTGGTACAGCAGGCTCACTGTCCATGCATCTCAAGCAGCTGCCAAGTCTTAAGAAGCTGAACCTCATGTTCTGTAACCTTTCAGAGGAAGATAAGAAACACATCACTGACTCACTGAGTGATCTGTCTGACAATAATGGGTTAGTCATCAACTTCTGAAGACACTTGCTTTGGCAGGAAAGCATAATTCTGACAAAAGTGTGGTTGAATCTGAAGGCCTGTTTGAATGGTTCGTGCAATATTTAAAATATTTTCAACTCAGTAAGATAATTTCGTGGCCATAAAATTGACAGGGACATCCCCTTCTATTTGCAGAATTTCTTCAGGTTACTTGTACAAACAATAGCTTCTCACATATATGTCCTAATTTTGTACACCAGTGGTTCTTTAATGTATGTATTGTCTTCATGGGCGTCGCCAAGATTTTTTCCCAAATTGCTTGAGCTTTCGTTTGCATATTCACAATTTATCATTGTTTCGAGGGTGGGCGGGGGACATTTACCCATGAACACATCTAGTTTCGTATTTGCAAATAATGTACATATTTTTACGACAGCCCCCCCCCCCCCCCGCCCCATCCTGGCGACGCCCATGACTGTCTTGTAGAAGTAATGTGTAAAAAAAAACTTCATAATAACTAATATGCTTTGCAGATATTCTTGAAGTTTAAGAGCTGTAATGAAGTCAATCACAAGTCAAACCATATACAAGGTCACAGGTAACGAGGGGTGAACAATAATGTAATATATAAACAAGCACAAAGAACACAGAGATTGTGGTTGGCTGTGTATGTGTCAGCTTCAATGGCGGTCTTTTTACCGGAAATCCCCTGAAAGCTTGTCAATAAAGGTTGGCATTAATTATTAATATTTCATTGAGACAGAGTTAAACTTGGACTGCTTGTCAATAAAGGTTGGCATTAATTACTCATATTTAATTAAGACAGAGCCAAACTTGGACTGCTTGTTAACAAATTGCAGAGGAAAGGCCGGTTGGTACTTCATGCGAATATTGATGCGATGCGTTTTTGATGTTACAAAGCATTTGCTGCGAAACTTGCCGGAGTTGAAATGTGTTCAACTTTTGCGAATTTGCAGCGCGAAAAACTTGCCCCTAGGTCAGAAGTTTGCATTCGCATCGAGAATGAACCGGCCTGAATATAACTTGTCACGGTTCTGTTCTCTTTAATTAACATGATGATTTGATTGATTTGTGAGTACTTGTGTATGATCTGATTCCAAAATCTTTCTTGAAGAAAAGTTTATCCAAATGACAGCAGAAATTCTTTAATTTCACAGACTGTGAAGCCATGTAGTGGATGATTTAGGGTGTAATCATGTAAAGAGTCAGTTGTTTTTTGTATTGTTTAAAAGTGCAATTGTTGTAGAAAGTATTTATTACATGTTCATGTACATGTACTGGTACATGTACTTGTACATGTATATTTAGCTGCATATTTCTGTGCATATCTGTACATCGACATCTAGTTTCTTATTTGCAAATATTTATAGATTTGCACAAGTTCACGAACTTCCAATAAATATTGTGTAGTATATTTATGTATTCGGCACATTCCGATGTATACGCAAACACTGATTTTTTGTTTTAAAGGGAAAATACAACATTTGCAAACATCAAAAAACGACATGATCAAATTATCACGAAATACCTTACTGAATTGTTAGGGACTGACAGTCTAAAGCATCCTTTGAAACCGTGGCTCCTGGTTTGCTGACATTTTCCAGAAAAGCTGTGTTTTTCCAACGCTGGTCGGCCGACCAGCGTTGGAGAAAACTGGCTTTTTTTTCAAAAATTGTTCTTAATTTTTCATATTTAGTTATTCTGAATTTTTTTTGCAATTGATTACACACCTCTGAAGGGGTACAAGCCTGCTAGACTGATTCTCTGACCTTACAATTCCCCAAAGTGTATTAATTGCTTCGTTTCATCTTAAGTGGGGTCAGCTACCAGACTACAAGAACATGATAGGTTTTCTTGGTTTTTCCAGCATCTACAAGCCCAAAACGTGAAACAAATCAGTTTACCAATATTTTGTATAACATATTAATCCTCCAAATCCATTTATTTCTGAAAATTGAGGCAAAAGCAAATGTTGTACATTCCCTTTAACTGTAAACGGAATTACAGATAAAAAAAAATCCACAAGAATTTAAATTTTTCATCAATCTCTGGAAGCATAAATCTGTTTGCAAACAACCAAAATGTAACGGCTAATATGATACAGGTAATACGATGTTTTGTAAATTTTACTCCAGTATTACATTATTTGTTTGTGTGTAAAAAAAAATAATAATGACTCAAGAAACATCTGAGACACCGACGCTGTAATAATTAATTATCATTCTTTGAATTTAAATGTGAAGATCCAATGAATGTATTATTTATTTGACCAAGAAGCTTGTGATAGAAAACAAATGATTTAAGAAAAATTTAATAATTTTGATTGACCTTTTTTTTGTACTATTTTCAAGGCCTTACATATTTCATGCAACTATAACATGTCCATAATTATACCCTTGCTTACATTGAGTTCAGACTAAAGTACTTGAGCCTTTTTTTCCACTTTGCCTACTTTTACTGTATACTGAGACAACACTGTAAGTGAATAAAATTATTATAACCTTATGCACATTATGCAAATGACTGTGACTGTATTAATCCTCCCCTTATTTATTATAAGCTCCGCCCCTGTCTTCAACAGAACATAAGTCAAACACCGATCATGATAAAAGCTGAATTATATTTATAAAATGTCAAATCATACTTAAAGACAACCCCCAACTTCCATCTGATTTTTATTTATCTGCCCATGCTGAATTCTTTTCACCCAATCATGAGAGTTGTTTTATAACCAAAGACTTGCATCAGATAATAATTCCGCGCTTCCATTTTTGAGGCCTGATATTAATTTTATTAATGGTATCTCAGTAACACTATCCTTCACCATCCCATCCTGGGGGCGCCAATCATCACTAAGGAATTAGGGCCAGAACCTCCCCTCCCCCCCCCCCCCATACATGTTTTTTTAAATCCAAAAGTTCGAAAGATGAATCGAGATTCGTATCACTTATGCTGCACTTTTTGGACGTAAATCATTGCATAAAGTATGCAGCAGTACCGTCGTCCAATCAAAGTGGATGGATGCACGGGCTGCGCGTCTCACTGTCTAACATCTGACCAATCACGAACACTCTCTCATACGTCACTGCACACTGCGCTGCTTGAGCCACATTATTTCAAAGTAGTACAACGATTTTTTTCGAAATGTAAAGATTTTTTTCATCTTGAAGAACTATTTGGGTGCGGTATTTAAATATTTGTACTTTACAATTTGTTTCGTCAAATTTGGAAGATCAGCTAGAAAAGGGTCAAAGCGGAGGAATATGTTTTGAGCAATGCGGTTTGAGAAATTCCGTAGCTTTGTGTACAAACTCAAACCCTGCGATTTATTTACAGTTTAGTCATTACGCAGTTGAGATTCACACAGGGGCATCTGTAGACGAACGTGTGCACAACTTTGGCGCGACTCGCACTCAATTTTGAGATATTTCTGACGAAACTGAACATACGGGAACATTTCTCCACCAAAACTCTCGACTACTTTGTCCTCCACTGAGTAAGTACGACCAGCCTGGAGTGATATGGAATTTACGCACAATCATAGTCACGGAATTCATCTCGCTCGCCGGCCATGTTTCATTTTGGACTGAAGTCAAACTCGACTCTCCGAGTTGTGTTCTTGGAATTTTGTCAGCCTTCGAAGAAACTACAATATCCTTGAAACTTCATCTTGCAAGGATTTGAGGTTCACTTCATATGCATGCAATGACTAAAATGGACTCATGAACCGCACAGTAGGCCTACTGAACTCTTTTGAAATGGACAGTAAACATGAGGATTAAATGTTTGTGGATGTGTTGAATTTATTTTGTGTGAGAGGATTCGTCGAATTGTGGTGAGTCTCCATCGTCATGGGTAAGTCCGTATAAACAAGCTGTTTATGAATAATGAAATGATTGATAATTGGAACATTTAAGCACAAACTTTAACAGGCCTGGTCAACTCGTACCTTCGCCTGAGCCAACTCGTATCTTAGCCAATTTTTTTTTCATGTCAGGATAACTCGTATAATGTCACGAAGTCAACTCGTATTCAGTTGGCCTACCGCCAAGTGTTCTAAACAAAAATGCACGTTCCATTTTAATATATTGGTGGTTGCGTGGGTGATTTTCCCCAGCAAATTCAACTTTCAAGTAGATATTTTTAATTCCAAGTATACCGCTGACTCTGTGTACTTTGATTGAAACCATTGCGTACAAGTCGCAAATCCCAAACATCCAAGCGTTCTCAAGAAATTTGCATATGAATAAGATGGCGCGTGCCTGAAGACGCCAGACGCGGGTCTCCCATTGTATTCGCGCAATTTGCATGCAACGGTATGCAGCTCAGACAGGTGTGATATACGCGCGTTGTGTAAATAGAAAGCCTCTTTTCAAAGATAGAAGTTAATTGAAATTCGGTTCGGTAAATTATTTAAACACTCTTAAAGTGTCGGTCTTGAGTCAAAGTGTATGACCAAATGTGAAATACATGTACTTAGCCTTGTGAAAAGATTTCTTGTTTTCAATGTGTGTTAAATTCGGCCAAATTTTGTAAATAAGCAGTATTCAGCAAAACGCTTTTTGTGTCCGGTGTATAATTGGAGAAATGAAATAGGGACATGGTAGGGACATTGCATTGTAACTTTATAAACAGTAGCACGACAAGGTTACGTATAAATTGACAGTAAACCATATTGTGAGTACATGTAATTAATTAACTCGATTGTGATCTAATTCAGAATGATACCTGCTGTGTACGAGACTGTAAAATATGGATCTCTGCATGTATGTGGTTCATTCTTCCCAAGTATATGTGCTGGACTGAATTAACCGTTATTGAATAGGCCTAAACAATTTGTAAGTCGTGTGACTTGGTTGCATGCAATTTTTCTCCAATAATTTTCTTTTCAGTAGTTCTTTCACATCTTGTATTTTTCCTCTTCTGTAAGACTGGTCAGTTAGGATCAGCACAATTATTTGTTTGCTTTTTTGGAGGACTTACTTTTTTAGTTGCCATGCTACTTTCGAGAAGTCGAGTCCGTATTTGTTTTTTTCCCTCAAAGATTTAGACTTTTCTAGATCATAAATAGAACGAAGTGGCATGATCATGCCGTTTTTATAGTTCAGTTGGCCATGCCCCGCATTTATTATTGTTTATGAAAATATGCCCTCCTTTTTTCTCTCTAAAAATATTGTTAAATGGGAGGGGGGGGGGGGATAGGGCAACTGGGTATTATATCAGAGGTCTTTGTAGCGGCATCTCCAAAAAAAGTTCAAGCGAGGCCACAGTTTATCGCCGACGGATTTGGTTTGGTGGCCGTGAATTGTAAACATCGCCCTCTATTGACGAAGGTCAATGACCAACGTACACAAGGAAGTCATTGGAAAACGAGACGCGTCGCTTAACATCAGGTTTGTGATTTCTCTATTTTTACTGCATTTTTTGCTTAAAATAACGCTCTAACATAACAATAATGGAAGTGCATGACCAGGTTGCAACTTGGATGCATTAACGGGTAAGTCCTGAGGTTGTTTTGTAAGTATTTTCTCGCTCGAACTCGAAGTTGGGGTCATGATCATATACCTGTACTAGACTGCAATGGTACTGGTGCCGACCCGATCATCCGATGCATAGTAAAACTCAAGCTCAGGTGCAAAGTCCCATCAATTTAATAAATTTAAAGAGAACTGTGTGTGCTGTGCACAGCCTAGAGTACGCTTTGTTTGTAAACATCTCAGTGACAGAATAACACTTGACTTGCATGTAATGTGTTCAAGTGTAATCTCAAGCTTTTAAGAAGTCCTTTTTTTCTGTTTTCTTTCTGGCATTCTGCATTCTAGATCCGCTTCATTCACCTTGAGGATTCCTGTAGGATCTTTTTGTAACAGTCACTTCAAAAAGTACTTCTGGTATGCCTCCAGGAGCAGAAAAGCTGCAGATAGCAAGCTCTGAAAATCCTGCCATACTAAATGCACTGTGGAGCATCTTCAACATATCCCAATGTAAAAGGTAAGCGTTATCTCGATGAGCACATCCCTATGACTAGTGTATTTTTCCATGGATGTTTTGCCAGGAAAATTAAATGTGCAGCAAGTTGAATCCTCGTAAAAACAAGACATTGCAAGTCTAGTAAAGTTTGTCCCCGACCTTACAAAAACTCTATTTTGGCTATTCACTGGAAGTCTTTTCCTGCACTAGCCCATTTATTGGTGGAATGGGGCGATACTGTATGATAGCACTGCCTGGCTTGTAATAGTCAGTGAGTCAGGTGATGAGTTGGGCAGTGAGGGAGGTTCAATACTGCCGAATCCTCCAAAATCTCGGGATAGCCTGTCAAGGATTTGAAGTGCTGTGGACAATGTGGTTGTCAAGAATGCTATAAACCAGATTTCACCGATTTTTGACCAGTGGTTGTTCTCTTCTATCACAGGCTTTGCCCACCAGTCGGGCTTTGACGCAGTTGCAGTACCTACAGAAGCTGGACTTGAATTGGTTCTCCGCGGTTTGACAAGACGTCATGCATGTCTTGGAGACAATCAGGGATCTGCTCAAGTTGTCCGAATTGTCTCCCACAAGGACATGGTTGGTACAGCAGGATAACTGCATTGTGACTGAAGTGACTGCTCATGGAAAGAACCGAAAAGAACATGGAACAGGTTTTGGAGACAGTCAAGGATCTGCCGAAGTTGTCTGAACTTCCTCCCACAATGACCTGGGTGGTACAGCTAATTCACGGTGCATGCATCCGATGTAACTTTACTAGGCACCTTTAGGAGCAAGACTCGGGTGACTGCTCTTTGAAAGGAAAAAGGACACGGAACAGGTCTTGGAGACAGTCAAGGAGCCCCCGGAGTTGTCTGAATCTTGTCCCACAATAAGTGTCTTGGTGGTACAGCTGGATCACGGTGCTTGCATCATGGGTGTCGCGAGGCCCCCCCCCCCCCCCTGGAAAGCAAAAAAAAAAAAAAAAAGGAAGAGAAAAAAAAGAAAAAGAAAAAGAGGCACGAAGACAAAGTGGTGTAAATTTCATGAGTTGGGGGGGGGGGGCAAAATGTCCCTGCCCCCCTCTAAAACTGATAAATCAAGAATGTGTTGAGAAATACAAGCATTTTTTGGCAAAAAATTTTTTTGCCCCCCTCTAGAAAAAATCCTGGCGACGCCCATGCTTGCATGTGACCCAGCTGCAGAACCTTAGAAGCTAGACTTGAGTGGCTGATCGTTGGAAGGAAAGGATTTGAAAAAAAAGTTGTCGAGTCACAACCTTGAAAAAAAAGTTCACTTTTCCCGAATTCAGTTATGAGAAGTTTGCCTTGAAATCCTCGAAATCTACCTTTTTAAAATGAATGAAAAATGTTAAAATTGTATTTGCATGTTTATCATAGTTTAAGAAATAAAAATAATGCAACAGCTGTTTCTAAACTTCATCTTTTGCTTTTTTGTCCTCTTACTTACTTACTCTGGCGACTTCTGTCAAACATTAGTGATGACCCCCCAAGATCGTCTTTCTGTCATGCAACTATGATTTTCCCTTGGTTGTAGCTGGGTGTCTTTGGCACAGTGTAATTGGTCATTGGTCGTCCCAAGTGTGGCTTCCCAAATATTAAATATTGTTTAACAAAATTTTTTATTACACAAAAAAAACATTGGAATCTGACCATGGGCGGCAAGGAGAGGGCAAGTAACAAAATGGCGTTTATCAAATTGTTTTGCAAATAAAAATATTCGCTCAGATTGAAAATGCCTAGATGCAGTAGTCAGATTCGGAAATTCATTAAGTTGCCAGTAATTACAATGGCACAGCGCCCCCACACGGTGGGCTTGGATGTCATGACCTACGCCCTGCTTAACTTTCAGGTCATGACATCCGATTTCTTGTGTTGTATGGCATTTCATTAAAGTTACAAATGTTAATTCTTTAAGGTTCAATGTTTTTGCTGTTCCATGAGTAATGTACGTTTGCCTAAAAACAAAAAGTAACCCCGAAAATAAATCCTTAAAAAGCTTAGGTCCCTTGAAAGGCTTTGCAAGTTTCAGAGTTAATAATCATTCGTCTAAGAAGGTAGTGGTTGTCTCGAAGATGTAAACGGTTTAGAATTTTGTTCACAAATGAAGAATAAACGTTCTTGAGGAAACAAAAGTTGGATTCTTGATGAGGTACAGGGTGAGTAATTTCAGTAATTTTTTTCATCTACAAGTAGCTTATGTAATTGGCTTTCCAGTTATCATTTTTGGTGCTACATATTTTTTTTAATATGAAATATAACGTTTGGGGTTTGGGTTCCTGGTTTTTTTACTCGCCCTATATACATGTGTTCAGATAGTATTATTGTTCATTCATAAAGGCGTGAATGAACGAACATTTTTCCATTTTGAGATAGACCTATGGTAGCAGACCAGTAAATAAACTTCCATAGACCCCAATGGTAAATTCTCCCACTTTAAAAATTCGGGAAAAATACTCACAACTCTCCAAGGTGTTCGAGACACACATCAAATTAAAGCTTATTTCATTATCTTTCATTTTCTTTTCAATTTTCGGGGAGGTCAACTGATGACTTTTAGGAGAAATTTCCATCTGAAGATGAACACCCCTGAAAATAGTCCTGAAGCCCATCGCCATTTTGAAAAACGATGCCTACACTCCATTGCAAAGTAGAGCGCTTTTAGGGTCCAAATTACATCAAAATTACACAGAACTGCAAGCTCCAAGTCATGTGCACGGTTTCCACCCATATTTTTTACAAACCCTCAAGTTCATGGCCCACAGCATGCTCAAATACCGAAGATTTTGAGGGCATGCAAATCGTGATTTGGCCGGCGCAGGCAATTTCGGACCGATTTACTGGTCTGCACCCCTATACATCCCATGTATCTTTGCAACTCTTAATGAGAAAGAGTGGTGATAAATATTGGAAGGCCCTATCATGTCACTCAGTGGTGGCGTTTTGATCCAAATTTGAAAGATTATATCAACCAAAAGTAATTTTAGCAAAGTCGAGCAATTCAGTGTAAACAAGAGATTTACAATCCCAACAACGCCGTTTTAAGTGTGGGAATTTATCACCACTGCCGATGACAAATTTCGATAAGCTGTAACTGTATATCGGACTACTGAAATTTAATTCTTAAAAACCACCCCATTGAACATTGTACTTTGATATCGCAGTTAAATCCGAGATTGGGCTGCTGTTTAATAATCTGCGCAATACAGGCAGCGAATAGTAATGTACATGTAGCTTTAAAACTGAACTACTTCATTGGATTTAATTAATGTTCTTCATTATTTGAGTTAAAAAAAAAAAAACGGAATGGATGACGTTGTTAAGCTTGATGTTGGCGGCTGCTTGTATACCACCACGCGGTCGACTATGATTCGGTACCCAGACTCTATGCTGGGCAAAATCTTCATCAGCCGTCAGGGTACCCCATCTACTGACGCGCATGCCCGTGATGACGACACAGCCTACGTCATTGACGGAGACGGGCCCATCTTCCGCCATGTCCTCAACTTCCTCCGACGAGGCAGGTTGATTCTACCGGAGGACTTCAAGGAGTGGGACGTGCTTTCCACGGAGGCCGACTTCTACCAACTGAAAGAGCTGACGGACGCAGTTAGGGAGCTAGCCGCACGGAAAGACAGATTGGAAATCATGGAAATCGCCGTCTGTGGGAACCAGTTCACCTTCACTGGTAGCCGCGATACCCTGGAGCGCACGCCGCTCCTGTTGCAGTTTCTTGGTCGGCATGACAGTCTGCGAGACGGTTTCCCGCTCAGGAGAAGCGACATCTTGGAGAGTGTCGGCGAGAAGGGACGGTACGGCGTCTCGCTGGTGGAGGGTGATTTCAGCGGATACCGAGTGGAGATGTTTCAGCAGATATCGGAGCTGGGATTCGAATTGAAGACAGCAACTAATCTGGTTAACGGAACTTGCCAGGGAGTGACATGGACTTTTGCGAGAAGGAACTGCAATAAATAGTCCGTCGGAGACAACAAATCACAGGTCTATACAAAAGTGTTCAATAAGTTTGCCTGGAGCGGATTGCGAGGGCACATGATAAAGCGCTGTTAACGTGTGTAGAAAGCATCATAGACTCGGCTCAAGTCACATGCTGATTTAGGCACCTGGTGCAGCATACGACTTGAGCCGAGTCTAATTATTCTGTGACAAGTAACTTCTGAGTTCAATCCACGGCCACTGTCAAAAAAATGAATCAATACAAAACCACAAAGAAATCGCCACAACCATGACAGTCTCCAAACTTACCGATCACTTGGCACATCATCTCATTTGCACTTTGAACCACAGTTGATTGTGTGTTCAGTGCCAACGCCCAAATGTGATCTGCAAAATAGCAATTTTGTGACATGAAACTGAATTCAAGTGTGAGGACCATTCGAAGTTGTTTCTTAAGCAAAACTGTGTTCGAGCCCTAACAATAATTCCGCAGGGATTTGAAAGAGGAAAATGGATGACATGGTTAAGCTTGATGTTGGCGGGTGCTTGTACACCACATCACGGTCGACTCTGACTCGCTATACCCTCGCTCCATGCTGGGTGCCATATTCAGCGGTGAACTTGACCCGTCTGTTCGTGACGCCACCGGGGCTTATGTCATGGACAGGGACGGGCCCATCTTCCGTCACGTACTGAATTTCCTCAGACAGGGCAAGCTGATTCTACCGGAGGACTTCAAGGAGTGGGACCTGCTGGCCTCAGAGGCCGATTTCTTCCAAATCCCAGACCTGGTAGCGGCAGTGTCTTCGCGTAAGGATGACTTGACGAGACCACCCATGGCCGTGGCAGATGACCCAAAAAAGGAATTTGTGGAATTCGTAGAACAAGATAACAAGAATTGCAAATACCGGGGCAGTTGGGAAACTTTGGAGAGACTACCACGTAAGTTTCGTCGTGTACTTGAAGCAGACCCTAGCTTCGCACTGTCCGTACAGCCCCAGGAATCTAGACGATCCAATGAAGATATGCGTACCATTGTAGAAGGGTGTGGGGAGATATCGGGATACTGGGGTTCCTACTCGGTACAGTGCTTACCATGGCATCCTAACACGTCTTATAAAGTGACAGACCCACCAAATTGGATGGCGGTATTTCAACGAGCCTCTAAACTCGGTTTTCAGTTGTTGAGCACGTCGGCCATGCCCGGAGAGAAATCATCGTTGTTTGGTAGAAAGGTCCCGCCCAATATGTAAGGAGGCCCTCCAGACACAGAAATCCTGTTGTTTGTCCTTGCAAAAGTGTTTAAAAAAGACGAAAACTAGACCGACTAATGAACAAATGTAATACAGAATGGAACTTGATTCGAATAAGACTGTTAGATTCAAAAGTATACGTTGCCGTCTTGGAGTAAACCGAATACAAATAGAATTGTGGTGTGCAGGTTACCCTCACAGTCTGTCAAAGCGCCTGGTAGGAATCTTACATCTATTAAGGCCAAGACTCGTCACCGTAGGTTTGAACAAAATCTGGTGGCGATCATCCAGGAGATAGAACGGCTTGGATGCAAGCGGAGAAACAGTACTGCACGATGAACGATTCCGGGGTATAAACAGGAGGAACTCGGACCTTTTCCCGGCCCATCTTTGAATAAAATGGACCTTTAATATTTGAACGTTGGTCGCAGTAAAACTCTTATATCCTGCTTCTCGAGTTTTTTTCTCTGCCTTGCATCTTGAAAAATGCATCTTATACCGTAAAAGCTGTGGCCATTTAGAAAGTTTAGATAATGAATTAGTATCATTTGCGCAGCGTAATGCTTTCGTGTCACAGGCAACACGTTTATGATATTGAGAAATGGTTTGAAAGTTATTACGTACCGGTATTAATCATAAAGTGTAATGATATATTGTAGCAAGATACCACTAAATGTAATCTTTTTGTAAGGTCATATACAAGCATCGATGTTTAGTACTCGTGTGTTATTAGACTGTTATTAGCAAGAATTACTTCTTTTGTTTAAAAAATAAATAAATTAATACAAAATATACACAAAAATATCACAAATCAAGAAAATAAGAGGACTAAATGTTTAAAATCTAAGCAGAAGTTTTCTCATTGTGCCTCAGACGCTTAGGGTGGAAATGGTGTAGGCCTAGACCCTCCAATTGAAATTTTTAGCAGGATTAATTGCCACTGGTTTTTTTTTAACAACTCGTGACTCGTGCACTTTGCATCGATGTTTAGATTGAGAAAGGATAGAAATCATTTTTGAAAAGATTTAAAATTACGTATTATAAAATTATTGTTCCAATGAAATGAAATGTGACCCGTATCTTTTCGAATAAAGGACGAACATTCTGGAGGAAAAATAATTGGGTTTCTCGTTATTTTGACGTATTTAATTATTATCATCGGTCAATCACAAAGGAACGATAGCCATTTTCAAATTTAACAGATCCCATAAAACGCCATTAAAGTAAACATTGAGAAGGAGTCGTGTGAATAACAACCCAGGGGAATTAAGACCCTACCATTCTGTAGGTGTTTCTAATATGATTAATTATGACAATACTCTTTAAAAGTTGATAGGATCCATACATTTAATTAAAGGTAATAGAAAGTTTCCATGTGACAAATCCTATTGGAATAATTATGCATGTATGGGCCTATATATCGTGTTTTGTTGTATTGTACGGTGGCTACGGTGGCTCATATTCGCCAATTTGTTGCGCAAGTCCCTTTTCCTTATGGCGTTATATCGCCGTACTATTGCGTTATATCGCCGTACTATTGCGTTATGACGCCGTACTATTGCGTTATAATGCCGTACTATTGCGTTATAACGCCGTTCTATTGCGTTATAACGCCGTATTTTATTGCGTTATAACGCCGTATTTTATTGCGTTATATCGCCGTACTATGGCGATATATCGCTATACTACTGCGTTATATCGCCGTACTATGGCGTTTTATACAACACCTGAATAAATCCCCGTCATCTGATTGGTGAATTGTAGATCACGTGACATATTATTATTCGGTATAATGCACGGTGCGACCATGCGTTATACCCATGCGTTATACCGTTTCACTTTGCGCTTGTTCCATGACGCGGTATGTGCGTGCAAAATGCATGCTGGTGTGCGCGTTCAGCGTAGCGCGTATTGTTCCAAAGAGCCAGCGCTACAGCGTTGGGTTCAAACATTTTCGTGAAGGGGTAGTTAAACATCTTTAAAATCAAAAAAAAATGTAGTTTATAATTTACCAATCAAATGACGAGAATTTATTCAGGTGTTGTATAAAACAAATAACTAATGTTTTACGTTCGTGCGATGGAAAGAATAATTTCATTCGGTGACAGATTGAATGTTCTATTCCACTCGGCTTCGCCTCGTGGAATAGAACATTCAATCTGTCACCTCATGAAATTATTCTTACCGTCGCACTCACAAACATTCGTTATTTGTATAATATCGCCATATTTAATTGCGTTATAACGACGTATTTTTTTGCGTTATACCATTTAGTTACTACGAAAGCCTACGAAAGCCCATTTATAGCGCCACTGGAAGTAAATATGTTACAGCCTATTAATTCGTTATTACAGATTATTTAATTCGTTATTACGAAATAAATCTGGTACTCACATGCGGAGAGCACGTGATCAAAATGCACTGAGAGCTGGATAGGGTTTAATCAAAATGCAACATTTCGGGAACAAATCCCCAGATTGTCTCAAAGCATAGTATCACCGACCCTGATCACGGAATGGCCGGTCTTAAATTTCGCTAAATCAGACGAAGGCCCATTGGCAGCATGCGGCAAATTTTAACAAGATCAAACCAACTAGCATTAGCTTGGAACTTGTAGATTGTGGGAAAAATTAAGAGTGATTAGATCAGACTAATTAACTTAAAAGATGCGCAAAAAGCTCAGGGGGCATGGCCTTTACCCTCACCTTTTCTTTTTCGCTCATACCCTTGCGACACAACGGTAGAGGAAAAAAAAATAAAGAACAAGCTTGTATTGGTGCCTTGGCATTTGTGAAATATGAAATTATGAATAAAGAGTGATTTTAGGTCCGAATAATTAACTTAAGAGCGGCGCGAAATACGGAGGGGGAGGAAGCGCAACCCCCTCCATGTTCATTTTTTTCCTTATATCGTCGCAAAGCACTTTTTTAAAATCCTGCCAAGTTTCTCTAACAGTTGTTCGGATGTCCTGTGGTTATTTTGACACCAAGTTTACGTAAATAGGGCATACCTTCGTCGCAAAATGTCAATTTACCAAACAGGTCGTGAGGTCGGCTTAAATGTTATCTTTTCCCACCACATTGACCATTTTTTATTTACATTAGAGTGCGCATGAGATCGAGAGTGCCGACTTTTTAATGACCATGACAACAAATCATTTTAACAGGTTGAATTGAAACTTCACACATGTACTACAGATATTTGGGTTTCCTTTCAAATAATTTCAGATGTGGGAGAAGCATATCAGACCTCTGGTACCCTGGGATGGGTCAATTAACTTTGTATACAAACTTATCACTATTTATCATTTATATTCTTCAAAACGCCAGCTTTTCGTGAAGTGCAAAGGATGGATATTGCAACTATTATTATTCTACTGTCATGATTATAAATTCAGACCCGAAAAAAAGGGAAAGAAAAAGAGGCGCGATGTAATATTGCTTTAAATTTAATGGGTTTGGGGCCGGAATGACATGTCCCCTCTAAAAAATAAATAGAGAATAAACGGTTGAGAAATATGCCTCGCCCCCCCCCCCTCTTAAAAAAAAAAATAATAATCCGTAATAAAGAATAAAATAATCCGTAATAACGAATTAATAATCCGTAATAACGAATTAATAATCCGTAATAACGAATTAATAATCCGTAATAACGAATTAAATATTCCGTAATAACGAATTCATAATCCATAATAACGAATTAATAATCCGTAATAACGAATTAAATCATCCGTAATAACGAATTAATAATCCGTAATAACGAATTAAATAATCTGTAATATATATACTTGCAGTGGCGCTAATGGGCTTTCGTAGTGTAGCATTACAAAATGGCGACGTCACTATTGATTTTCGGCGTTAAGAGTACGGCGATATAACGCCATAGTTCGGCGATATAACGCCATAGTACGGCGATATAACGCCATAGTACAGCGATATAACGCCATAGTACGGCGATATAACGCCATCGTACGGCGATATAACGCAATAAAATACGGCGATATAACGCAATAAAATACGGCGTTATAACGCAATAAAATACGGCGTTATATCGCAATAGTACGGCTATATAACGCCATAGTACGGCGATATAACGCCATACTACGGCGATATAACGCCATAAGAAAAAAGGACATGCGCAACAAATTGGCGAATACGAGCCACCGTAGTATTGCGTGATTGCTGATGATTGCAAGGATCGGGGGTTTCCCTGTGACGTTATGGCGCTAAGCTCGGGTGATGCGAAGGATCATTGCTCGTCACAAAGGTGGAACCGATCGCGGCAGCGCTCCGGTGTCATATGAAAATCCGACTCCTATGAAAATCGGACCCCTATTTCCCTATTATTGGTTGATCCCTCGCACGTGACAGGTCACTCTCCCGAAACGATCCTAAAAATATCATAGTATCATATTCACGCGTGCGCAGGACTACAAATGAGTCCACATTTCATGGAGTCGGATATTCACGCTACACCTGAACTAATTTTGGATCAGTGAAGAATTTACGAGAAGCCTGGGGTTGTTGTAATGGCGTCCGTGGAAGCGGAAATAGTGTGAGAGTTAAGCAGGCGGAATCCCTCTTGAATGTAGGCCTAATACGGCTGAAAATCACGGTGAATGTGAGCTGTTGTGTAGCCTGGTTTAGCGACTGGCTGCCTCCTCCCCTTCAACTTTCATTGAGGAATTGTAACGAATGAAGAAATGACAAATGAATGAATAAACAACTGTGATCTCCAGTGTACTTGGTCTCCGCTTCGAACTGTGTGTATACTCACGCCGATACGAACGATCAAGACCCATTGAAACTTCACCCACAGCTATAGCGTTTGAATACGCAAAACCGTACTTTGATCCAGCTTGCACGCATGTATTGGAAATTTAATAGCTTCGAGCGAGGCTTTATTTTTTGCCAAATAAAAATTTCTTTTGAGGACGGCAGTTACGCACGGTTTTTGAACTCAGTCCACGGTACATAATGGATGAAATTGTCCATCTAAATGTGGGCGGTTGTACAATGTACACCACGAAGCGGTCGACTCTGATTCGCTACAAGAATTCCTTGCTGTTCAAAAAGTTCCAGTTGCTAAGATTTAATAATGACAAAGTAAACGGAGCTTACTTCATCGACGGAGATGGGTCCATCTTCCGCCATGTCCTCAACTTCCTCCGACGGGGCAGGCTGACTCTACCGGAGGACTTCAAGGAGTGGGAGCTGCTGGCCTCAGAGGCCGATTTCTACCAAATTGAGGATTTAGTGGAGGCGGTGAAGGCGAAAAAGTTTCAGAGGGACACCTACAGTTCCTAAGCTACACAAAAGCAGCAGTATGCTACCCTAGAGAAAATTCCATCGCTTGTTGATTTTTTTTCAAGCCGTACCAATCCACTCCACCTAAATTTATCCCAGGCGGGCAGATTACCCTCACAGTTAAAGCACCTGTAGGAACCCGTGGATTGAACAAAATCTGGTGGCGATCATCCAGGAGAAACAGTCCTGCACGATGAACGATTCCGGGGTACAGGAGGAACTCAGCTGGACCTTTTCCCGTCGCATCGGTGGATAAAAATGCACTGTTCTTACTCGAATGTGTATCGCAGTAAAACTCTCTCGCTCCTCGAGCTTTTTCCGTCTCTTGAAAAAAAAGGTGGACATCGAAATTATGGATACTGCTTGATTGTTTGAGAAAAAAATGCACTTTTAACAAAGTTCACTCGATCAGCTTAGCAAATGTGGACAAACTATATAAAATTCCGTCAAATGTCAAAGAACAAGATGCCTCAAGGGCGATTTAGCCTGCAAACCGGCCTCTTCATTAACTCTTGGCAGCATCTAGAAGGGCTACAGGTAATGAGGAATTGCATATCCTTCTCAAACTGCAAAGCAAATATCGGTATTTGCTACATATTGAATCGCTGTCTTGCATCGATTTTTTTTTTCAACAATGCGTGTTATTAATAATGAACGGTCGTGTACGCTGTATTATTCTTTTCTTATGGCCATTTAGTTGGTTTAGTGTTCATTGCTTAGCTTAATGCTTCCATGTTCTATTTGAATTATACACGCAAAACGCCATACACTTAGAAATAGTTTGAAAGCTTGTCACATAATGAACCAGTTACTCTAAGCAAGGCACGGGTGTACAATGTACATGTACAACATAAAGAACTTGGTAGATCCACCACAACGCAAACCAATTTTCTGTATTTTCTGCGATGAGGATCAGGAGTGATAAAATTAAGGCGACAGGAATACGATCACAACAAATTGTTTTATTTTTGCCGTCATTGCAGTGGCGCTCTCATAGGATGGTGTTTTATATCCACAGTTTGTTTGGCTGCGTACGTTGTTAAAACATGTCGCTAATTTTTTAGAGGTGGCATTTAGATACAATTAGATACGTTTTATAGATAAACGGCCATTTAGATACACATGTACATGTAGTTACGACACTTAGTTTTACCACCGCGCAATGTTTTCATGTCTTCGTGGTGTCGGTAACAAGCAAAAGTTAACTCTTGTAACAGAAATAGTTTCAGTTTTAGTTTTAGAGCTTGTCCTATAACGAACAAGTTACACTTAAGTGTAATAGTTGATATATTAGTAAAGCACAATTGGTATCCTCTTTGTAAGCTCGTATTTAACCATCGATGTTTGTAGCCAGAACTTGTGGAAAGTATTTAGAGTTTGTCCTTTCTTTAACAAAGCGTATGGCGGTCCATCAATCACTTTTACCAGTTTCAATATCGTAGTCTTAATGATAAACATTTTTATTTCTAATATAGATCCCATAAAAAGTCAAACATTGAGAAAGTCGTGGGGAAAAAAAAATGGGAGGCCTTATGACTTTGATGGTGTTTTCTGGTCTAAATGTGAATTATAAATTGAAGAAGTCCAGCATTTCAGGAAATGTACTAAAAAAAAATCTTAAACGCTAGCAGTAGTACCACGGTTGAGCAATTCATCATAACAAGGCTATCGTAGCTTTTATATCGCACTGATTTTTTCAAGAAATTTATAATCCCAATAAAACCGCCTTGTGGTGTCAACATTTATAGCCAATTCCGATAAAAAAAAATCAGATAAGGTAAGTTGTAAATCGCACTTCTGAAGTTGTATATCGTTGGGATAATATCACGTTCTTTAAAACCCACCTCTTTGAACAATGTACTTTGATATCGTTAAATTTGAAATCGAGTTGTTGATGAGTACCTTGCGCAATAAACAGGCATCACATTAAAGTAATAGTCTGTATATCCCAGAAATACATTGAACTTTAAAACTATTTCACACGTTTTAATTGATGTTTTTAATGATTTGAGTTTGAAAACAGAAGACAGTGTTAAACTTGATGTTGGGGGCTGCTTGTACACTACCACGCGGTCGACTATGATTGGCACCAGGACCCCATGCTGGGCAAAATCACCAAGTCGTCCGGGTACCCATGCAATGGCTGACGCACATACCCGTGATGACGACACAGCTTATATTATGTCACCTTCGTCCACTTTGGCCAGAAAGACCAGTCCTGTAGTAGATGGTCTTTCGGTGACAGCAAGTGATGCTTTTTTGGCAAAGTAAATATCACATCAATCAGGACAAACATTCACATTAAAGTAATTTTGTAAGGCTGAAATCTGTTGGTTTGTCAATATTTTAACAAAATCTAATTTAGGTCAAAATAAATATGGAATTTTTTTTTTATCTTATGATGCGTTCACTGTTGTCAATGAATGGTGCGATATATTGCCCAATGCTTCTCGTTAAAAATGTGATTGATCATTTTTCAGAACGGAATAACTTCGACTGCAAACGTGATTTTGTAAAAAGGGAAACCAAATAAAGAAGAAATACCTTTCCCTGTAAAGATATGCTGTCGATCCGTGCGCTTCGATATTGCCTCCAACCTAAGGTGTGTAGAAAGCATCATACGTACAGGGCAGACCTAGAGCAGTATCCGACTTGAGCCAAGTCTAAATATTGTAAACCGCTCGAGTTTAATCAACGTCATTGTTAAATAAATGAGTAAATTGAAGAAAAAAAATAAAAAGAAAGGTCGTCACGACCGACATTATCCAACCAGATCATTCGGCTCATCATATAATTTACACTTTGAACCATATCGAGCAAAAAAAAACACCCAGTTGTTCGAGGGCGTGCGAGGGCGCTCTGCAACCATAATAACTAAAATCGCTATCAATCACTGACGTCTTGGTCCAAGACTATGGCCCTGTCTGCACAACACCAACCTCGTACCCAGGGTGTCAAGCAGTACGCGCCCATCACTACCTGCTCTCTCACCCTGGTATTGGATTATTTGCATGTGCAAGATTTTTGAACACGTATGCAAATGAGGAATAGTCTGGTGCCTTCATGTGCGTTACATTAGCGTTTGTTTTTGTATGCGGTGTCTGGGGTAAAAACAGAGTCAATTCGTAGCAGCGCGAGCATGGCGTGAGTTACGAAAACATAATTTTTTTCAATTAAACTGTTACGATCTTAACAAAACAATATGCAGTATCACATTTCATATTAATATTAACAAACTGGAAAGGAAATTAATATTTTCGAGAAGGCGTGGACGAATGATCGCGAAAACACGCACTGCATGTTGTGAATAACAACACCAAGTACACGATAAAAATGCATTACTAGCCAATTGCGGTATCCAATCAGGATACAGGAAGAAAGTTTCCTATCCAGGGTTTACTATTGGAAACCGTGTTGGAAATAAAGTAAGCACTGGGGACGAGGTTGGCACAACACTCACTTGACCTAACGATAAGCTCGCGATCGCGACATAATTTTGTGGTAATAGGAAAAATACTCGCCGACCCGTCTGATCTGACATAAACATGCACTGCACTGTTCCTCTGCTTGAACGGAACTACTTCGGTGTACAACAGTGTGAGGGCCACTCGATTTGGTTGGAACCCTGAGAGTTGAAATTTTCCTTGTTCAACGAATCGTGTCTGAGCCGTGAATTCTCTGCAGGAAAATGGATGACATTGTTAGGCTGAATGTAGGCGGCTGCCTGTACAGAACGTGGCGGTCGACACTGACTCGCTACCCGGACTCCAAGCTGGCTGCCATGTTCAGTGGTGAACCTGACCCGTCTGTACTTCGTGACGCCGGCGGGGCCTTTTTTATGGACAGGGACGGACCCATCTTCCGCCATGTCCTCGGCTTCCTCCACAGGGGCAGGCTGATTCTACCTAAGGGCTTTACGGAGTGGGACCTACTGGCTGCAGAGGCCAAGTATTACAAAATCCGTGCTTTGAATACGGCAATACACTATGAAACTTCTTATGAAGACGAGTATGAATTCATATGGCTAACTGCATGTGCAAACGTGAGCTACTCGTACCGTGGCATCCTTGCCCTCTATCGTTTAGAGCCACTTCATGAGTTCTTCTCCGCATATTGCAATCAACAAGCTGGTTGGGAAATCGTCTATGAATATACACTCAACCTTCCACCCGGTATCGAAACCAATGTTCACGAGGATTTTGAAAGACGTAAGGTGGAGATATTCAAGGATATTCTTAGACATGGATACAGATTGAGAGAACGGTCCTACACGTTGAATCCTGCCGGGGTTAAGGAATTTAAATGGAAATTTGCAGAGCCCATTAGTCGCCGTTAGAAATGTATCAAATATCTGATATAATGAGAATTGCGAACAGAGAACTGAGAACAGCAAAGTTCGGTGCTGCACTAGTCTTGTGATAGCAGAGGACTGTAAACTTTCTGTCTACATGACGTCGTATTTTTCTAATGAATATGCAAATAAGCATCAACACAACACCTGAAGTCTCTGGGACCAATTACAAAAATAAACAAAGATTAAATTAAATGGAACAAAAACTACAATGTTACGGTTTTACAATAAATGCAGGAGTTCGTTCTTTTATACGAAAAGCTGTTTCTAACGAAACGAATATTCATTCACATTACTGTTCAAGGGGATAAGGACTTTGATCAACATTGTATTTTATTCTTCCAACTAAAGAAATGGCAATCGATTTTTTTTGTTTTAGTTTAGATCATTCAATTTATGACTGATTTGCGATGAAATGTTGACTCAACCATGATCACATCTATAAACATTTACTTCAAAATAACAAATTTAATTTATTAATAAATATCGAAATGAATTTGCTAAAGTGAAGGAGCAGTTTGATTGTTTGAAGCAAGTTAAACAGTCGTGCACCAATCTGTGTAAAGTAAGTACAAATTAATATTACATGCCTGTATTTCTACTAAAACAAATCGCAACGTGCATGTATGCCCGTGGGTTTTACTCCAGGGCCTGAAAATTGACATGACTTTTTGTACAAAAGAAGATCAGCATACACAAAACGATTGAAATTGCACTTTATATTTTTATCAGTATAAATTGTATTATGTCAAATAACGAACCAACTACCCACTCATTCGTGTAAATATTAAGCAAGGCTCAGTTAGGCTACATGTATCGTTTCACAGTCTAAAAAAGCCTGGGTCAGATTGACTTAGTATTATGAAATCCAAATTATTTGCTCAATCCTTTTCGCGGGTCAAATAATGATACCTTTCTGTGTCGAAATGTGACAGCCGTGGAACAAAAATCATGTTTGATCCGGAAGAGTGTAATGTTTTACTTGGAAAAGGATTGAGCAAATTTAGATTCCAATTCTGGGTCAATGTTACTCTGCATGATGTTTTAGAGTGTATGTTCTTTGTAACGTCGATGTTTAATTAGTGCTTGTGTGCTTTATTAAGGGAATAAATGTGTGCTCCGGAGGTTTTTATCACTCTGTTTAATACCACTTAGAGTCTGGGTGCTGATAATTACCCGAGCCGGAGGCGAGGGTAATTATCAGCACCCAGACTCTAAGCGGTATTAAACAGAGTGATAAATACCGACGGAGTACATATTTATTCCCATTCATAAATACCTTTTCGGTAAAAAAAAAATCATATAATTCGTTCAAAACATCCCGATTTTGTTCAACAAATTCACTTTATGCTTTTTGAAACATCCCTCCTGCAAAATAATGGAGTGTTCAGCTGGCGAGTAAGATGAAAACAACCCTTTTATGGAGATTGACGCGCGCGTATCATGTTCTACGCGATGTCGCGCAGAACGCACCTGGCGCGTTGCGTTTTGAATTTAGAACTATAAAATTCTAACTCCCTGGTAGTGTTGCGCATGCCTACGTGAGGATTGTGAACGTTCAACCAATGAAACGATAAGAGGCACTGGATTTTTAGAAGTCCACATTTTATTGTGACACTGGAAAAGTGTTTAAGACCAGCTAGCCATGTCTTTATCATCCGTTTAATACCGGCCACGTGACGGGCTCTCGACCAATAGGAATGGCTAAACTGTCTGAGGTATTTATGAATAAGCTTTTATATGCCATAATTATTTTAAAGTATGGAAAACAAAACATACAACTATCAAAAATCCAGCAGATGAGAGGACTTAATGTTACGATCTATAAGCAGAGCTAGTCTCGATTTTGCCGCGGACGCTGAGGATCGAAATGCTACGGCCTCTGATTAAAATTAAGAGGATTTATTGTTGCATTTTTTAACAACATATGATACGTGAATTTTGCATCTGTGTTTAGACTAACATAATGAACATCATTTTTTCTTTAAGATCTAAATTTATATATTTTGATTTCATTGATCCAATCAAATGAAATATGACAATTAAGTTCTCAATTAAAGGATGATCATTCTTGAGGAAAGAAAAAGAATCGTTTTTCTTGCTTTGATTTTGAGCAGGCCTTACGTCAATAATCAGTCATTCACAAATGTGTAAATAAACGATAGACCCTTTCGTTTTGAAATAAATTGCATAAAACATTGTAGCTATAGTCAACATAGCAAACATTGCGAAAGTCGTGCAAAAACCAAAGGGAGGGCTAAATAAAACTTTGGTGACGTTTTTCTGGTTTGAATTATAAAATGAAGAAGTCCAGAAATTCAAGAATTGTACTTAATAATAGTATTTCGAAACAAATAGAAGAATTGGGTGACTCGTTACAACTCGCAAATTCTTTCAACTAAAGGTTGAAACACATCGAGTGAGAGCACCGTCGCGTCGCCGCGGCAGACTCGGATATCCAAGGCCTTTGCATCCGGATGCAAAGGCCTTGTCTGCAGAACACTCATGTTTCCTTGCAGTGTGACCTAACGCGACCTCTCAATCGCGACATTACCGGTAGTCACTTATTCATGGCCCATCCGCGTTGTGTGAGATCATAACAAATCATGTGGTAAATCGTCTACGGGTTGGAGTACAGAGGTCACGATGGGAAAGGGCGCCTTGCACGGAAGGTATAGACCAAAACTAGATTTCCTCATGCACTCAACGTGAAAACTTAGTTACATGCAAAGCCGCAAAACTGCTTTGGGAGGGGAAATCATGCAGATATATGTTTCATTGAAAAGCTGTTTATTATTTAAGGATAGCACCACCCCTGTGCCTCATGGTGAAATGCCTTAAAGTGCCTATTTTGGTTGCTGTTTCGGAGTACCATACCCCGAAACGGCTCTTATTTTCGTTAATTTCCCCCGTACGTGATACGCCGAAACGGGTCTCGTTTTCCGTTAAACAAATGTCCCCCTTTTTTTTTTTCAGATTCCTCCCCATAAGTTTTACACAATTAAGTTGTCTTCAAACCATACACTTTGGCACTTTCGTCCGCCTGATAGACCGGCAGGCCCGGCAGCCACTAAGACCATCAGCCCGCAGATGGTCCTCTATGATTTTCGTAACCATGACGTCACCAGGTGTCAAGTTACGTCACATTAAAAGTGCATTTTTCAAAGCCTTATATTTTCTGACGTACAAGTCCGTTGAATGTTTGTTGATACATAAATAAGGACGGGTTACAGATGTAATTTTGTCCAAAATAGACGAGGTGCCGAGTTACGTCACAATGTGCATGCATTTTCTCGCCATAGGATTTGTACACGTTTTTCTTCCACTAATACACTTTGCACTTCTGTAAATCCGATCGACTTCAAACTTAGTACATAAACACACATAAACCAACACCCTGAGATTCTTGTCACAATGGCGTCATCGGGTGTCACGTCACATTAAAGTTGCATTTTTCAAAGCTCCATCTGAAGTGTAAGTCCGATTGGGTTTCATCATTATTGTCGGTATGATACAGGGTGATTAAAGAAATGTCGGGACCAATTTTTTTTTAGTGAAGTTCATTATGTAGCACTTTCAAAATCTAGGATATAAAAGCCTAATCAATAAGCTTTGTTTGCATACAATGGTAAAGAATAATTCAAATCATCATACTTTGCTGAAAGAACACTTACCTTTGTTTGTGATCTGTGGACAGAGCTTCAAAACGAAGCTTGTCTTTAAAATTCCGTAATTTGAAAAGTACTTGAGCGATTTGAATGATTATTGTACTAAACAAAAGCTTCGAATTTTCATTGACAATTTCCCTTTTTATTTGTTTATTCGTTTATTCATTTATTCATTAGTTTTTTATTTCATTTCTTCTTGTATTCCTCTCTTTAACATTTTTCTTTCTTCATGTCTTAATTCGTGTCTGCGCGTTTATCTATACACAAGCTGATTCACCCGATCATAGATCGGGTAGGGCGTAGTGTTGGGGATAAAAATGTGGGGAGTTAAATGGGGGATATAGTTGAGGAGACATGCAGTTATAGAAAAGCAATTTCTGTGGTGTGATCTGAGGCAATTTCTGACCTGTCGTAAGCGGCGCCCTTCCATATGGCACAGGTCACCGTCACCGTACATGTAGACCTACACACCCAGTGTCCTATCTTCCCCTCTATAGTATCTTTGTCACGAGCTGCTTCGGCGTACCATTCCTCCATGGCCATGGGTGTACTATATAGTACTAAACTAGGACCATTCGACTTGGTTGGAACCCTGAGAGATGAATTTTCCTTGTTCAACAAATCGGGCTGATGCTACACCTACCTCTGCTTAACAGCAAGAACGGTACTTCTTTGGTATGTACAAAAGTGTGAGGACCACTAACTTAGTTGGAACCCTGAAAGTTAAATTTTCTTTGTTCGACAAATCGCGTTCTAGCCCCCCCAAAAAAGATACTTGAATTCTCTCAGCAGGGGATTCCATACAGGAAAATGGATGACATTTTTGATCTGAATGTTGGCGGCTGCCTGTACACCACGACGCGGTCGACTCTGACTCGCTACCCGGACTCCATGCTGGGTGCCATGTTCAGCGGTGAACTCGACCCGTCTGTTCGTGACACCAACGGGGCCTATGTCTTGGACAGGGACGGGCCCATCTTCCGTCACGTACTGAATTTCCTCAGACAGGGCAAGCTGATCCTACCGGAGAACTTCAAGGAGTGGGAGCAGCTGGCCTCGGAGGCCGATTTCTATCAAGTCGGGGCTTTGGTGGAGGCGGTGAAGGCGGAGAAGTATCGGAGAACAACACAAGAGGAACTGGAGTACTTCGAAGAATACTTCCAGCTAACGGTATGCGCGAACGTGCACTACACGTGCTCTGGAAATACAAGTGAAGAGGTCTTATGGAATTTTAAGCCACTTCGTGAGTTTTTCCAAGCACATTCCCATAAGATTTTTGACGGTGTACTAAAAATCCCACCCGATATCGAGACAAACGTTCACGAGGATTTTGAGAGACGTAAAAGTGTGATTTTCGAGGATATTTTTAATAAAGGATTCAGATTGTTAGAACGATCCTACACGTTTAATGCACATTATTAAATTACGTTCAATGGGATACATTCGCGTGAGGGACGTAGGCCTTTTTTTATAGCTTAGATGATTCCATCACGGACTGATTTGCGGTGAAATGTTGAAACAGAACCACTACTGCACCTGTACTTCAAATAATTGAATAACTGAGATATTATTTTGATCTAAAGAGTAGAGTAAGGCAATTAAGTTTTAGCATGGAGCTGGGGGTTTTAGCGGCATTTCCTTGGATTTGTCTCCCAAAGTAACCGCCAGTTTGGTTAGGTACAACAAAAATAGATGCGTTATTTGCAATGATTATATAGTCACTTTTATATCCTTATAAAAACATTCAGTATATATGTAACGTATATGCATCGGAGTTGGTTGTTAGGTTAATGGCAGTGAAATGTGTACATTACGTGTATTTTAACCAGTTATAATTATAATGCCCCGTTTAGTTTGAAATCACGTCTATCTTTCGTTTGTCTTCATGATTTTGAACTGCAAATAACTACTGATAAAAGTGTCTTAATATTAATGAAATATCCAAATAAGGTATACCCTCTTTAAGAACATCACTGTTTAAACATTTTATGCTAAAGATGTATGACCCTTTCTATTCAAATATGGATGTTTCTCCTCAACGAATTTCAAAGTGGTATGTTATGTTATGGGTTGCAGGGGGAATGACCATGTCGCACACCAGCATCATAAGCCAAATTCACGTTCCAAATTCAATCGTCAAATCTTAATCGATACATCATTTTACGACGACTGCATGGTTGTGACTTCATCAATGCATAATTTTTCCTAACCTTCGTGCAGGTTGGGTGGGTGGGGCTAGCGGCTATTAACGGGGATTATATGAAACATCCTGGTGGATAATTTGGACCAACGCTAAAATAGCAATAACACTACACATAAATCGTGTTACCGTCTTCTAATATCTATTTTTTTTCCAGTGACTTATTTTCATGATTTTTACTTTTTTAAATGCACTATTATCTTTTCCTAAGCTGCTTAATCATAATGTGTCGTAAATTGAGTCCGGAAAATAAAATACGTGATTTGAATTTTGATGTCATATCATTCCTCACTGACGTAAATGTCTTTAAATTTTGGTGCTGATCAATTTTATTTTGAGGATTTTTTTGAGGATAGTGATCATTTTAACTTACATGGGACATTTCGGTAAGGGCGAATTTCGGGGGTCACAATTATGTCCCGAAAAATCGGGCTGTTCAGTGCTATGTGAATCCGTACAGTGTAAGAAACAACATTTGTGTATTGGTCCTGTGTGTTATTTAATGGGATTTCAGCCTCGTAATGCCCCTTTCATGGCCTCGTGGTCTGTAAATATGATTGTGCACAATATAGTGGCACATCATCTCAATATGCATACTGCACGTGATAGGCTTTTGTTATGTTACATGGTGCTGATGTCGGCATCATTTTCTGTAGTTCCCCAGATGAAATAACTAATATAATAGGCCTACGCAAAGTTGTACATGAATACCATGACGACGGGCAGACATAATTTCAAAACAGAACTGCTTCAGTGTAGTGTGAGGACCACTCGACGTGGAAGCTATCATAGGATCCCAAGTAGTTAAAGTTTCTTTGTTCAGCAAATCGTGTTGGAGCCCTAAAAATATTGAACTCTCTGCAGTTAAGGGATTCGTAAAGGGAGAAATGGATAACGTTTTCAATCTGAATGTTGCTGGCGGCTGCGAGTACACCACGACGCGACGTGTTCGAGCCCTAAAGATACTTGAACTCTCTGCAGCTAAGGGATTCGTAAAGGGGGAAATGGATAACGTTTTCAATCTGAATGTTGGCGGCTGCGTGTACACCACGACGCGGTCGACTATGACTCGCTACCCGGACTCCATGCTGGCTGCCATGTTCAGCAGTGAACTCGAACCGTCTGTTCGTGACGCCAACGGGGCCTATGTCATGGACAGGGACGGGCCCATATTCCGTCACGTACTGAATTTCCTCAGACAGGGCAAGCTGATTCTTCCAGAGGACTTCAAGGAGTGGGAGCTGCTGGCTTCAGAGGCCGATTACTATCAAATGGAAGCTTTGGTAGAGGCGGTGAAGGAGGAAAAAAGTCGGAGGGACGCACCAGAAGACGGCAAGGAGAATTTGGAATTCATAGACATCCATGCCAGTTTGGGCGTGAGATACTCGTATACTGGAAGCAGGAATACCCTATTGAGTATTAGGCCGCTCATAGAGTTTTTCCGTGCTTACAATTACACAACAAATTTTACAAAAGTTGAGCCTGACGTAAAAATGACCTGCACACTTGCTCCGCCACCAGCTATTCAAAATATCACGACGACAAATGATCTAGGAGATGCCTCTCATGTGCGGATCGATGTACACGTACCTGGTACTGCCAGCGTGACTGATTTACACGAGGGATTTAGTAATCGAAAGCCGGCAATTTTGCATTCTTTAAAGATTCTGGGATTTCAAATGAAAACAGAGTTATACACTTTTTTTCCAGACAACTCAGATTTTAAGGAACTAAGATGGACTTTTTCCCGGCGAGTTGAGCCCGGACCTAAGGCCAACATCCGTTGAAAACAAAGGAATCGTGGATTAATGTACTTCTGTGTTGGTAAGCAGAATGACACACTGAGAAAGTGAAACCCTTCTTTTTCCTAAGTTTTTTTTTCTACTTTATCCTGAGATTAAAAGAAATGTGACTTGGGTGACACCATATAGGCAAAATTCGTGATGCGACTTTGATGTGGGTTTTCTTAATTTGTCGTTCATGTTAGACCTCTCTTTACCATTTATGGAAATAGTTACTACAAACAACAATTATTAGTCTGCCCAGAGACATTTGCTGGATTTCAGTTTTCAGGGGGATGTTGAGTTAAATTTGGATTTGGATTCGACTCAGCTTTAAATGGCATCCACTGCGTTTCATCTAGATGGGAATGACCTGCGGGCAGATGCCTACACTGCAAAAACTGCAGTGCTAAATTAACACCATTGGTATCTATATAGGACCATCTGGTGTTAAATTTTACTGGTGTTGTCCTATATAGATACCGAATTGTGTTAAATTAACACCACAGTTTTTGCTGTGTAAAAGATCCCTACAGCCCGTCAAGACCAAACATGGACTTGTCACGAAAACACTCCCTTTGTGAACTCTTGTTTACTGAAACAGATGGACTATCTAATGACAGAATAACAATTCATCGAATTAAAGAGAATAGCCTTTACACCATAATCACATAAAGGAGTACATCATAATGTTAAAATTACTTTTTTAAAGTCCAATTTGATTATTTGGGCAACAGGTGCAGTGTTAAAAGATTGGAGCTTGTTATTTTGTCGCACTAAAATGTAAAGAATTACAGCAATTAACATTTGGCTTGAGACGCTTATGAACAATGTATATACTGCACAACAGTAAGCATTTGGTAGATTCGTCACAACGCAACCATTGTTCTGTACTTTTTATAACGGCTTTTAGTTTTGAGAGGTTTTTCTTTTAATGAGACATTTTAATACTGTTTAATGATTCATTGTGTGGCCAGTAGTAAGCAACGACACTTAGTTTTAGCACCGCGCCATGTTTTTATGTCGTCTCGGTGTCGGTAACAAGCGTAGCAAAAGTTGTGAAAGAAATTGTTTTAGGTTTTAAGAGCCTGTCCCGTAACGAATATAGCAAATCACAATTAAATAAGTTTTTTTTTTAACTATATGATATAACTATCGTTGTTTAGTACCAATTCTGTGTTTGTGTACTTTTATTATACATGTACTTTCATTAGCTACAATTGTATGGCGTAATTTTCAATTTTCGTATGACCTTCACTATATTTTTAATTTCAATATCAGATGTGGTCTTAAAGACGTTTATTCATGATGTATTTCTATTACTAAAAATCCACGCTTACCAGTTGTATTTGATATCCTTTCAAGTTATATTACTTGAGAAAAGTCGAGATGCGAATGGCAGATCTCAGCCGCTTTTCTATGATAACTCAGAAAATTCCATTTCCAAAAAACGATCAGTAATTTGTTTTGACAATTTCATGTTACTTTCAGTTAAAAATTTTCAGTAAAAGATCAAATGTTTTTGCAAAGTTCAAATTACGGTATGCCCATTTTGAAGCTTATGTGATTTTAAACGTATTGAATTTTTTTAAAATTCTCATTTGCATCTGGACTCTGGGGTAAAGAGGTTTTCTTTAAGGACTATGTGTTACATGTTATTAAAGAATTATTTTAAAGTCAGCTTTAATAGTTCGGGCAGGGCTTCACTATTTTCATCTTAAGCAGCCAAAAGAATGCACATAGTCCCTAAGTCGTATCCTACAAAATAATGCTTGAGCATCTGAACGACACTATTTATATTTAATAAGTTGACGATTGTAGTTTTATCGCTGGTAGATTTTGTTAGCTTGAGGCTTCAGAATTTCATAGCAACAATGCATAAACCAAACATTTCTAACTAGCCTAAAATAGGATTTGTATGTTATCGTGGTGTTGCGTGCTTGCTGATTGCAAGGACTAGGGATTTTTTTCCCCAATGACGTCAAGGAGTCAAGCTGGACAAGCCCGCCCACTATTATTGCTTTGTGTACATTTTGATGTGGCGTACGTGACATCTGATAGCAATGATCGGGGTTTTCCCCTTGACGTCCATTGAGCCAAGCTCGGTGATGCCAAGAATATTGCTCGTTACAAAGATGGAACCAATCGTAGTGTCCTCTTTTCAAAAACTGATGTCATTGACGCGACCTAGGGCCTTGAGTGTGTGTGTGTGTGGGGGGGGGGGGGGGGGGGCAGGCCAGGGTAGGGGTGGGGGAAAAGCCACCGGTGTATTTACCACCACACAAACATAAAAATCAATGCTTTCCAGTTGAAATAATCGAGTGATACAACTACCGCAATCGGGCCTTGTGGTCTCAGCGGGATCTACCCGATGTTTCCCAGTACCAATGTTCCCAAAACCTATTGATGAACCTAGATATGCACCCGTCTCAGTTGTACATGTGTCGAAAATATATATTGTCACGCCCACGACAGTTTTGAACATAATGTCACATCATCTCATTATGCATAATTGCACTCGACCTCGCACGGTACGTGAACTGCATGCAGCGCCGGGCGATATAGTTAATGACGGGCGGACACACATTTGCTGAGCAGGAACAATTTCAAAACGGAACTGCTGCGGTGTACGAATGTGTGAAGACCACTCGCCATAGTTGGAACACTAATAGACCTAGGCCTAGAAGTTGAATTTTCTTTGATCAGTAATAGTGTTCGAGTAGTTCGAGCCCTACATACGCTGGAATTCTCTGCAGGGATTCGAAACAGGAAATGGATGACCTTGTCAATCTGAATGTTGGCGGCTGCCTGTACACCACGTCGCGGTCGACTCTGACTCGCTACCCGCGCTCCATGCTGGCGGCCATGTTCAGCGGTGAGCTTGACCCGTCTGTTCGTGACGCCAACGGGGCCTATACCATCGACGGAGACGGGCCCATCTTCCGCCACGTTCTCAACTTCTTCCGACGGGGAAAGCTGATTCTACCGGAGGACTTCAAAGAGTGGGAGCTGTTGGCCTCAGAGGCCGACTTCTACCAGGTTGGAGATTTGACAGATGCAGTGATGGCGGAAAAGATGCGGCGGGTCACACCAGAGGACTCCTCAAAAAGTCCAAAATTCGAATTCGTAGAGATAAATGTTCGTATAACTGCGGTGATGGGCGTGACGTACATAGGAAGCATCGAAACCCTGGCAAACCTGCCCACTTTTCTGGAGTTTTTCAACAGCGTCCCACAGTTCAGAGGTAATGTTCTGAATTTGGTCAAGCAACAGGGCATGATCCAGCATTTCCAGAATTTTAAGTTTATTGAAGATAGTAAACGCATGGGTTTTTTCCGGGAGATAGTGGAGCACGGCTTTGAACTGAAGGCGGCACTCTGTGATTCTTATGGGAGTAAAGAATGGACTTTTGCTCGGAAGGTCTAGATTAACGAGATGGAAATCAACGGCTCAAGCTGTCGTCCCCCAAAACGACGATTATGTTCTTCCACAAACCCCAGACGTGCACTCCTTCGCAGAACCATACGGACAAACCTTAGATAATCCTTACACAGCTGGAGGTGACACAAAAGTAACTAACAGTAACTTGTAAATCTGTCATGTAATGGAATATTGAATGTCAAAAAAAGGCATGCAAGTTTTTGTCTTTTAGTAAAAATGTTAAGAGTAATTTAAAATATATGTTATTGGACACGGGTCAACTTTTGACAAAACAGTACATTTGTATTTCACTTAATAATAGCCATCGTCGTGTTTTAATTCTATAACCGATCATCCACACATCTGACATTTACTTTGACATTTTGGCAATTTCAGTGCAAAGAAAGATACAAATCCACCATTATTTCGAGTGAACCAGATTTACTAGCACTGACGCATGCTGTGAATCGTATCTGTGGCACACACATCGCTTCAGTTGTTTCATTATTAGAATTCGTCAATTAAAAGTCAAAAGATAACTGCCAAATCAACACAAACATCTTTATATCGAAATATTTCGTGTTTTATTGTCCTGTGTTGCTGAACCGTTGATTGCAAGGATTGGGGGTTCCCCATGACGTCATGAAGCCAAGCTCGGGTGATGCAACAAATATTGCTCGTTATAAATGTCGACCTTCTCCGTACACTGCAAAAACTGTGTTTAGACTCTAAACGTTTTTCTAAACACTTTTTTGCTATCAGTTTGTAAACATGTCCCATCGCTAAACACTTGCAGTGTTTAGCACCAAAACACTTGGTGTTTAGATATTAAACATTTGGTGTTTAGATATTAAACATTTGTTGTTTAGAAATGAACATTATGGTGTTTAGAAATTAAACATTACTATGTTTAGAAATTAAACATGATAGTGTTTAGAAAATAAACACAACACTTCACAAAAGGAAACTGAAAATTCACTGATTCGTTTTCAATACACTTTTTTTTATTTTACAACTTTTTAACTTATTCTAAGACATTTTGAACAAACTTTAACAAACTTTAATGTCCAACATTTTCATAATTTTGTTTGAAATTCATTTAGCATTTAAAGAAAATTAAATGAATTTAATTTTAGAAAAAAATCAATTAGTTTATGCTTTTAATTCAAATAGCTCATATTTCATTTCATTTTTTAATATACAAATTTTGTATTTAGCTTTTAGCAATGCACAATTTCAACCTTTTAGTGTCCATAAAATGTTTCTTTTTCCTGAGGAACACATCTTGTGACACCATGCTCTTCTTCATTGAATGCTTGACATCCCATTTGAGTTGATTTTATTAAAAAGTGCACCTTTATAATCATTAAAAAAAGTACAGTCGAACCCTGATAAGAGCACCGTCAATACAACATCCTGCCAATATAGGTCTCGTTCAAATGACGTCATTTCCTACAGGCCATGAACTGACACAACAAATCCGTGAAAAAAGAGAACATTTTACAGCGACAAAATGTCCCAAAATCTGGTGCCTTTTTGTGCTGAAATAGCCGTAACACATCAGTGGTTTCTGCCTCAAATGACATCTTTTGCTCATGAATATTCTCAATGGCATAAAAACATAAAAGGCACCAAAATATCAGGTAAAATGGCAAATGAAAATTGAAAATAAGATTAAATGGCACACATGCATTTTCAAGGATTGCATGTAAAATTACATTGCACATGGGCTCTTTAAAATAATAATTTCAGTTACACTTTGGATTTTGCATATTAATACACGTACTACATGTCAAAAAGGCTACTCATCATCCTAAATAACTTTTTTGTTTGCCAATGGAATTAAACCAAAATTTCAGATTTTGTAAAAAAAGCATGACACATTTTATGGAGCAAGTTTCATCAGTTTTGTGCAAGAGGGTGAGAATTATACGCCATACGAAAAAAAAAACTCACTTCAGAAAATTGATACTGTGCTGGAAACGGTGGCAGAAGGGGCATGCTGCTGCTGACAGCTTCTGTGAAGGAATGCAGGATCACTCCTGATGTCATTGCACAACTCTACGATTGCATGTTGCGCCAACCGAAGGTATGCAATGACATCAGGGGTAATACGGCATTCCTTGCCACTGTCTCCAGCTCTATATCGAAAATGGAGGACGCCAAGTCGAAATTGGCAGATTATAATAGTGATTATTTTTTTTGGCGCATGGCGTATAAATCTCACCCTCTTGCACAAAGCTGATAAAAATTGCCCCATAAAATTTGTCATGCCTTGTTGACATGATCTGAAATTTGGTTTAATTTCATTGGTAAACAACAGAGTTTTAGGGTCAAGAGCAGGACTTTTTTCAACAATCTAGCTTCCCACCAATTTTCATGACAATAGGAACTTCCCTTATACATGTTTTTAAAAATGGAATTGTTGATGACATGAACATGACGTCAACAGTTTTAACATTCTAAAACTCCTAAGTGAACATAGCAAAGTTATTTAACATTTTTGGAAGTATTCAACTTTTATGTTGTTTTGATGTGCTTATTCAACATGTTGCAGGGACCGCAATCTTTTCTCAAATTTGAAGAAACTGCAAGACCGCTCAAATGGAGACAGTCTGTCTTTGAGCAAAAACAGTTGCAGGAAACCAAGAACCTGGTACTGTATTGGATACTGAAGGTCCCAGGCATAGTATGCTTGGGACAAGAACAGGACCATCTCCATCACATTTTTTGTGTCCCTCATCTCTACGACATTACCATCATGTAGAAGGAACCCATTGGACAGCTCATGATCGTCTTCATGTGATATGATGACTAGGCGGGGTGCCTCGCTAGCTACAGACGTGGGAATGTACGTGGCCTGGTTATAAAGAGAAACAGGGAGATAAACGAAAGAATCAATTACCATGTGTACAGAAGTAAGCTAGTTAGGGACCGATGGTTGCACACAGGTAAATTATAGACTTGTAGATGTCGCAGTTGGAATCTCATTTACATACAGCGCACTGATTGTGTGCACAACGTGTAATGCAAGTCAAACTTGAACTAATCGTATTATTTCATAGGACCCTATACCCACACAAATTACTTTTTTGTTCTTTTGTGGCATCACCCATAGAGATCATGGTATGACATCAATAATCATAGTGTGTTCATGCATCAAGTAACCCATAGAATTAAATTATAATCATAAGGACCTCTGCGCATGCCAACTACTAGCATTTGTCTAAATGTTATATTAGAGAATACCTACCCTGACAAAAGACATTTGATTAACTATTTGAAAATGTTGACCAGTCAAACACTGTCACAAACACATTTCTCTCTATGCACAGTAAACAAATAAGGTTTACTACACACTGCTGAGGGAACCCTTCACCAGACACTGTAGCACACAAAACTACCCCTGCCTATTACTCACCGACACGTCCGCAACCACCCCAGTACCATGTGGTTTCATTGTTTCTTACACGTAAATATTCTGTAATACAATATAGTGCAGGTGCTACAAGACATACAGCATAATGGGCTATCAGCAACCATTATCATGTATGTGCTTGTGCACTCTCAGGGGCAAGTTAATGTAAAGCATGTATGTATTTATTTATTGGATAATTTCTCAGGCAAAATATAAGACAACAAAAGAAAAGTTTGCACTTACTTTTTCCACCGATATTGCTGGTTGAAGTTTCTTGACCCTCTTGGTTATGGCAATCTTGGTGTCTACGTATTTAAGTAGTCCGATTTCACCCTCGGTGTTCTTAAAGTAAAAGAAGCGTTCCGAGATTTACTTCAATTATCAATTAAAGAAAAAATTGGGCATTAGAGGAGTGCCAGGTGCCTTGCAGAGTTGATGTGACAATAAGTCAATGATAACGGCAGACTGTTGCACCCCTATTTACAAAACAATCGATAATATAGGCAACACCTCAGTAATCAATTTGCCCTTGAAATCCGAGTCAGCCTTTCCTGATTTTGTTATTAATCATTAAAATTCTTTGAAAACCGTGCCTGCTTGTATTTAAGCCAACATATTGCCATCAATTATCAATATTTTTTAGTAAAAAATCCGAAGATTTATTTTAGATTACAAATATCCTGCAACAGCACATCTCTAGATTTCTTTAAATAAAAAATAACCTGCGACAACACATCCCAAGATCTATCAAAGTTCAATAGTACATGTAGCACCTTCAATGATGATGAATTATCTAGTCTTCAAATCCACTGAGTGTAAGTTTTTTTTAAGTACATGTAAGACTTACCTCAAATCTATCCTGCTTGGTGCACTCCGTTACCATGTTGATTAGACTGGTCCAGTTTTGCTGTAAGCTAGCCTCTGACACTTCTGGTTGCCTTAGGAAGAATTCCCTCTTTATCTGCATACAATACATACAAAAAAGAAAATGTTTACAAACGCACTAACATAAACCCAATACATTCTGTACAATGTGTGCTTATGACAAATTACATCATGTCAGATTGATTATACAACTTGAAATACAGGTTGTAGTAAATGAGTTATTATGGGTGGCCATAAATACTCATGCATAACAAGCAAAATGTCAGTTAGCAAGTCATGAAATTTAATAGCATTTTCTTCATTTCCAAGTGGGATAAAGTTGTGCCTTTCTTCCAACTCAAAATGTATGTTTTAATACTTGAAATTATCCTCTTACGGCATAAAGCAAATTTTTTTGTTGAAATACAACATTCAATCAAATGTGGAAATAATAATTTAATTAGTCTTATATTAATAATGAAATTCTAAATCCCTTGCAGTTCCCTTGCAGTTAAAAGTTAAACAAGGTGTAAACTTACAAACTTTTCCTCCAAGAGGAAGGGATAGTCATGAAAAGTCGGTTTCTCCCTCTTGCGCAAGTTAAAGGTCAGTTTTTGGAGATGTCCAATTTTGGCCTTGTCAGGCTTGTCCTTCTGCAGTTCAGAGAGCAGATCGGCTTTCAAGAGCTCTTCAGGGCTGTCTCCATCAGCTACAGGAATTATTTGGAAAAATCAAATCTACAAAGAGTTAAAGCCTATGAAAACAATTGAAAAACTGGTCTGTTACTTGAATAAATTTGCCTACATCCTGAATTTGTTCATAAAAAAGTAGCCGGTATCTTTGGTTTTAGGGATGTGTTAAAATATGTTTTATATCAACACGTGTAAAGTCAGTCAACAAAAAAAAAAAAAAAAAAAACAGTTTAACATTAAGCACCTAATCATTAAAGGCTGTGCCCAATACACGTAAACATGCACATGATCTCAAAAATATGCATGTAATTTGTTCTTTTTGGTATTTTAATTGTCTTTTTGTTTTGGTTTGCATGGTTTATTGTCAATTAATGCCACATTTATGTCAGCAGTCTCTTTCAGAAATTATTGTTTCATCCATTTTCTTTGATGAGGACCTTGACAAGTATCACATTTAGTCTGCTAAACCACTCAAAGCTCAAATATGAGATCCATTGTTATCCAAACATAATTTTGTATCAATATGTTATGTGCATTTTGTTCCCAACTGGCAAGCAATTTTGACTAGTACATTGCAACTGCTTGGCAAACTGGCAAACTTCTTGCCAAAATAGATGGGCAGGTTGCTACTGGCCAGTTAATACAATGGAGACAAGCTGCAGGGTATTCCTTCTACAGCTTTTTTTGTATGCTGAAAGAGCATGTTAGCCATGTTTAATAAATATGATCTTATTGATACATGTAGATATCCGAATGTTTGAATAACTTACTCAACTTGAATTGTTTTTACTATATTTACCTAAATACATACACCTGAACCTTAACGACATCGCACTTTGTTTATAGGTGCACCTAATTCTTATGGGAGGAGCGCATGAAACTACCATAAAAAGCGCATGTATACACACAAAGCATGACATTCTAAATTTAAAGGGAATATACATCATTTGCTTTGGCGGTAATTTTCAAAAATGGATGGAATTGGGGGGTTGGAAATATAAAGCAAATATAGTTACACTGACTTTTTTGAGGTTTTGGGTTCGAAAATGCTATAAAAACCAAGAAAAACGATCATTTTCCTGTAGTCTGGTTCCTTGACTCCATATAAGAAGAAACAGAGCAGTTTACATACATTGGGGAATTGTAAGGTCCGGGAACCAGTCTAGCTGGCTCGTACCCGTTCATAGGTTTGTAATCGATTGCAAACAAGTGCAATGGTCCATTGGGGCCAGTATTTGAAAAAAAGCCAGTTGTTTCCAACGCTGATCGGCCGATCAGCGTTGGAAATTGATACAAAAATACCACTTTTCTTGAAAATGACAGTATACCAGGTGCCATAATTTTACAGGATGCTTTAGACTGTCATTTACCAACATCCTTTTAAGGTATTTCGCAAAAACTTGGTAGTTTTATTTTTCGATGTTTGCAAATGTTGTATATTCCCTTTAACAATGCATTTACAACAAGCTTCACCCTCAACTCACTTCAATAATGGGATCTCACCTTCAAAACTGTAATCAGCTGCTGCCACGGCAGTCCTTTTAGTTGTAGCTGGTTGTTTGGTTTGTTCCATCTTCCTTTTTCTGGTCCATCTTATGTTCCTCATCTTCTGGGAAAGTCTCTTTACAAAGTGATTCTGAAAATTACAGTAACGGGAAGAATTATAGGAATGGGAGCAATCAATGTTTGAAAAAATGTCATGCCATTTACAGCTAATACTGACTTGATGAGTAATGCATTTATAGATTTGTGGAATTCATCCAACAATATTAATCTGTATGTTTTACGAATCAGGTATTTCAAATCATGTACATGTTTACTATATTAAGTGGTAAAAGATGATGGAATTTGGATGTTGCACAAAAGACACAGTTTTACATTTTCTCAATGAGATCTGCACAACAGGCTTTAAAATGATGTGATATTAAAACAACGAATGCCATCAAGAAAAAAGTTACTGTCAACAAAAAAAGTGCTACCTGAAAAAAAAACGGCAACTTTATGATTAAGACAATCAGTAATATCACTTAAGTTGATTTTTTTCCCTCGAATATTCAAACTGGCAAAAAGCTATTTGAATATTTAGTTGATCATCGCATACGCAGCATATTTGGCACAGCCCTAAAACTGGAACACCCACATTAAACCAGTTCGCACTGGAGGCGTGTATACACGCTAGCGGTTTGTGGTATTTGGAACGAATGACAGATGAACACGCAGGGTGCGAGGCTGGAAATATCTGTCAGTGACCTGCTCGCAGCAAGCGAGGCTGGAAATATCAGTGTGCTACCCGAGAGTGATGGCTGCAACCCGCCTGGCATTGAGATCGAGTGACAATAAATCCCCCGTCTTCAAGTTGTTCCGTTTTTTTGTCAAAATAATCCCGGCATGAACTGGTTAAGACGTTCATGAGCATGGATGTGATGTAAGTGAATAATATCAGCGAACAATTTTTGACATAAATATGTACATGTATACATACCCATGGTTTTTTGCCATGCTCCTCAAAGAGTATGCAAGGCCAACGCTCGCTGACAAGCCTTCCTACATCATCGTACTCTGATGGTGCTTTCATGTCATGATGTTTCAAAATGAAGTAAGCGGTCTCTGCGATGAGTGCATCCCAGTCTGCCATGATGTTCCCACTTTTCAGTGCACTCACGACACGGTCCGAGTATTGTGGCCATGTTTGCGGTGTGGTGAACATGTTCCACATAGGAGCTAATACAAAAATTAAAAATAAAATAAAAAGATAATTACATTGCTGTACGCCGTAGGCCACCTAGTTTGGGATTTAAAGCAGTCATTTTGAAGAATACAATTAAAGAAAGCCGCTTTCAAAGATGTGTCAATCCATGAATGGGTGCACGCACGCATTGACACAACACACACATGCCCGGTTGTTACATTTATTCGTCAGATCAGTGCAGTGTAGCTGCAATCGGTTGAATGAGAAGGTGTACCAAACACTTATTTCAGGAGTAATTCAAAACATGAATACATACAGATTCACTGAGCTAGAATTTAATCAGTTCAATAATTGTAATTGTAAAGCAATATACGTCATCTTTAGATTTTAAGCACTTTTGTTGCTTCAAACAGAAAACCTGCAAAAATGACAAATGATTACCCTACCTTAAACCGGAAGTGATGGTCAGTATAAAGCAAGAGAGTATTATAAAATTGGACACTTAAGGCCCCCTAAGATCCACAGAAGATTAATCCAGTTATGTGCAGAGAGATTATCCTACTAAACTAAATTTCACTGGTGTCAGGCTTTCCTTGCAACTTCCAAGACATTTGATGCCATGTTCTGTACATTACCACTTCACGATGCTTTGAAGGTATTAAAAAGAATACTTTCAATATCTTCAGTGTCAGCCGCCAATAGAGCGCTTGCTAGAAATGGATTGACCGATCAACATGCAACGGCAGTTTCAATAAAATACTTACTCTTTGGGGTTTCCAGCCTACTTGAAGGGCCTTGAAGGGCAACGTCAGAAGACTCTAGATCCTGATGACTACCCGCCTCTTCTGCTACATCGTCTCCCCCTGCACCAACAGACGCCATACTCGGACTTGAAAGCTTGCTGATGTCCAAGATCCTTGGGGCCATTGGAGCTGCTGTTAGCTGTGACCTCACATCTGGTGATTGGAGTACTCCAGGCAGATCAGAATCACCTTCTGGGCCCGTGGCTTCCTCTGCACTTAGAGGTGCATTAAGTTCACTTTGAACCTATAGAGGAAAGAGTGTAGGAATCCTTCAAAATTTTAACCTTATAACTCCCTATCATCTTCAAATAGGAACTGGACAAAGTCCATCAAAATCAATCAATCACTGTGTGTCCAATACAAAAAATGTACATGGCATAATGGAATCCAGCACTTGTGTCATTCAAAACGTTTAGTATCCATGGCACAGGGCCAGTATTAATTGGGTTCAATGCTTTATGCCTCTTGGCTGCAAAAAATTAAGCGGCAAAGGACTCAGCTGATAATTTTGTCTCCAACTCTCCTTGTAACGTGTGTAAGTCTGTGTGTCTTTCCCCACCGTTGTTTTGACTAGCGAGAGAGAATGTCCAGGGCCTTCGTGCAATTGAATTCCTAATAAGTAGATTCTTGGCTCTGGGCTGTGTGCACAGAGAATTGGTAATTTACTCCGTAACCGATTCTTTTGTAGCCAGAAGCGAGCATAGCGGGTACCTGCTTCTTGAAAAGATTGGACTCGAGGTTCCGGTTCCCACATTGGACACGGGTAGAACTGGGAAGTATCCGGAACCATCCAATGTGCATTCCTCGTTTAAGGCCAATAATATTATATATATTTCTGCTTCCGATTACATGACATTAAAAAAAAAGGGTAGGTACCAGTAGGTAGGGAAATTGTGTTTTTTGCCATTGTTTTTTGTGTACGATCAAATTGAGGCCTCTGCGTGTAGTCAAGGGTAAAAGGTAGAAATAGGGTTGGTAAGGAAACCAGAAGCAGAACTATTTTATTTTTGCCTAATTACATGAATTAATAACTATAACTTACCATCATCACCTTCCTGACATATCCCACCTTCCCTGGAAACATTCTGAAAAGGTCATCTTCAGTAAGGCTGAGAAAAACTGAAGAGTCTACACCATTCTCTGCAACATATGCAACAGAAATCAACTAAATGTAAGTAAATCAAGTACATGTAACCTCATTCAGTGAACTACTTTTGCAAAAGAAAACAATATGATATTCCATTGCTTCCTTACATATCCACTTTTATTTTAAAAATTACTTGTACGTCAAGTTTAGATTGACCCTGCAGATTTTGGGATTCTATTTTTATTCTCCAGTGAGGTTTTCCATGAAATTCTCGCAAAAAAATCTACTGCATAAACTTTGATTAATGAAAATGACGTTGATTCTTGCACATCTGTTTAACAAGAATCATTTTCAGAATCAATGTCCAATATTCTTGCGCAAATGTAATTTACAAGTATGGTTAAGTGCTTGGGTAAGTACATGTACATGTATAACACTCTTTCAACTCTTATCCTAACCCTACATAGCATTTGCAGTGGGGTAGGGAGGTTTCACTCACCTACTGCTACAACTGCCATACATCATCAACATTTTGAAGCATCACATACTTGGTCCTGTCCACTGTATGCACAAGCTGGGGCCAGTGATATGTTAGGTCAGTTTCTGGCTTCAATGCCACAGTTTTCACTTCACCAGTGTTGGCAACACTGAAAGCATTTAGATGTGAATTGAAAGCAACTGTTTCTAGTTCCTCACAAATAAAATATGTGGCTTTGTTGAAGATCAGGATCTCATCAATTGTAATGAACTTTGGATACTCCCACTGGGGACATTCTTTTATCAGTATGGTGCCAGCTGTGTATCGATGACCACGAGAAATTAGCTCTGTAGTTTTCAATGCTTGGTGTGCACAAACATCCTCTGAATCTCCATACTCTCTCTGAATCATAGAATGGCGGAATTCCCTGTCAGCAATACTGCAAGTATGCCCTTCCTTAACAATGTCATCCTCTGAAAGGTATGCATGTGAGGCCGAGCCATCAGCATTGAACTGCTGCAAGCACATTTTGTACTGGTGTTGAACAGTCACCGATTTGTGGATGGCCTTGAAGTTTCTATATTTCTTGTCTTTGCACTCGCCATGTTTACCTTCTAGCCGCATACACGAATGATTTCTTGCTGGTCCAAAATCACATATCTGCTTTGGTATGTGACTGAGATAGTGCATTTTTGGTGTGATTGGCCTTTCTGGGTAGAGCCGTCTAAATGCAGAATGATGGGTTGCGATGAGAAGCTGCAGTGTGTTCACAGTTCGAGTTGAAGCTACCGATGAAAATGTGAGCAGCGTAATTTGTATCAGTCTTAGGTAGTTGATCCACTTCTCATCTGTTTCTGGTATGAAGTTTCCAATCATGAAAGGAAGGAGCACAAGAAGGTTCTTCATTGACTGAGCAGTTTGCTGTAACTTGCTATCAGACTGCACATTATCCCGTGAAATTTCAACAGGTTGATCTTTCTTCTCTTCTCGCGTGTATTCAAAGCTCCTAATGATAGCATTAAGTTTTGCGATAGTGAAGAACTTCATTTCAACACAGTGAACTAGTAGTAGTTTAGTTTCCATTGGAATTATCCCCTCCAGCAGGACATGCATAGGGTCTTGCAGAATGCACTTTGTTGCCTTGCATTCTGGAACATCCAAAAATTCTGATCTTCTAGTTACTCCGTACATCTTTGACCAGTATTTTCTGGCTTGTCTTGTCATTTCACTTGTTAGATTCTCGCACCTTTCAAGATGTTCATTTTCATCCCTCAGTGGTGATGGAATGATTATCGAGTTGTTCTCTAGTTCTTCATGCGTGACTTCACATGTTCGACATGGCTTGTATGCTTTGCCTACTCCCTCTTTAAATCCTCCCATCAACTGTGCTGCTGGGGTATCACCTAATACAAAGGCTAGCTTTCCTTTGATTTGTGTTCTTTGTTTGGCACCCGTTGGAGAAACTGTTGTCATTACTACTCCGTCATACAGTTGTTGAAAACACTTTTTACAATTTTCCAAGATCTTGCCAAATCCATATGTTTTCAAGTCTGCAGTTTTTGCCATAGCAACAAGCTGGATTGCCTCAAGTTTTGTTCTGAGATGTGGAGGAATGTTCAACAATACATAGTAGAATGCTGTCAATTTATGAGTTTTTCGATGACTTCCTATTGGGTTTGCTAATTCAAAGTCATCCGAGTACAGAGCAAATGCCAGTGCTTGTGGATTCTGTTGTAAGTATGGATCTGATTGAAAGTACAATCCATCGAACACATCTTCCATTAAGTCTGATCCAAAGTCAGTAACTGTATGTGTCATGATATGCTTACTCACAGACGGACACTTCAACAGTGCCTGCAGTGATCCAATAATGGGTACATAGCAACCATATACGTCTACCTTTTCAACACGATATAATGATCTTTTGGCTGAATTGTGTATTCCTTGTTTATTTTTGTAGATCTCACCAAGTTTGATCTTCTCTGGTTCTATTAGGTTAAATCTTTTTTTCCAACTTTTTTTCAAGAGGTATGTGGAGTTCAGTCCATGAAAAATAGGTTGTTTGCAACCAACCAAACCATCAATCTCTTCTTGTGTTAATTTATTTGTCTCACATAATTTGGCTTTTAGTTCATCAAGTTTCTGGTTGACCAAATATTCAGTTGACATTTGAACTTCGTTGAGTCCACTCTCAGACATGTAACACATCGACTTCAATTTCAGCATATAGTAGGATGCCGCATGATCATGTGTGCTCTCAAACTCATCTTCTGCATTCTCCATAGGATCCTCAAAATCTTCAGTTCCAACATCATTTTCTCTTTGCGTAGTACACACCTCAATATCAATGTTGTCATGCTTCCTGCTGACATGGGACTTAAAACTGCCGTAGTTTTTAAATGATGCTCCACAACCTACTACACTGCAGTGCACGATAAATCGCGGGGCATTTCGGTGACATTTCACTAGATGTTTAACAAGTTCCTTAAGGCTTGCAGAGAAGAAGGGGCACATTGCACAGGAATGTACATTTTCCATTGCATTTGTTTCGCAATGTGCTACAACTATTTGCTATCATTGGTTCATCATGTGCTCCGTGCACCAACACAAGAGGGCGTGTGTTTACCACTTTTGAGAGCCACTTGGATGGGACACCTTACTGGACTGGTTCATCATGCGCGAAGTACGCACAACTCATTTATTCTGAATGTGCACAAAGCTAAGCCATAGCGTCTTCACGCATGAGCGTCAGGCGTCGTCGGCACATGAATATGTTTGAATTTTACTTTCGATGGTCTCGCAGACTAATCACCCCGGCCCCCTCCCCAAATAACTTTGGATCATTCAAAATATGCAGTGGTCATGGACCGTATGGACAGGAACCGATCTAGGTCTCCCCCAACTCTCCTTTTCTGGCTGTTGAAGGGGTACTTGTGCACGGAGCCCACTTCCATTCCGATGATAATGACACATGCTCGCTGCGACCAATGAAAGGAAAAACAAAAACAAAGTTTAACATTTCAGGGGTCGATGGGTGTTTCTAGTTTTTTAAATCTTTGTAGAGAACTAACAAAGTACGTGATGTGATTCTGAGGATCTTTGCGTATATGTGCGATGATGAAGTTCATGCGTGGCCTATTTTATTTTTGAAGTACATTTACAAAAGTGCAATAATAAAAATAAAACGTTACACGGAAACAATATCCCACACACCATGAACATTCTGCGTCCAATTGCACTAGCGTACACACTAGCGTACACATTAGTGCTAGGCTCAGTGTACATGTACATCTGTACAATTGTACCATTGCAAGTTGATTCGAACGTTTTCGCTCATGCGGAGACACGGTGGCTATTTACTAAATTTGCACATTCAGAAAGTTGTGAGTTCTTCTCAAGTGGCTCTCAAAAGTGGTAAAAAACACGCCCTCTTTCATTGGCGCACAGAGCCCGTGATGAACCAATGATAGCAAATATTGGACTTGTACATGCATGTATTTGCAAAACAAACGCAATGGAAATTGTACATTCCTGTACAGTACTATGAATATGCATTATTCAGTTCATGACCTCATGTTTGTATGGCCATAGGCCAGCCGCGCCACACGCCCGACAAACATCATAAACTGCAATGCCCTAGCACGTCGGCATAATGCATACATTACAACGCGGCCGCCATTTTGAAATCGCATGAAGGATATTTTCGGGAACGATATTTGTGGAAGATGATGACTGAAAGTCGTCTTTTGGCCAGATAGATGGATGAAAATATTGGGACCAAAGAACGTTTTTTCGAAAAGGTATGAGTTCCTCTCTGACTAGGAACCTTAACTTTGGAAATTTTTGTCCTGGATGAGAAGATATATAATTTTGATCAAAATTGGTAGCAAAGTCGCTACATTAGAGTTCAGTGTTAAGGGGAGCGTTGGCGGTCTGGCTGTACTACAGAGCTTGCGATAGTACTGTACGGTCAGATGCAGTCGGGCTAGTTGCAAACAACCTATTTTTCATGGACTGAACTCCACATACCTCTTGGGAAAAAGTTGGAATTTTGTTTTTAACCTATTGAACCGGAAAAGATTAACTCAGTGAGATCTACAAAAATAAACAAGGAATTAATACACAATTCAGCAAAAAGACGTGCATACTGTTCGTATTCTTTTTTTTTAAATGTCCGCGACCCAACCTGACATTTTAAAACCAGCACAAATAATAATAATTTAATTCAGTGCTGCAATTTTTCAACATGAAATTTCACAAAAATTAGACATCTGATAAAGGCAGCACTTTCTGATTATGCGCCTATCAATTGTTTCCCCCACCTCTCCCCTCTCGGGCTGCCCCACCCAAGACGTAGGGATTGTCACTTTTGAAGTGACAAAATCCCCACCCCTCGGGCAAAATTGAAGTGACAATAAGTGACTGCCTTTAATTCCATTAATACGCCAACGTTAACAGTGAAATTTGAGTGACCAAAATCCCCACCCTGGGGCATGAAAAACGTGACCAAATCCTGACATCAGACCTTGGGCAGCGCGGGGTGGGAGTGGTGTGGGTAGCCCCACTAGTGTGGCCGAGGTATGCTGCGCTGAACCTCTAGCCACACACCAGGGTATTGCACACTACTGAGGAGGTTCTCAAAAACATTACGCACATTTTCTTACATGTATTTTATGATGTTTTAGCTTTCACTTCTGAGATGCTTAGGTGTAATAATATCCAATTTTCCGATTTTTTTTAAAATCTTTCTGGAGCCCACATGCATGCGAAAATCGTCTGTTGATGGCAGCCATTTTGAATGTACGAAGCGATGACCCCAAAGCTGTGACGTCGCGCTTATGCAAATCATCTTCTTGCTCAACAGGCGCGCGAGTTGTGATGCGATGGCATCACGAGGCCACGTGATAATTGCTGCGGATAATTTGGTATCGCACTGACGCTCCGGACACTCCACATGTCCAGATAGATGTACAATTCCAAATAATTAGCAGTGTTTATCACATGGTCTCATGATTAGCCCGTCTGACGCCACCCGCACGCCTGATGGCCTGATCCGACAAGATCGATTTGCATAAGCGCGACGTTACAGCTTTGGGGTATCGTTTTGTACATTCAAAATGGCTGCCATTAACAGACGACTTTTGCGTGCATATTGGAAAAATTAGATATTATTACACCAAAGCATCTCAGAAGTGAAAGCTGAGACATCATAAAATACAACCATGTAAGAAAATTTGCGTAATATTTTTGAGAACCTCCTCAGGAGTGTGCAATACCCTGGTGTGTGGCCAGAGGTTCAACGCAGCATACCGCGGCCACACTAGTGGGGCTAGGGTGGGGGAAGCATTTGAAAGCGCATTAGCCTAGAAAGAGGGTGAGTGAGTATGCTTCTTTATGCAAAAATAAACTATGCCTACAAACTAACCCTAAATGTGAAATGGTGCCTGGTGGAAGTGTGGCCTTTATTTACAGAGGTAGGCCTAGGGCTAGGCCTAGACTTAGCCCAGGTGGACACCCTTTCCTCCCTACGTTACGGAGGGAGTCCAGGATATGAAGTGCGTCGATTATGATAATGAGTCACATTTGTAAACACATACATGTGCATTTCGAACTGTAAAAGGGAATCAGGAACCAGCTTGAACTGGTATCCGCGATAAAAGCTGCGCTAGTTCCCGACTCCCTATTATCGTTTGAAATGCACATGTGTTTACAAACGTGATCCAGTCTACTCATTATCATAATCGATGCATCGCACGCGCTCGGTAACGGAATCGCACTCGGGATACGGGGACCATTGAATGTACGCTGGGCATGAAGAAGAAAATCGCGTCGTTCAAACATTAAACACGATCGGAAATTTAACGTGTTCAAGATCGCGAGGGGAGCTCTCCGAAATGAACGGAAAATTTCACTTTTTTCCGGATCGTAAGTAAACTTCAGTACAACCATCTCAATCATCGATGTCTACTTGTACCTCAGGTGGCACAGGGCCTATCTAGTAATTTGGAGGCCGTTTTGAAGGTGAAATCTGATGTGTTTTGTTGGAAAATGTTGGTTTTGGGGACGGTGTTGTCCAGCTCGCGGTATTAGCTTGGACCCTACTATCGCCAGACCATGTCCAAATGTTAAAAAAGGCAATAAGTTGGGTCCAAGATACTC